GCTATCAAATGGGGAATTTGCAGTGATGGCAGAATAAGCCATGACTTTGCGGTACCCTTAAATGCGTTATCTCCAGAGGAACATCAGGTATGCACCTTTAGCTGGAAACGTATTGTATTGTAAGCCTTAATTATCAACAAGATACCAAAAATGGTTTTTTTTCCTGTATTTAATTATTCAATAATGCATCTGTCTTTGTGCCCATCAAAAACAATAAAATTCATCCGGACAATATAAAATATCGGCGTTTACATTTCTCGTTGTAATGGCAACCCAAAGCTTTAATCGTCAATTTAACAAATTTCTATTTGAGGTGATATAACAATCGGCATTGGGCGTAACCTCATCTCTGAACAAGATTTTATCACGAAAAATAACATACTTGACCACGATTGAAGTGGCCGTCACCAATCGCTGACAGGATTTTTGGGCACTTGATGGGTGTCATTAAATTGGCGTTAAAAGGGTGTTTGTGGGTGCTCAGGTAAAGGAGAAATTTGAGAAACCGATCTTTCAATTTTATCCCAAAATCGCAATGATGACGTCAACCGTAAGATAACTTGTGTGTGATTTTTATGACATTTCGTCTCACATTATTTTACGCATCTTAAATTTTATAGTACTATAGTGCTTTTGTCTCCTTGGGGTCTGAAAATATTAGTTCTACTGGGTAGTTAACCTTATGTTAAGAGTTTAAATGCTGTAAATAACGATCGTTGCAGCACTTGACCTAGGGCGGGCGGGCGGGTTGAGTTTGCTAAAATGTTTGGCATCTAAATACCGTGTGAACCATACCAGATAGTAGGAAAAGATCCAAACGTTGGCAAGTATATTAACTGATGCTTTCGGTGAGAAACCATTTTTCATTTAATTTTACGTCTTTATTTCTTTTATGTCTTTCTCGTTTCCTTCCGGTCCATTCCTTTTCTCCGTCTTCATTTTTAAAAAACCATAAGAGATATTTTACTTCTTTATTCTGATACAATGTACGTCCAAGAGGTTTTGTTTTGCTTTGTGTGTATTCTTCAGTGCATTTCAGCATTACATATTTTTATTTGTCTTTGTTATTTAGCTATAATTTACAATGGCACAATTCACCCAGAGCACCATCGAGTGTGTATGTTGTTCCTAGGATGTGATAAACCGGCACTTTGCGAGAAACCCTTGTGGTCAACTTGAGGCAGGCACAGGAGGTCACTGCATATGAAAAGAAAAGAGGTTATTTTTCATGGAGGTGAGGACAAAAGTGTGGTTTCTTTTTGTCACTTTTAAGTAATCGTTTATAGTAAACTTTAATTGGATGTAATATGTGCTATTTTGTGTCATACACGTACATGTAAGGGGGCCTATACCTTGAAATATTTTAAAGTTCAATTAGTGTCTTTTAGGCTTTGTGTAGCCGTTTTTTTAGTTTATGAGCAGATAAGGAAGGAAATAAGGAAGAAAACTATTGGCGAAGTTCGCTTCCTTTAGGCTTCGTTTGGACAGGCTATTTTGCATATTGAACGGAATACGAACAAATCGCGTAGAGGAGGCGCTCTGTTGGGCCTAGGCGTTTAACCCTCAACAGTTGGCTTCCATGGTATTTGGTAAAAGCCAACCAAAATTGTAGCTACTGGTAGTCGTTCCTCCACCGGTAGGTAATTTATAATTAGCAAAATAATTTTTGTGGGTTTTAATAAAAAATAGTACATGTATATCTTTCTTTATTCACTCATTATAAAAACGATTTTGTTCATTACACGTCTTGATAATTCATTAGTTTAGTTGCTTAATTATCAGTTCGTCTGTTTGTTCATCAGGCATTAAAATCAGACTTTTGGGTAGTTTTTGGGTTGCAAAGCAGACTTTAAACTATATTTACATCTGCGTGTAATCGCCAAAAACTCTTCAAGGTCTTGACGAGACATTTACTCTCACTCCAACAACAGAATGTAAATGCTGCAGCGTCTCTCTGATAATCACTATATTTGTTTTTGAATCTTATTGATACGGCATGTCCAATGCACAAGCACTATAGGCAGTGATCATATTTATTAAACACATGTAAACTGTGGAAAAAACCTTGAAATCTCAAATGTAAAGGTTCTTACGGTTTCTTTTGTGTCACGTACTTAACTAGGAATTGTTTATGAACAGAAATCAGTAAGGAGGAACACAGCTAGTTTGTTATTCTCTTACTCGACATCTGTTCGATCGACGTACAGTAAGTTTGAAGGAAAACGGACTCACTCACCATAAACAAGTACACATTGAGTACAAATGAAAAGGGTACCCTCTACCAGGGCCACAGATTGAGTTTTCACTGGATATTCACAGATATGTCTCTGGTTAAATTCACGGTTATTCTCTGTACTGTGACAAAATGTCACAGAGAAAATGTCCACATAATATTGACTACGGCCCTGGTAGAGGGTAATTTCTCAGTACATTGACTATCTGCAAGTACAGTAGAGCACAATGATACGTGCGTACGTTTAATATTACAGGTTGATCGGGTGACTCCCGACCACCAGAACAGAAGAAGTACGTAATCGTCGCTAAAATGTCCATGTTTCTTTACAGGACTGCCTGAATAGAAGCTACAGAATGTTGACTTTTGCAGAAAGGAATGCAACATTTCAATGACTGGTATATTTAAATATTGTTAGTCATGATTTCCATTTTGTTTTACTTGGTTCATATTTTAATATATTAAAATACACTCACTTATACATAAATGATATCACACTCTAGCTATTCTACGGTAGTGCCTATTTCAGGTTTCTTTTCTGTAATATGTCTATTGTTAATCCTCATATGAAATTTCCTGATTGCATAGCTTTATTTGAAGTATGTTAAAAGAGTTATGCAAGGTCTGAAAGGAAACGGCACCAAACTTGCTAATATAGTCCATAATGCATCATTTGTATCTTTCTCGCAACACTGCCCTAGATCGTTTAACATCTGTCTGGTCGATTTTCTTGTTCTGTAGCGCAATCAATTTGTGTTTGTGAAGAAGGTATACATTGATTCCACTGTGCATCTTTCCATGATGGTTTTCATGAATTTTTTCGTATCAAAGGATGTTGTAGTGATGAAGGCATCTACCGGTACAGTTAATAATCAGTTTGGATTAATGGATGGTTTTGTTATAGTAACTGGTGGGTAAGTTGATTCTCCATAGGGAAGACGTCAGCTTTAAAACATTTTTAAAGAAGCCACAAACAAGTGCAGATTTTTTGAGCCAAACTATTCTAATGGTTCCTACTGGTATATATATACCAGGTACAAATTTTTTGGGAAAATAAATTACATTCAAGCAAATATACTGTGTATTTTGTTCAGACAATCAGGCAGTGAGACAGTCATTGTATCCATTCAGAATAGCAGATCCGAGTATCAACTGATCCAAGGATCAAATATGGCAGACCATACATGAAAGGAAGACCACCTAATCCTGAAATGGTCCCTCCACCTCTAACATGCCTCCCCACATGGCATCCCTGCAGGGGCACAGTAATTAAACTTGGCTCCATTCGACTGGATGCATGGGGAGGTGTGTGGGACTCAGAGAGCATTACAGGACTACATAAGCAGTCTTTCTTTCTTATTTGATCAAGGGGCATGTTGGTAGTCTGAAGGTCCATTGGTCACTATAGAACCTTTGGACCAATGAACCCTTGATTAAAATATGATGAAAATGTTACCATTTTTCGGACTATTGAACCTTCGGACTATTGCTATGGCCCCATTTGATCCTAGGATCAGTTGATACTCAGATCTTCTACTCTGAATGGCCCCTATGAGTTTATCCCTTTATTAATGTTCATCAGTGAATAATATGCAAACAGTTGGCTATAATCCCATAGCAAACAAAATAAAACATCACTGGATATATTATAAACATTAAAACACTTTATTTTGCTACACAGGAGAGACTCGCTTAGATACATATCACATTCAAGTACTGATAATTAACAAGTGAGAGCCTCAGATTGAATGAGCAACACATACATATATATATATATATATATAATATACAATAGGTTCATATATAGATAAAATACCTGCAGTGGCTATGTATATGTACATGTATTGATGATTAAGACCCGTTATCAAAGTAATTCCTTTTGATTGTCGCTGCATGTATCTTGAAAAGAACAGAAATGGGGACTCATTAAATGCGTTCCAAATGTATCAAAGACATAAGTACTGCTAGTTTGTTGTTAACCACAAAATTATATAAATTGACCAACATTATCTAAACCTGCAAGATATCCGAGGGCCTTCAATAATCGGTGTTGTTTCTGTGTATCAAAAATAAATATTTTATCAGTTGACAATAAAAGACTATGTTGGCTGAGATGAGCCATATCTGAGTCTATGAATGAATCTTCCATATATCAGTTCATTGGCAAGTAAAGTGAACTGGTAGCTATTAATGTTAGAAATATATAGGACTGCAGATGTTATACAATTGGAAATGTTCTTTCACATTTTATATGGTGTTGTGCTCTTTTACAATTCCATATTTCCCTCTCAAACACAGAACTTTTACTGTCAGTTTGATTTTTAGCATTGTGTAGATTTTTATGGGAATGGGCCAAATTGTTATTTAAGTATAGATCTTGCATTTAAACTATAAGGAAAAGTTAAGCTTATGCTACTTAAGCCATCAAAAGTAAAAAGCCCATACATTATCTGTATGTACATCACTTGGGGAAAATATACAAAACAATGTACTATGGAGCACAACATAATTGCAATCGTTGTAACATTTTACTTAATTGTAAAGTTATTTTAACACAAAAAATGGCAAAGCTGCAAGTTAACCCATTTATGGGTGCTATTTCACTAATAACAGAAGAAATATGAATAAAAAGTAAGTTACTTGATGGCATGTAAANCGACGGCGACGGCGACGACGGCGACGACGGCGACAGCGACGACGGCGACGGCGACGACAGACGCAGATGATGGCTATATGTACAGACACATCTGTGTCTGTACATAATAAAAACTTTTAAATAGTTTTAATATGTCTGTTCACACCAGTATGTTTTTTCACAATTTTTATAGCTATCAGATGTTGCCTCAGTCCCAAAAGGATTTGGATAGTAATATTTATGAGAGAACTGTACATAAGTCATGTAGTTTCCCTAAAGTATCAAACATGTACCTATGTGTAATATAGTCACTAATGAAACTATCATGACATTTCTTAACATTTGATATATAGTCATTCATTTCAGTTACTGAGGCATATCTTATATACAAAGTTTTGCATTATTCTGCATAAAAAGCTGTATATCTTTGAGGTTCTTAAAAGATAGAAATGCACATGGTACCAGTATATATCTCCAATATTACAAATTTATATTAAAAAAACTCAGATGGGTGTTGGAGCCCCCCGGAACAGCCTTTGTGCTGCCATCTTCAGGACTTATCCCTACTGGTCTGCAGAGTGACTTGTAAAAAGTACAATGAATTGACTTAAGAGCTTGCAGCCATTTTGATAGTATAAAGGCTTCCAAGTAATTCCCTGCCATAAATTTATATATAGTTGATGTTGTAATCCTTTCTAGATTTCACCAAAAAATAACATGCATGTGTTACGATTCTTTTTCTTTATTACTTCCCTCTAATTTATTTTCTTTTTCTTCTGATTCTTTTTCTTTCTCTTTTTCCAACTCCTTTTGCTTATCAGCAAGCTCTTTCCATTTTTCCAGGTTTGCCCTATAAGTATAATAGAACAATACATTTTCCTTGCTTTATTTATTTTCAGTTTCTCTTCTAAAGAAACTATATGGAAGAGAATAATAATAATATTTACAGGTTAACTTATTAAAATCAAATACATAATGCTGCAGTGCGGTCACCATACATATTCCAACTTGACAATTGGCATGCAGTTGAAATTTTTCCAGATGATAGTTACTAGTCTATGCACTAGAGGTCATCTTTACTTGTTGTGGCATGATGAAGGTCCTTATAACTGTTCCTTTCCACATGAATTTTCTTTGCTCTCTCCCACTGCTATGTGCAATTTCAGACCAGAAATTCAAAATTAAATTTGCAACAATAAAGAAAAACTTGACTTTGTAACACTTACTTTGCACCTTCTACCATGGGAGAGGTGGGAGGTAGAACCTGAGCCAAGAGTTCATAACATGGTAAACAAATACCAACCAGAAAACCAACCTGAAAAGCCGAGCAGGAAAATTATCTACAAACATTAAACTGAACTCAGTAATTTGGGGGGAAATACAGGTTATTTACTTCAATCCTCTGATTAAAAGATCATTAGCCCATAGCTGAAAAAAAAAATGGGCACAAGTTATTGAATATTAAAATTTGAACCAGTTTTAGCTCGCATAAGCATAGACTAATTTTTTAATTATTCATTTAATTTTGGACACCTGATCAGAGGATTGCCATTAATGTTTTCTTTCTTAATGAAAAAATGTTCCATACTCAAAGCTACAGATTTAAATTGCTCTTTTCATTTAATTTAATGCCAATACTGAAATATGATGGATGCCCGTATGGGGCAATAAGTGTATTTAGTAATAATATTTTGTTTATGCTTAAAAGCAAAGAAAAGCCAAATTTTCACAGAAGATATGATATGTTAAGGCCAAAGCACTTTCTTTCAACAGTGATGTGAGTGTTACTTTACATGTGCGTACCCACCCCCTCCCCAACCACAAAATTGTCAAAAAGATAATTGCCTTGTGACAGTGGTGCCCCAGCTTGCCACTGTCCACTGCAGTCAAGTAGGCACAGTTTGTACTTGTATGAGCCATGGCGTGAGGCATTATCTATTTTTAGAATTCTTTTGGTTAAGTGGGGGACAATTGCATTTCTTTTTAAAGAAAGTGCTTTGACATATAACATGTTTTTTAAATTTTTTTCTTTTCTATCCATTTAAATACTTTAGACGGTTACACATAAAAATAATGACATACATAAATGGAAGTAAATAAAAGACCCACAAAACAGCACTGAGACAAATACATTACACAAATTTCATCATAGGCTGATATGCAGCCAGTTCTTTGGTTAAATTAATCATAGGGTTTAAATGTTAAGAAAAAAAAAGATAAATTAAAGCAAATAAAATTTTAATGGGGATTTGGATTCCTACCATTATTTAGAAATTAAAAAACAATCGCATAGGATCTATCTAAAAGAGATAACTGATATAGACAAGGTGAATAAAAGAAAATACAGTAAATTGTCTATTTATCTTTATTTAGGCCTAGAGGAGAGGAATTCATAAAATGTATTAGTGTGAAAGTGTAACAAAATCAAATTATAAATGCCACATAACTTTGATTCATATTATTAATATAGTTCTTCTATAAAACCAAAAATGCTATCAAAACTAAAAACACTAGGCCATTTAATTATAATTTTTCCTGCTGTCTACCTCCAGCTGGGGTAACATATCTTTGCGATCCCTGTCCATCATTTCTATTGGAGTGAGACCTTGTTTCTTTTCCTCATCTCCCTATGTATGGTAACCAAAATTATTGTAACATCTTTGATGAAATTAGACAACCACAAGGACACATGTACAAAATAACACAAAAATGCATTGCAATTAATCTATGTGCACCCACAGTTATAACTAGGATCCATCAAAATAAATTGGTTAGATTCGTGGATCCTAAGTTATAACTGCAGTAAACTCCAAAGTGCATGGCAACCATCTACAGGTCATGTGCAAGACAAGCCAGTGTGCACAGCTAACCTGAGAATCAGGAAGTTCATGTGCAAATGATCTGTCCATCATACGCAGCGGCATTAGCCCATTTTTTTTCTCCTCATCACCCTAATTTTTATGAAAGAGAGAGAGAGAATCAATAGATCATAAGGGAAATAGAATGGCAAGAGGCTATTCAAGTATATGAAGTCTGCAGAACAGCATGGAGTTCAATAATGAAAATAAGTTTTTCCTTCACAAAATAGGCAACAGCATGTTAGGTCAATGTGACAAAACTAAAATCACAAACCCATATTGTATATTTTATGGATAATAAAATTAACATGTTTGCCTTGCTATTATAGCTTTCAATAATAAAAAGCTATTTTGTTTTAATGGGAGGTTATGCAGACTCAAAATTATATTATTGATAAAAATCGAGACAAGCAGGTGCAGCAATGGGGTGGGGAGGAGTGCTGCAGAGATAAGGCATCAGCTATCACCTTGTCCTGAAATGATTTGTTGGAGCTGGTGGTCAAATCTAGAAGATAGGATGGCAGAGCTAACATTATATGCAAACTTCACATCACTGGCAAACTACAATAGGGGCACAATTTTGCCACATATTGTAATGGGATTTTCCTTCTTTTTATTTCTGATATTTGTTATTTTTTGGATAACTTGACTTTCTTTTTCCAAAATGTGTATTTCAGTGTAACTGTCTCATTTTATGGTCACATACCTGGGTATATATATATAGCATTTATCAATCATTACCAACCATCAGTATGAATTGCTAATTTACCAAGTGTCAGTATCAAGTGTCAGTGTCAATTTATCAACTGTCAGTGTCAGTTTATCAATTTCTGTTAACAATGTCAATATCAATTGTCAATCTGATTTATCAATTGTCAATTTATCAATTATCTGTATCCACTGTCCGTTATAAAGGCTGAAGGCTAACGTCCTTTCATCTTGAATCATCAGTATCAACTGTCAGTATTGAGTGTCAATATTTTAATCGTCATCATCAACTGTCAATTTACCAAGTGTCAGTTATCAACTGCATAAATTGTCGGTTACAGACAGACGTTTAAATTTTATTTAAAATCCTCATAGATATGTTTGTTAATGTTGTTAATGTTTGGGAATTAAGATAATAACATCCCAAGTGAAAGGAGTAAAGGGCTGAAGGTTTTTCACCTGTGAGTAAAATTTGCATATAAAAGGAAACTACAATGAGGGGATCAGCTACCGCAATGCAGCAATGAAAACCTAAGTTATCTGCCATGGAGGGCCTGAAAATAAAAAGTCCAGATGGCTACAGGTTCTCCTTCCTGTAAGTGACAGCACTACCCATTATGATACCTGCAAGGCTGGCAACTTGTTGGACTGATCACGATCATTCATTGGAATAGGGACTTCTCCCTTGGCTTTCTCTTCATCGCCCTAATTAATGTGGAAATTCATGAATTTGGTGCCATTGCAATATATGTATGTATTTATATGTTACTGTGCAATAGCGTATGCACTACCAAGTAAAAATTAAATCTTCAAGAATGTTTTCAAAGCACATCATTTAGCAATTACTTAATTAAACATAAAATATAAACATTAATCTATGAGAATTTCCAAAATGACAGTCTTTCAAAATAACAGTGTTGATTGGATAACAGAAAAAATAAAAACAATCAATAATTTTCTGCACTCTAACATGCACACAATAACTATATCATTGCAAATGAAATGATCAGCTACATGAAGCTGCCATAACAGTCTACTTATATTATTTTATATATATTCAAACTATGGGCCAGTAAATTACTTTTAAGCTACACAGGATTGGCAATTATTATGTAAAAGCTTGTTAACACCATATAATCAAGCTCCTTCATGCATGTAATATGTATCAATAAATAGGTCATTGCTCTAATGATCCAAGGCTGGGTTACATGTAATATGACCGTAAAATTTGCCAAGAAGAAAAAATAACAACTGGGTGGTCATGAAGATTTTTCTCTGTTTTTCATGTATCAGAAATAAAAAAAGAAAAAATAATTTCAGTATTTGATTACCGAAGCCCAGCCTTGGTTCTCCAAGTATAGTGCATATAAATTAATGCTCACATGACAAATGACACATGCAAATAATGGTTAGTCATGCGTTAATAACTCTTTCATACCTGTTGCCAAAACTCCTCCATAATAACATGCACTAGCTCCACCTGCAGGTCCCAGGGTTTGTACATAGAGCACAAGTCGGCAGCAGTCATACAGTGTGCCATGATTGAATGTCTAAAAGCCAACAACACACATCGTGCAGTAGATCACAGACATATAGCCACGCACTACATACATTTCTCAATTAGCACCCCGAGACTCAGGGGTCAACACCAAAACAGTAATGCAAGAATGAATATGTGTATGTGTACTTGTCAACTGTTTAGTTGTGGAAACCAGATTTATATATATATATATATGATATATATGAGCAAGCGCAGCATGCAGTTATCAGTATATATATATGGTGGATGGACATTCAGGTACAGTGTATAAGAGCAGTATAATGATGAAAGAATATCTGAGATCCATTCATAATGCTGGTATTACCGGAAGTTGACAAGGTCCAAATATTAAGTGCCTTCATAGTTAAACACTGCTTTGATAATTTGGGAAGATATACCAGGGTTAATGAGAGAAGCACCCTCTCTTAATGTATATTACATGTACTAGTACCAACATATTCACAGTAATCCTTACATTTCATATAATGATGCATTATATTCCATATAATGTTGCATAAATTCCAATGTCATATTATTCTTTGGTGCAGTTAAGTGCATACACAAATATATTGGGTGAAGGAAGGCTTTTTAGTCTTTTCATAAAGAAATTTATGGGATACAGACAGTAGCTTGAAAAGAAGTGCCATGGCAGATAATGAAATTAAAAAATTTTATGAAATAACCTGGAGAAATGTTTGCTTAATAAAATGTATGCATAATAGGCTGCATAGCTTTAATATTAAATTCAGTGCAGTTTTTTGAAAGGCTCTGAAATGGAAAATCTAACAAAAAAAGGAAGTTTGAGAAAGTGTATAATTTTGTTTTGATGAAAGTAGGTTTTCAGCCAGACAGTATTTGGCTCAAAAAGTTGCATTCTCTGAACAAATTAAAAGGGAATCAGTTAGAGGACATTACATACACAGTGGCTTAATGTCATATCAGTGAGATTATTCTCCAAAAGCATCATGCAAATAACACACGTGCAACACAACAGTATGCCCTAGGCCTAGCCTAGTAACAATTCTTTTCCTTGATGTGCGTGCATACATATAAGCACTCTACCTGGATGTAAAATTCCTCAAATATAACTTTGACAGTCTCTTGCTGTGTGTCCCAAGGCTTAAAGCTGGCACACAGGTCACAGGAGGTCATGGCTATTGCCTGGACTAGATGTCTGTATGAGGGAAATCAACAGCAGATGAGAGAAAAATTGGAAGGGAAATCACATATATCTAACACATAATCTATGAAAGAGATCTTTGGGGATATTTGGAATTTCTATCAGATGACCTGCTAAGGAGAGTGAAATTTTTTTTGTCAGTATGTTTTTTTTAATATAATGGCTATTTGAGAATTATAGAGGAACAGAAAATTATTGTCAAACTTACAGTGTTGAGAGAGAGAAAGAGAGAGAGAAAGAGGATATCTATGATCTTCATTGTCTGACAATTTTGATGCTGTGACAAAGAGGCATGTATCTAGACCTTGCAATAATAGACCTGCTAGGTAAAGAAAAAACTTTGGTCATATATGACTCTTAATGAATCAGGGAATATTTAGTTCAAGTGGAGCATTCATAATTTGCACTCAATATTTCTTGTAGACAGAATAAAAGTAGACACAATTCAAATCAGAAACTGGTCAAAATTTCCATCGCAATTACCTTTTAGACCATTATATCCGATATAATTCCCTGGACAGACGCGCCAATTGAGAAAGGGCAGAGAAAAAGGGCAGTGGGGGGAGGGGGATAGAGAAGCTGTCAGTTCAATCTGACTGATGTTTAAAAGATAATGCTGAAAAGAAATCCTATTGTAAGACAATAATATTTATTATTTAGCCATTGCAAAATCAAATAAAATCTTAATATCAAAAACAATCAGATGTAAATGTTAACTGATTACACATAAATCTAGAAGCAATCTGTCTTTAAAACTTATTCACAATAATTTCCATTCAAATTCAAAGGAACCAAATATTCTATGCAAACAAGGACTTCATCCTTTAAACATTATTCCACAGATTGCTACCATGTGTTACCCTATCTGTTACTCTTACCTGTGATCGTCATTGTCCCAAGACAGCTGTTTGTTTTCAGCCAGGTCCTTGAGACGTGCTCTGTTACCAAAAAAGAGGGCCAAATCTGTGGCAAGGATACAGTGACGAATGTCTCCCAGAACCTGCAAGCCAGCAAATAGAACCAATGAATACTTATTTTTGAGCCTTTACTTAGTGGCATTGCTCACTGTAAAAGCAAGCCAACTAGTTCTTGGATTTGATAGCCATCCATTTTCTGATTATTTTGTAAAGTTTTGACTGAAATTGAATAATATGTACAGTTTCATCCAGCTTATGCAAAATGTACAGTTTCATCCAGCTTATGCAAAATTTATTAATGGCAAAAGCGAATTTGTTGGGTTTTTATTGAATGACACAATATCTTAGGAAAACCTGTAATCATTCAAGAATATTAGATCTTCTGGCATAGAAATTAGTCTATCAAGCCATCAGTCTATTGGAGTCAATAAACCACATTTCAAAACTATGCAAATAAGCACAATTTTGCATATTTCTTACCATTAAAACAGTTTCTTGATTGCCAGCAATAATAAGTGTAATTGCCTTAAAGCACATGTATGTGATTTAAATATATCTTTTTGTTTTTATACTTTAAAAAGTAAAATTGCATCATGAGGACAACTTTGGGCAAGATAAATATAAACATGGAGATAAGCCTTACAGGCCCGTAGCCAGGGGGGGTTCGGGGGGTTCGAAAGAACCCCCCTTTTTGCTGGAAAAAGGTCCACTCTGGGTAAAATTTGATCTAGGTACATAGGGATTATAAGGTAAAAGGTCCACTTTTTCAGAAAAAGAACCCCCCCTTTGAAATTGCTGGCTACGGGCCTGCCTTACCTGTTTATACTCTTCAGAACACAGGTTCTTGAAGATATTGTGCCCTTCGTTCTGCAGTATGGTCACTGTCTGGTTAAAGTGATGGTGTTCCATGGTGGAGGTGGAGTAGACTGCTGCCAATGGGGAGGCACTCTTCACCATGAATGAGTTGGTTTTCCCTCTGTGGTCCAGGTCATGGCACAGACATGCAACAAACAGACCCAAAGCCTGGGAATTCAGGAAAATTTTATTATTTATATAAAATTATTCTAATAAATAATTACTGTATGTGAGCTCCTACTTCAGCATCAGCTAAACTTCACCACATACAAATAATGGAGCTGATGACTGCACAAAGAATTATGAGTACTAGTATGTGTGAAAAATGATGAGTGAATCACTGATAAAAAATGGAGAGACATATGATTACACCTTTTAAAATTTACTGTTTGCCAAGCCTTACCTCTATTGGTTTGAACTTGTTGCTGGTGGTTTTGATAACTGTGAACATTGCATGGGCAACGGAGAATGCATGTGCCCAGTTGTGATATGGAACTGCACGGTAGTTCTTGCGAACTGTTAAAGTAAATCGGTAAAGAGTATCCAAGTCATACCTGAAATACATAAAATACACATATGAAATGCAACTATTGGCAGTTTGAAAGGATGTTGGTGCATGTTATTTCTATGCCTAATTTTTTTATATCTGGGATTTTTCTAACTAATTGTTTTTTTTTTCACATTACTGCATGCAATTAAGGCACACAGTATGTGTTACACTTTCATATAACAAACCTAATTTTATAACAAATATTAGTATTCTTGGAAATATCAACACTTTCCCTCAATTGGAAAGTTATATTATATCTAGAATCATTGACATTATTACAATCTACCCATTTTTAAGTTTCTAATTTTTCGAGTCATTCTAGCAATGGTAATGGAGATTGGTGAATTCCACTTGTAATATTCAAAATGACAATTAACACTCAAAAATGGCTATATAGATCCTAATGTTCCAAACAGTTGTAGAAACGATGTCAATTGGTGGATACCTCGAGTTGTTGATATTTCCAGAAAAGTTATCATTTTTTGCTTGATATAAAAAGGTCCATTGCGCAATGTTTGTACAAATTTAACATTTTAAATTTTTTAGTTTCCATTTGTTTAGAAATATCAGAATTTGAGATGTATCTCACCGAAATGTTTAGTAAAGGCAAAGTAATTGTACATGAGTATGGAAATAACTGAGTAAATAACCCAGACGCATCATTTATTGCTCAAACTGAAAAACAAATGTCAGAAAAAAATTGCAACTAGTGCCTTTAGCCTGATACTTGTATATGTCTACAAGCACAGTTATAAATAAAAAATATAAAGCAACAAGAATTAACTAAATCATTATCTGACTTAGTAAAATTTTTAAATATTACTATGTTAGGTGTGTGCTTCATATCAAATGTGATTTACTTTCAATAAGCAAATAAAGTGAATTGTTAAAAGGGACCCATAATTAAAAGGGAGTTGGAAAGGTGGTGGGGACTTGCCAAACAACAGTTCACATATTGACCATGATTTAGAAGAACAATGAGAGAGTTTGGTAGACAATTGAATTAAATTGTAATTAGCACCAGATTTTTTAATATGTAAGTACTTGTGAAATGAAGGTGAAATCCTACTACTGCAGCTCCATCTATCAGTTCAGCTAGTTTATTATATGTGTAAACCAAGGAAAATTTTCAACTGCATTTCATTCTAATTGAAAGAGGTTACTTTTAATTGTAGTTACATTTAGATGATAAAGATAGAAGTATTTAAAGGTGACTCACACATAATGTTAGTTTGCCCATGAAATCATACAGAATGTAGTCACAGAAGATTAATTTACTCTATATTTGTCTTGGGGTTTACTAAGGTCTTTTTTATTACTTATAATCAACATATCATTATATAATATATGTCAGAAATATCTAACAGTATAAAATATGGAGTTTTCCAAATTATTTTGCTTTATTTTAATAATTCAAAAGAATCTGAAAACTCCATATTTTTTTTAAAAATGCTTGTTGTAAAATCCAAAATTTCTTCAAATATTAAATTTTTCAGTTAATACAGTAATGATAAGTAAAAAGTCTGAAAAATAAGGAAAATAAGAAAGTGAGAGAAAATTTTAGTAAAACTCTTGAAAACAATGCACTAAGTATATTTGTTAGAATGACTTGCTTGTTCTTAATTTCACTTAAACATACAAATTAGAGCACTAGGAATGTTATAGCCACAGTGACTCATCTCTAGACTTATGATGGAAAAACAACTTTTCTAGGGGCCATTTTCTTGTATGATATCAAAAATGATACAAATTAAGGTACTGATTTCAACATGTGTTACTTTTCTCTAAAAATATGCATGATTTTGATAAGACCTCGGTATGTTAAAGTGGCCAGATGAAAAATGGGACTTACCTAGACTAGTAATGGACTAAACTGTCTGTCTGTTACAAGATGACCAGTTTGATTAACACAAGATTGTTAAAAAAGTGCAAAAATGAAGGTCCATGAGTAATCTAGTAAATGGCTGATTATATCAGCTGGCCAATTTTGGGCTATATCCAATCTGAGTTATACGTACATGTAGTTAATTATATATAAGAAAATGGCCCCTATATCAATCCTACCTATTGGAACACTACAAATGTAACAAGTTTGTCTATGCATCATTTGCCAAGGGAAATCATTCCTTCTGGAATCCCAATTTCATATTTGCCACAAGGACATACAGGACAAGATTACAATGACAGCAATAAATTCAGTGAAATGTGGTATCACATAATTTTGGAAAAGGTTCAATAAATATGCAAGTCAACCTTGGCAGATGACCTTTTAATAACTGATAAAAACTATAAATGTCAGAAATTTAACCTATTCCACCCAATTAGAAACAATCTATTGATAGCTGAGACACACCTGCAGAAAAGCAAAAAGGAGAAAATATATCAGCACAGCACAAAAGGAAGGAGCTATACCTTTTTTGATTTTTGTTTCCCCAAGAGCTAGTAAAAATAAGGAAAAATCCATTTTTCCACCATTATTTCAGTTTATATATTATTTGTGGGAACAAATCTTTTGATTTAAGAAAAAAAAGTTAGACATAAACCACAAAATCACTTAAAATTGTGCTAAAATTCATTAAAGTTAAAAACAGACAACCAGAGGTGAAATAAGATTATTCTTCCTTTTCATGGTCTTTGCAAATCTTTGAGGGTTCTTTTTTTCAAAAAGTAAAAGTATAACAAATTTCAAACAAACTTAAATCACACTCACTAAAAAATTATATAAAACAGAAAGGAAAATATTCAGCTGGGTAAGCAGAAGCAACAGGGAAAGCACTTGGCTACTGTAAAATGTCTTTTTGAAGAAAATAATGAAAATTCAATCTGATCCAAAATCTGGATCCAGTAATATTTCAAAATAGGGTAGAAAGCAGCTTAACACAACAATACACTTATTTTCTTTTTTTTCAATTTTTGCTTTATAGCCCTCTGTGAATGCCTTAGCATTTTATGTCCTTGATTGAGAAATATATTAAAAAATACATATAAAATACAGGGTCTGGTCAAAAGTATTGCACAAGGCCTTGCAAAAAGCACTTGCAGCAAGGACCATGCATTTCATTCTAACCCAGTTCATTATTTTTGTTTTTTTTATGTTACAAGTTGTAAAACCTTCATAAGTGTATCCCCTCAATGATAAGAGCAATTGGCTACATTAATTTTGAGAATTTATAGCTTCTCCACCATCAATAATTATGGACAAATATGTACATGGTTTTCTTTTATTAAGTTGTGCATATATATAACAGCTGTTGCTAGCCAAAATTATGTCTGGGAATTCAGACGCTCTTGAAAAAAAATTCATCAAATATTTATATACAATTTGTTCCACAAATTGCAATACATATGGCAAAGCATTGTACTTTAAACAACTTACTGATACATGTATGTATAAATATGAATTAATTCACTCCTGGTTTATGTTTGCTTTTCTGAAACCGCTCAAAGCCTCAATCTATGAAAATCTAATTTACAGTTAACCTACTTTACTACAAAATGATAAATATATCATGTTTACCTTGTGAAATCTGCTGTATCAAAGAGGTCCTTCAGCATGTGAATGACATAGATTGGTTTCTGGTCATTATCCACTGACCACGGGGAAAAGTCATACCTGAAATCAAAATTTTCTCATAACAAAACCAGGTGGAACACTAGGGCAGAACGATGGATGAATATATTACTACTTAGTTTCAAGATAAAGGCATTCTATTAAATACCTAAATTACTGAAAAAATTAACTTTACACTGCTGCTTTCACAAAAATTGCTATGCCATGGATTCAATCTTTAACAAACATTTGCCATTTTGAAAAACATTGGATTCTCAGCTGTGAAGGGTCAAGGCAGCATGCCAGTTAATTGCAGTATGATTGCCTTACTTGATGAGTTCTGGGAGTTTATCTGGGACATCAATACTTTTTGTTTTCTGCACTTCTTCTTCTGAACATGTTCCATGGTAGGACAACACCTCTAATGCTACTTTGTACTTCTGTTCCGACCTGCGGATCTTGTCGTACAACTATTTAAAGATGGAAGGCATTTTTGAGTAATTGCACTGGTGTAGAACTGTATATAGTGATGACCAAATGATGTGATGAGACTCGCATCTACCAGCATTAATGTAATGCCACAAAATATAAATAAAAATTTTTTTTATTTATTTTTTATTTATTTATTTTTTTTTTTTTACATTTCATATGAATTTATTCAGTCCTGATTTTGTTTGTCAGGTGAGTTTGCAGAAAAAACAAATGAATAAAGGAAAGGAGGCACTACCTCCTGTATAGTTGCCAATATTAATTACCTTAATTGGTTATTGATTGCATATAATATCATTTGAATTAATGAATTTTTGAAGATTACTGATTTAGATAACTTTCTAAAGTACTATTCTACTGTTTATACAATATTATTTTTATAATATTTAAAAATACTTACTTTAGCATGGTGAAGTGCAAGACCACAATAAATAGCAAATGTTTCAAATGACTCCTCATCTGACTTTGTAAAAGTACCATTCAGTTTGTTAACCATTTGAACAACACCAATGATGCTGGAAAGTTACAAATTAAAGGTATTCAATATGGTTTAACCATTTTTTATCTATAACTAAAAATCTACATGTACTAAATCTGTTTTAAAAAAACTATTTTGTGATCACTTAACTTGTATGTAATACTCAGTGTTTGTATAGAAAAAAATTTAACTTTAGATAATAAACAAGCAAGGATAAATTAATTTCACAGTTAAGAATTATGAAATTATAAAGTTAAACATTACTCACTTTCCCCTTATTTTTATTGGCATGCACAGAATTGTTTTAGTGGTATAGCCTGTCTGCAGATCTACATCTCTGCAAATGAAATGTGTCTCTTTAGTTTTCAATTTTAATTTCAAGGCATACTACTTGTAAAAATAAACACATTTACAATGTGTCAGCATAGAATATCATTACTTATGGAGCAAAAAAAAAAAAAAAAAAAACAAACAGATTATCATTTCAAAAAGTTCATCTACCAGTCAGTAATACATAACTAGAAAAACACACTAGAAGATAGATAATAAATTACGCTCTATGCCTAAAAGATAAATTTCACCATAACCATTATACCCAATACAATGTTCCAATAATAATAAAATAGTTATTTAGCCAGAACAAATGTTTCTGAGCACTAGTTTCTGTAACCTATGGAGATGATTACATAATTACCTATTGAACCTATCATCCGCATAAGCATCTTTGATGTTGAGCACCTCTCCCGTTGTTGCCACGTGGCCTGCCACACCTTTGTCCATGGGGAACCTAGTCACAGGTAAACTCACATTATATACACTGATGCATGATAGTTAAATTTGTGGGAGAGATTTACACATTTATGAATAGGTTTTTTTTCACCTTTTATGTGCTTGTTTAATTGGGGTGATTTAATAATTTCCATCTTTTTTGTTTACTTGGTGTTTTTAGTCATCTAATAATAAGATAAAACCACAAGTTTTAAGCAATGAACAGTAAATATGCCAATTCTTGGCTGGGCAAGACATAATTTTTTAAAACATGATGGAAAATATTGATACAAAATTAGTGAAAATTGTAATTAAGTATTGTGCAGATGCTTCAACATTGAATTACGTTATAATTTCAAAATATAGTTATAAATCATGTCATACAAGATGAGGACATTTCTCCCTTAAAGCAGTGCAGGTTGTATTTCAAGTGTAAGAACAGTAAATCATGCATGGTTTACAATGTACCAAACAGATGTCTTTTTCTTTATGGCATGCTGAAAGTTATTGCTAATACCAGTGCAGTTATTTTATTGAGCATAACAGCAGTGTTTTTCAGTTAAGTGCAAAACATCCCATTTATTTGCAATAAAGCTAGAAATATTTAGCTTGGGTTATATTTTAGAAAGCCCAAAATGCTGCAACAATGTTAAATATGATCAACGTAGATTGTGTTTTGAAGGCAAAGTGGGCCATTAAAGGAGTCTATTTTTTTCTAAATGAATATGAATCATCTCAAATTCCTTATAAATGCCCATGAAAACAATGTTTAAAATTTCTGTTAATGTGCTTTTCAAACCTAGAAATGATTTCTTTTATAAAGATGGAATCAGTTTTTCCAAACATCCTTAGTACTGTTATGTAGCATTGGGTGTAGGTGAGTTAGAATAATAATGGTCATGCATATTCTTTAAATAACATTAATAAGTTGGATAACATGCTTTCACTGCATAAAACAGTGGGTGGGTTTCTTGGCTATACCTGAATTTGGCCAATATTCATAATTCATTTCTGCATCTCATCCCCTACAGTAGTTTCTTTTTTCAAACATATGCAATGCAAAAAATATAAATTTAAATTTCATATTTCCTAATTTAGTGAAAAAAACACTTTTGAAGTTGGCATCTGATCATTATAAATTTGGGCCTTCAAGCATTCTGTCTGATATTATCAATCAAAAGTATATAATCTGATGGTCAACAGCCCAGCAGCAAACCACCTGTGCACAGCTTCAATTTTGTAGACCCTTGATGTTCTGGTAGCCACCTGACTACAAGGCATTATTAATCACAACTAACAGAACACTCAGAACCCCCTGTGCTGTGATTGTAATTGCACCTTCATGCACAACTACCACATTCACAGTGACCCCAGCTTGCTACCTTCACCTAATCATACCAAAGATACCAAAGTGTAGATGGTGAATTAACATGATAAAAAGCACNGAGATTGGCCACAGTCTACGGTGAGTATGTTTACACTGTATGGCTATCAAACATAGCCATTTCTCCCACATGACCTTGAGTTCAGGTTGGGAAAATCGGTTTGCTGGTTGAAAAGTTAATATATGGAGCCGTCTCAATCTCAGTGTAGTTGGCGTACATATAGTACACCCTCCGCACGACCGTTCAGTGCTGATTGATACGTTGTTGGTGCAGCACCTTGCGTTTCTGAGCACCCGCGTGGTCATAATAATTTTAAACATCTTATCTATTGTTATGCCCCCTTTAACTGAAAAAAAGAAAAAAAAGGAAATCCGTAACAAGTCTGCGTCTCGCAAGACAATTTTGCTTGCTGCACGATCACCGCACTGAGCAGAACAATGTCCGTTAGGGAATTGTGCAATCTACGATATTGCTACGGCCTACAGGCTAAGGATTTAAAAAAAAATTGCTTAAAAGAACGATTTTGTACGGTCAGTCCCTGCACGGACGGCACACGGAAACTGATATTCGGTCAGCAAACGGGCACCGTTCGCGGACATAAATGGCAAATGCAACCTAGGCTTTATCTAGGGTTGAAAATACCAGACTCGATAAAAACCTAATATGTCTAAGTGGGTTATTATTTGTGCCATAAATTGTTTCAGGAAATTTCATTCGTATTGCGCTCCTCGTACTATATTCAATCACTTTCAGGTTTTGAAAAAGCACAACTCAAAGCTGGTGTAGAAAGCCACCCATAAACTTTACCGTGAATAGTAAGTTTACTAAATGATATAGACAGGTACCCTGTAAGCACTGATATATGATATATATATACGAGTATGTATTTGTAAGAACATTTACATACAACTGTTAAGTATACAGCGAGTATACAGTAGGTCGTGAACCAGTAAATCCAGTAGTTTTTCTAGGACTCAGTACAGGGCCTTAGGCTAGTTAAACTAAAAGAAGATTAATATAAGTAAAAGTCGACTAGTGTAAGACACCTATAATAAAGTCACACTAAGCAGTCACAGAAAATAACCGAGTGTTAATCATGTCGCCCCTTTCCGCAATTCGATTAATCTAACTTCTGCAAAAAATATCGGGTTCGGTTACCATGTTCAGTAAACATTGTTTTACAGAGATGTTTCGTTCAGTTTAAGTTCTGTACATTTCAGTTCTCGTCGTTAAAACAACCCCCAAAGGATCAAAACACGCACAGCCTCAGATTCCAGTGATTTTCAAAATTTTGTTTAATACCAAGGCTAATTGGCGGAATAAATATTACTGTGGATAAAACAATCACTGGCGTTTTATTTCAAAGTAATAAGGGATACCTAGAATCAAGCAGCTAATCATAATACTTTCAAATGATGTAAAACTTCTTGTCTTGATAGCATGCTTTCCATGCGTGGCAGTATCGCAATAATAATGGTTATTATGCACCGTTTGGAAATGACGTCTGCCAAAAAACCATATACAATTATGAACCGAGTTGTGCTGACACTTCAATATAGACATGCAGGTAGGAAATTGGCATGTGAAAGGTGAGTTTCCTGGCACATTGAATAGGCCTACAATTTTTTGTAATTTTCATTTTTTTTTAAATTCTATAAACGCACTATTACAAATGTGTAGGCTTGCTAGGTGTGTTCGAAACGGTACCCTTTATTACTTCAGGTCTTTCCCAAACATAGGACACGTTTTAAAGAATTACAATGTACGTGACACACTTACACAAGTACAATCCTATTTATACATTTACTTATATTATACATTTACTATTTCAGTATAGTAAATTTTAATTGTTTTGGAGGTCTATAAAATACCTTCATTTTTATAACAGAGCTCATGTGTTGCTTTTTGGACACGTATTCATCATCTGAGAGGAAAGTAATTATGTAATCAATCAATTCCCGCGAAAGAGAAGGACCCGATGTTGGTATATCTCCCAAGCATCGTCCCCATAAACGGTTTTGCAAAGTGAATTATGTAGCATTCATCATATATTACATCAGTTATGACATGTAGGTGACAACGTGGATCACCTAAGTTTTGTCAAGTATAGATAAATTAGATTATTTTTGGCTAGATTAACTTATGGCACTTAGGTTAAAATGACCAAAACGTAATTATTCAACAAGTGGTGCTATATGTACTTAAAAGTTGAACACACGTTTAAAATCTTACACTTTATCTTTCGTTTAAGCATTTTAATGTCGGACCAAAGAACCTTCCAACTATAAAGCCTTCGGACTACTGAACCTTCGGACTAATGAACGTCGGATCACAAATTTCAGAAACATGGACCAACGAACCTCCTGACTGTTGAACCTATATGCACAACGTTTACAATCATGCTCCTGGTGTCGGTGCAGTAACGTCTAAGTCTGACCCAGTATGACGGGAATGGTCGTAAGCTAGGAACCGTAGTCCGTTTCCATTTGTTAGTACTGGTACATGCGATACTTTGGCTACCTCCAACGTGCACTAATCATGAAACTTCAGACTTCAATTTCTAGGACTATCATTTCTGTCACAATGTGTAATCAATCACAATTCAGGATTTTTGTTGAATATTTGGCATTACATCTTTAGTGTTAAACAATCATCAGCATATAAAATACCAGATAACACATTTTCTTTCTATTAAAAAGAAGGGTAGTTAAGCATGTTGATCATCTTTTTGCTGCATTTTTTTTTTGCTATTTCCATATATTAGTAATGTATTCTTACATAAATCATGAAACAAAAATGGACCCTTAAGAAAAAAATGAAATGATTCAAAAACCATTTATTGCACATAATTAAAGTGCTAAAGGCTTATGGATTCACAGCCCATTTCAAAATGATCCTGAAGTATCAGGAGATTTGTGTAGAAATGTTTAGTAAACCAGCTGCACCACTCCGAATGTAATGTTGTTGTCACACTGTTTGAAGTATCTTTGCTCCACATTTTAAAGCATGTATCAATTAATAATCCTATTTGCAGTATTCTGATTGCATATTGTCTAATCTTATTATCTCTTTTTCTTTCCAGATTTTGGTGCTTTTTCCAAGCCTGATACAAACTTCTGAGGGATTTGGTATTTTTCTGAAAAAGTGACAGATTTTTTTCAATTGTTTCTCTATATATTTCAGATAAAAAACACTACAAATTGTCTTCAATTATGCTATAGTGAAAATGCAAAAATACACATTTAAATTGACTGTACATTAATAGCAAAGAATTCTGATAATACACAATACTATACACAGAGGATTAACTTTTAAAGGAGTGTGATTTTTTGGAACTTAGAAGTCCTCTGAACGAGTTTGACTTCTTGGAACTTAGAAGTCCAATATCTACACCCATACCTGTTAGAAGCTTTTCAACATGTGCCACCTGATTTCCCTGGACTAGTACCTGCATGCCCTTATTCTTGCCTGGGAGTGGGGAGACCGTGGTGCTGCAGGCTACATCTATCTGGACAGTGTGGGCAAACTCATGAGGATCTATGCCGTAGGTTTCCAGATTTTCCAACAGGGTGACCTGGAGGTAGACATATGAAGAATTTTTTTGGAGATACCTTACATTTTACCAATCAATCTTATTAGAATATACCCCCCCCCCCCAAAAAAAAAAAAAAAAAACAAATAAATAAAATAAATAAATAAAAAATAAAATAAATAAATAAATAAAATAATAATAATGAGAAATCTTTCAACAAATTGAGTTAACAAAGCTGATTTTGTGGCTCACAACTACAACTATATCCTCAATCCTTACCAAGAATAATATTTATTAGCAACTAAAGGTTGAATATTTCAATTGTAAAACTAAAATACTAAAGAAACATGACAAATAATGAAGAGAAGCTTACTCAAAACTGAAGAGATACAGCATTCTCACCTTCTTATTCCCTGCTCTCTGCGCCACGTTGATTTTAATGGGCTGAATCCCTCCTTTCTTGAACACTGGCTTTTGACCTGGAAAGGTAATCTGATGGACCGCATGCATCCTTGACAGACAACTAAAATAGATAAAAGATTTTGTGGACTTATCTAGCTGTTATTATTATTATTATTATTATTTTGACTAGATTTACAAACCACTTAGAAATACTTGAAATACAATATGAACATATATCCTGATTTGAAAACTTAATATTAAAAAGTTGTTAACCATATATAATTTATAAGAATTAATGACGGAACAGTCTCTACTTCTGTGTTGATATTGATAAAATTTCTGTTTCTATACAAGAAGCATACCTGCTTGTCAAATCATTCCATCTTAAATGTGTGACATAGTCATTCTTACTGACTAAGCAGTCAGTCAAGATTGGGTCAAGAACTACCCGACTGGAAAATAAATTTGATGACAACAACCAATTAGAAATTTCCTTTTTTCCTTACTGTAACTAACAGAATGTCTGACAGAAATGTTAACATAATTTAGAATGATTTCAATTTTTGCCTTAAATTGCTAACAATATAATCAAATCATAATTTTGCTGGTGTATAGTTGTTAATTTGAAATACTGTCAACCAAACAATTATCATGTTATAATCATATTGCATCCAGTATATATAAAAATGAACATATCACCAATTATCTTTAAAATCTATTAAATCTTTTATACTTGTCTCACACATTATAAAACAAAATATCTGCTCACCCTTTGTTATCCTTATCTTGGAGGTCATTATCACTGACATATTTCACAAGAGCTTTTCTCACCTCACCTGCAACTAAGATGCTGTCTTTCCTAAAATGACAAAAATAACTTCATAAACTCTTCATAAACCTTTCATAAATATTCATCTCGATTCTTATAAAATAGCACTAATTGTTTTCTGCTGGTACATATACAAAACAATAACAAATAGACAATACTAATATAAAATGGGAAAAAATATATCTGAACGTACTTGTAACCACTTGGCTTGAACAAAATCTCCAAATTATGAGGGACGGAGTACTTCAAAGTTATTTCTGGAGGTTGATAAGATGCTTTAGCACCACTCGTCTCCTCATCTTGTACTTCTTCATGGAAAGCGAACCCCTCGGGTACACTGAACTCTCTAAGACTTATTAAATAAAAGAATAAATTGTTCAGAAATGTTTCATATAAACTATCCTGACCTACAGGTCCAATGTGTGCCAGCTTATTTTTAAACCTTCACATGTGCACACTTACTGGACTCTGACCTTCAGCACAGTCTGCGATGTTGACCAATGGCCCAACTGCCAATGCCAGTCAAAACTGGACTGTTGTACCATGAAAATCTGACTCCCCTAAAAGGTGACTCCCCAGTCAGATTTTCATTATGAAAACTTCATAAATCTTTTTTATCTGAGTATATGACTTTTACTTTGTAGTATGCATAATGGAGGATACATTGGCACTTTTTATTAGTTTGCAGGTGAAAATTTTTAATGAGAAAATGAGAAAATTAAGATGTGTATTTTACCACCCATGCAATGTGTCATGCATCATAATCTGTTATTATTCAAGTTAAACACATCACACAAAAATTGAAAAAATTCTTACCTCTGATTATCCTTATGGATAGTAACAATGCTCTCCACCCCCTTGGATAGGTCTTTGACATCTATAAGGCCTTGGGACTGTTTGATTTGCAGAAACTTGGACAGCTAAAAAGACAACAATAAATAATACTAGTTAGAAATTTTACGTAATGTTATGAGAGGAAGGTTGTTTAGATTAGTCATTCATTTTTAGAACTCAATCCTTTATCGCTACCTGCACTTTGATCAATTACTTGATAAAAACAATCAAACAGATACTTAAACAAAAATGTATTAAAAACTTTTTAATGTTATGATGCTCTCCATACCTTTTTGTGTGACGATTTTTTAATATCAAGAAATCTTCCAGATGGGCTGAAAAGAAATGTATACATAGTTGTTTTTAGTAGGAAAACATCTCAAGAAACATTTTCTTGCATAAACACATGCAATAATGATCTAAAAATGCATCCACACTCACATTTTCAAATCTAACAAGGACACTGATACTTACCAAAAAGGCACCATGTAACTCCTAAAAAATTTACTGGTAAGCAGTGGCAAGTCACTCTTCTTGACCTGTGTCTTTAAAGCACACATAAAGCATATGTCCAAAAGGTCATCCATGGCTGAAAATAAAGAGGCACATAAAGTTAAAAATTGCCTAAAAAAACTTCAAATAATGTACAAATGCCTTAAATCATGGTTAACATGATAAAAAATAAAGTTATGCTCTAAAGTTTTTAAAAAGCTGGCTGAAAAGTATAAGGTACCTTCTGGACTGATTGTCTCTTCTTGGCATTCGATATTGCTTTCTTCGACAGTGACATCTTCAGTCTCTCTATTATTGCTATTTTCTACTCCTGAATTTAAGCCATTATCATCTCTTTCACCTGCTGCACAGTCTGATTTTTCAATTGACAGCTGATTTTCTGTTAAATCTGATAAACTGTTGTCTGTGTTTATTATTCCAGCAGATTCTGATTTTTCTCCAAATGTCTCAGAATTTTCTTCTGACATTTCTTCAGCTTCTCCATTTTCTTCAAAATTTTCAGAAGGTGCTAAGCCATCATGTACAATAGGTAATTGGCCTTTGTCCCCAGCAGCCCTTTAAATAACATTTCAATGCTATCACATAATACTCCAAAAATATAAGTTAGGCACAAAGTACTGTTATACTGTATTTTGCACTTGTATTGTCTTTATTTAAGAAAGTACAAAAAGTGGAGAGGACATACCAGTATTTCAACTATATGCACCAAACCTTTGAAACATTATCTATTTAAGAAATTGCTTTAACATACTTTCTGTTATCAGACTCTGTATATCTTCAGATAACCTATAAAAGAATGTATTTTCTTACCAGAAATATATAGTATTTTCTTACCACAAATGATCTAGATAAGAATGGATAACAATGACTCCTTTTCCCCTCATTCCAGAGTCCACCATATCACTACTGGACAGGGCTGCTCTCCCAATGGCTACAGGACATCTAAAATGTTGGACATATTTTATCTGTTCTTTGCAATATTATTTTGAACTTTCTCAAGTTAAGCAGAACAGGGTACTTTGCTTTTTAAGACCCCATTCCCACAGATTTCAGATCGATCTATCCCTGTGGGGAGTCTCACTAGATTACTGTCAGCTTAGCCGGCTTAAATGTCTGTCCCGCCTACTAAAAGCTGTAAGGTGGTAATTAACTACTGTGCGCGCTTGGCTGGCACCAATTTAGCATGAACCCCCAGGGAGTTAGGTCGATCTAGATGGATCGATCTAAATCTATGGGAATGCATTCTAAGTCTTGTTTATATAAAAAGGTTATAATGTGCTTGATTTGAAAATGATAAAATTGCATTTCTTGTGGCAAAACTTTGGAAAACATACCTGTTCCCTGCAAGGTTAATTGCACATGTGGCACCTTTCTCCAAAGACCATAATGATCTGGGGGTGACATCTCCCTTAACTACTATCCCAGGCAACATTAGGTCTGGAATTTCAATTAAATTGAAAAAGCAGATGCATAAATGGTTATGAATTGCTATAAATGTGTGGGTGTGTGCATGCATGCGTGTGCGCGTACGTGTGTGTGTGTGTGTGTGTGTGTGTGTGTGTGTGTGAAAAGAGAGAGAGAAGAAGAAAGAGATTGTATTTACCTGCTCCTCCAGATATTTTCTCAAACACTGGAGGCCATGTTGTAAAGACTGGAACAATATCTGGGTTCTTCCATAATGTGTACACTACAAATAAAACAAACAACTCTTGAAAAAAGATGAAGAAATTGACTCTCATACTGGATCTTACATTCTGAAACAGAGGTTACAAAATTTGGTCTCATCTCAAGGTCTGCTTCAGGTGAATTTGATGTTTAGTTGTCACAGTAAAATATATCAGGAGTCAAGAACTGTAACAACTTGCATGATTTTGTTGTTTGTATTCAATCAATAAATGTTTTGTCTTCAATTTAAATTCAAATACAGCTAGCAAACTAGTAAATGTCTTGGACATTATATTATTACATTTAATTTAACAAAACAATTGCCAAGATCTGCAAATCAAACACTGCTACAAACCAGTACTTTGATACAGAACTAGAGGATCAGAGAGGCGATACTGCCTCCGGATATTGTACCACCAGCTGGAGTAAGCGCATTCATATGGCCCCCCCCCCCTCCAAAAAGGGACACCATCACCAGTCTTGTGCTTGACAAGCTCTATAAAATGCAATCAATGAGAGTTCTCAAAATATGCAAAAAATATAACTAAAAATGGAACAATCAAGCACATTTTTGAATTGACTTGCATTTTTCTACCGTTGATCACTCCTGTGATTCTCTAGAAAAAAGGCCTATTGGTTTTCCTTGAAATGTGTTGTCAGTGGTGCATATATGCTGACAAAAGAGAAAACCTAGGGGCAACAATGGGTACATCTCTGCTAATTTTGAAGATATGAAAGGGAAGAAAATATGCAAAGCTCAGTTCATGGTGAAAAAGTAGGTCAAAGGTCAATTTCAATATCATAGATTATGAATTTCTATTCAAGTTCAATAGTAACTATGGGCGTATCTCTGCCAGTTTTGAAGATAAAAGGGAACGAAAATTTGCAAAGTTCAGTTCATGGTGAAAAGTAGGTCAAAGGTCAATTTAAAGGTCACAGTAAATTGCCTCTAATGACTTTCTATTCAAATTCAATAGTAACTATGGGCGTATCTTTGCCAGTTTTGGAGATAAAAGGGAACAAAATTTGCAAAGTTCAATTCATGATGAAAAGTAGGTCAAAGGTCAATTTAAAGGTCACAGTAAATTGCCTCTGACTTTCTATTCAAATTCAATAGTAACTATGGGCGTATCTTTGCCAGTTTTGGAGATAAAAGGGAACAAAAATTTGCAAAGTTCAGTTCATGGTAAAAAGTAGGTCAAAGGTCAAATTTAAGGTCACAGTAAATTGCCAGTATATGACTTCCTATTCAAGTTCAATAGTAACTATGAACCTATCTCTGCCAGTTTTGGAGATAAAAGGGAACGAAAATTTGCAAAGTTCAATTCATGGTGAAAAGTAGGTCAAAGGTCAATTTTATGGTCACTGTTAAAGTGCCAGTATGTGACTTCCTATTCAACTTTAATAGTAACTATTGACCTATCTCTGCCAGTTTTGGAGATATAATGTTACAATTCTGAGTTACAATAATGTGCCACCACAATGTACTTTTTAATACAGCATAACACGAAAACCGTATGAAATACAAAAAAACGGAGACCATTTGCAATGTTGGGCTTTACATGCTCTACAAAATGCAAAAAAGAATGGGTCGCTAGCATTAACGGTTCCCGAATTAGAGACAGTTTTCAGTTTCGGTATCTTATGGCCGCTTCTCCCGTGAAAATGCACCGATTGACCCCAAATTCACGGAGATGAAAGATGACCCAAAGGGTAACACTTTCCAATAATATTATTGGTTAAGTCTGTGTAGTGTCTGAATAACAGCGCAAATAATATTTTTTTTGTAAAAAATTTCATCTTTTTGAAAATTTTGGCCCGTTTGACCTTGAAATAAAGGTCAAATGTCAAATCCAAGGGCATATTTGAAATCTACACATATGACTTTTGGGAAGCCGTCTGTAGAAATTTTTCCCATAATTCCTTCCGTAGGGTAGATAATTGGCATTGAATTTTCAAAAATTTTGACAAGGGTGCATTTCAACGAGCGTCACGCCCAGGTTAATGCACCGAGTGAGACAAAAAAACCTGGGGGTTCAAGTTGAGGTTATATGTGACCTAAATCCAAGAGATGGAGACAGGGGTCCTTGCGGTCTAGGAGGAGAAGCGGTAACGGTGACTTGTATCCGGCGCCAGTACGCGGAGCCGGCGGAGCCGGACGAGACGGGTCGGGACTAAAACCATGAGTACCGCCAGCGTACACGCTGGTGGTACTAATGAAAAAAATTTTAACACAATACAGTGAGGTAAAAATTGCCTTACAAAAGTTATACCCTATGGTTTGCTTCAGTATCAAACAAAATTTTGAGGCAAATTTCAAGTTCTTATCTGTACAAATTAATGTTTTGGGATATAATTAAAATTAAAAATATAATTTCTGACCATTTCTTTAAATCTTGTTATTTTAATATTGCACAAGCAGATGTGATCTCACCTCTTTGCACATAGAAGTGGCTCTCTGGATGGCATCCCCTGGCACGTTGGTGGCTCCAATCTGTTGTGTTATACCACCTGCCTCTCCGTCCTGGACATTGGTTCTACGGAGCTAATAATGGTATTAAATTTTTAAAATATTACCATCCACTAAGATACACAAGCACATATCATTAGCTAGTTTGAAAAATCCCAGATGAATAATCAGTAAATATCTGTGTGTCATCAAGCAAAAATCGGAAATAACATTGGTGCAGCCCTTTAGAAACCTCAACTTGACTACTGCATTTGCAGCATGAGGATGAAACCTTTGTCACTGTAGAAACACAGAAGTAGCAAACAGAAGGTTATTCAATCTAATCCAGTGTGTGCCTCACCTGTGATTAATTGGTTTCTGTTCAAGTTAGATTTCTGTTCAATGCGTTACCAAAATTGTCAGAATTATCACACGGCTACCTCAATTAATATATTAAAAACTGCTTTAAGTTATGAAAAATTTCAAAGTCAAGTAACATTTTCTGCACTTGGCCCCAATTTCACTAAAAAACTTCAATCAGTTCCAGTGGCTAACATCTTTTTCACCAATGTTACATGGTCACATCTTACCATATCAGGAACAGTGTTACAGCTAGGGAACTGATTTTAAGTTTTTTTTTTTTTTTTTTTGTGATAGTAGGGCTTGGTGACGTCATTTACCACATGCCCCACTTACTTTGTCTAAGATCTTCGTCTTCCCTGTATCTACATGGCCTAACACACATACAACAGGTGCTCTCAGGTAGTCCACAGACCTCTTGGCCTCTGCTTCTTCTTTGAATTTCTAAAGAAAAGAGAATTCTAGGTCAGTGATACATATCTCTGTGCCAGCAGACATGGATAAACATTAAAAAAAAAATTGATAAGCATGTAATCTTTTCATGAGGGGACCTATTGGCAGCTGTTATTATTATAGATAATATAGATAAGGTACATTTTTTTCTATGATGTTTTTTCTTTGTCTATATTTGAGATATGTTGACAAGTGTTATTTCTTGACTCTTGTATCAATTATTATGAGACAAGGAAAATGAATCTGTGTCAAGGAATTCTTCGTCTACCACAGCTCTAGCATCCAATTTTCTTATAGTTCTTACCAGAATTCTGGCCCAAGCTTTCTCCTTCGGGTCTACATCCTCATCACTTTCCTCCTCTGAAGACTCTTCCTCACTTTCTTCCTCAGAATCCTCCTCGTCCTCGTCCTCATCATCTTCCTCTTCCTCATCCTCATCTTCTTCCTTAGACTCTGACACTTTTTTACTTTTTGTTTCTGAAAGGATCAGTTTCTTAATGTACTTCCCAGACAACACTGCCAAAAATGTGTAATGTATGTCAGTTAATGTCACTTGAAAATTGTTCCCTTTTATCAACTTAAAACAAAAAAGCAGATGCACCCCCTACTAATCAGAATTTTTTCTTACCTTCCTTAATGTTTTTGTCAACTTTTTCTTCCTCCTCCTCTTCCTCTTCACTGCTTACATCCCAGGCATCTTTGGGCTCTTCTTCTACCTCCTCTTCCTCATCAGCTTTAGTTTCTTCTTCAGTCTGCATATCAGCAGCTGTCTCAGAGGTTGGTGACTCAGGAGCTTCTGAGGTTGGTGTGTCTGGCTCTTTTTCTATCAGTTTTAAAGGATTTTAAATTTAACAAAATAGCACATATTTAGAGAAAATATTATAATTTTCTAAATAAGATGAGGAAATCGTTACACAAACATCTGGGCCCAGTTTCATTAATATTGGATAGCGCTAGCCTATGGATAACACAATCCATTGGATGAGCTTGCTATCCAATATTATAAAGCACTCTTTACATACCTTCCTCTTGCTGTCCTGGCCTCTTTTTTCTAAGCCTTTCATAACGAGGTTTCTTCTTTTCCTTTGCATCAGGAGCTTCTGGAATCTCAATACCTAAAAAGCACCCAAATTATGAAAATAATGAGTAATTCAGTCAATTATGGACTAATACATATTGATCTTTACCTCATAATTGACAAAACTACAATAAAAATAACACCATTTTTTATCTGGAAACTTATATCTGTTAAATAATATTCTGGAGTATAAACATGCCTCATACAAGCAAGAACTCGGCTCAAAAAGGTAAAACAATTCATTTGTAACAATGAAGCAGATTTTTTAAGTAAATATTTTGCACAGTGATTTGCCAAAGGGGATATTAACAAATTTCACGCTTAACCTAACATTATTTGTAAGAAAATTGTTGTTTTTACCTTGCTGCTTCATCACTTCCAACATCTGCTGTGCCCTCTTTCGATCCTGCTTTTGCTTCTCAGTCAACAGCTTGCCTTCCTGCTTAAGGCGCTCTTTTCTCTCCTTTTCTTTTTGCTTCTTTTTCTGCTTTTTCTCCTCTTCCAGCCTTTTCTGTGTTGAAAAAAGGGAGCAATGTGATGTTCGTTTGAACTTTTTTAAATCCTTGACTCGTATTTTTCAACATTTAAATTTGTAAAATTTAATTGCTGATTAACTTCAATATCTAACTATGATGACATTCTTTTTATTAAATAATGTGACTTTCTAATAAATGTGGTATGTAAGCAAAATTTCGAGCAAACACTTCTGTGTTTGTCCTTTATATTGGTCAGATTGGGTAACAGTAGTAAATCAAATTGAGAAAACTCATATAATTTTTCAAATTATAATTCTCATAAAGGATAAATCTTAAGAAACTATGATTATCATAAGGCACAAATGCAAGAACAAGAGATTTTATCATGTCAATAATGTTGATCTAAAGCTGTTTGTGAAAAAAGGCTCCTTAAATTGGAGAAAAGTTGTATAAATTAAAATGTAAGCTCTCTTATCTGTTATTTTAAGGTGTGTGGTTATTATGTTATGGTTATTTTATTATTAACTTACAACATAACTTACCTGCTCTTCCCTTAATCTTATTCTTTCCTCTTCCTGTCGTATCCTCTCCTCTTCTTCACGTTTCAGACGTTCTTCCTCTTCTTTCATCTTTTTGAGCTGTTCTTGCATTGCCCTCACCTGGTCACATACACACAGATAACTATAACAGTTTCATTTTTTAAAACAAAATTTAATTTTTCAAAAGAATAAAACAGAAAAGAAGATAAACATTTCCTTCAACACTGTTGTTACAAGTCGACTGAAAAGTTTCTGTGATGGTTGAAATATTTTTTTAGGCTCTCATATCCTTATAGCTACGAAAATACCTGATGAACTTCATACTCTATCATTAAAGCCATATCCCAAACTTCTATATTAGAATGTTAACCCTTACCTGGGCACTTGGTTTCTTTTTCTTTTCTTCCTTTTCTTTTTCTCCTTTCTTTTTCTTCCTGTCCCTTTTCTTCTTCTTGTCACCATCCTCTCCTTCTTCACCTTTTAAAGAAAATGCACACGTAATGTTAAGGAATAATACAATTAAATATCACTTTTAAAAATTTCATCTCTTAGCATACTCTATTTTCATAAATAGGTAGTAATGAAACATATACCTAGAGATATTATGCGGACATGGGGATATACACTTTATTCTGGTTTAGAGGTGTTTTTTTGGCCAAATACCAGTACTTTCTCTCGTTAGGCATGTTAATACAGTGCCACCCTCTTGCATTACATGCCTTGAACACCTCTTATGTTTGGGAGACAGTATAGTTATAGTATCTTACACATGATGCAGAGTAACATGCACCAAAACGGTGCAAGTTGATTGATTACTTTTGTATTTCATGGGAAGTGTAACTGTATAATACGAACTGAAATATTACCATCCCCCAAAGTCAAACTATTAAGACTTGTACCTTCTTCCTTGGCATCCTCTCCATCTGCTTTGTGTTCTTCGTCTGGTGTAGATTCTGGTTTCATTTCTGCATCTGCTGCAGCTGCTTCTGGTTCCGGAGCAGTTATCGTCTCTGACGGAGCCTCTGAGGCTGACTTTTGTTTCTTGGCCTTTTCCTGTCAGAAAAATAAGAAATAGGAATAGGTTGTGGCATGGATAAGAATGTTATATAAATAATACTAATGGGAACTCCCTCTATTAGGTATCATCAGAATAATTTTTAAATAATCAGTATGACTTTCAAAACATTGGGAGAACCCAAACAGACAGTTCATAGAGAAAATCCCTGTTAATGATACATCACGTTTATCAAGAATCTTACACTTCTGATAAATGATTAATACAAACTTGTAATTTCTTCTTCTTTTCTCTTTCTTTCTTCTCCTTTTTCTTTTCAGCTGCTGTCTTTACATGGAATTTCCCTTCGTCCTCCTCAACATCTTTAGCTTCGCTGCCTCCTTCTTCCTCCGTTTTATCTACATCTTTTACATCTTCACTACCCTGCTCTGTCACTTCAGAGGAATCATTAATTTGAGATCTTTCCTCTGTTTTTACTTCTGTTTCTACACTAGATTCTCTGTTTTCATTTTCTTCTTGTTGCTGTTTCTTTTTCTCTTTTTTGCTTTTCTTTCCTTCTTGTTTTTCTGAAGGCTCTTCAAGGGCAGCAAGGATTGCATCAATGTCTTCCTCTTCTTGTTTATGTTGTTTCTTTTTGTCTTTTTTCCCTTTCTTCTGCTGTGGAGCTTTGTTATCATTTGATACTTTTGAGTCAACATTGTCGGCCTCCTTTTTGTTATCATTCTTCTCCACTTTCTTTTCGTCTTCACTGTCTGCTTCTGACTGCATTTGGAAATAAGAATTTATATCACAATATTATAACCATATATATATGTATATATACTAATACTATCGAAATCTACAATCATCATAATATTTTGTATTATTTCACAATTATATTATACATTAGCAATAAAATTTAAAATGATAGCTGCATTATAATAGATAGTTCTCAGTACAAGTAAACTAATCATCAAATGCTAGGAAAAATGATGATATCAGAAAAATAAAATTTAAATGATCTTCACACCGAAACTCTACTACAAATCAAACTGCACATAATAAATTGACTAACCCCCTCATCTGACTCCTCCATGTCAAGCAACTCAAAGGCAGACATCATGTTTTTCTGGGGTTTAGTTTTAGCTTTGCCCTTGCCTGCTGCTTTGGCTAAAGCAGCTATGTCAGGATCTTCTTCATCCTCCTCTTCCACGACCTCAGCTTTTTTCTTCTTTTTCTGTAAATAATTATGAATATTATTAACTGATATTATCTAATTTGTGTTTATAAAACAAACAGAACACAGGATCTTTCAGAAGAGATGTTTTTGATCCATGACGAAAACAAAAATCTATCAAATAAAAAATTGTTATGACACAGTGAATTTTGAACATTTCAAGTACCCGAAGGCATTCAAAACGAACTGCCCACATTCACAATCTGCATGAGACAGATGAGAGATTCTCAGTCAACTTTTCCAGCATGTACCTTCTCCTTCTTTTTAACTGGTTCATTTGTACCATTCTGTACACTGTCATCTTCATCGTTGTTCTTGCCCAAGTTCATCTCCAGAGACATGGCCTCCAACTCTGCAGCCACATCGTCCCTAAAAATGAAAGCATAATCTTTTTATAAAGTGTTGTTAGTGAGTCTCCTATGGTTATCAGATGGATGCCCGTGAGGGGTGCTGGTCAAAATTAACTTGGCTAACCAGGTGGAAGGACAGTCTGATGAAAAGAATCACCTCATATCTGTTTCAAAAAACTTCTGGCCTCTAATCTGTTAGTAGATTGTAGTTAAAACTGATAAAGCAATTTCACTGCACATAGGAAAAATCACAGATGTACAGAGATGATAAGTTCACAGATGTACAGAGATGATAAGTAACTGCATGAAACTTCATTCAAGTCTTCAGTTATCAATACTTTGGGGGTGCTAAAGTTATAGTGCGGGTACTAAAAAGAATGTAGCCACCAGTACAATTGAAGCTGGACCAGTTAAATTTTAGCGATTTTTTTTGGTTAACAAAGTAAAATTGCTGTATGTCCCTGCACTGTTATTACCCAACATTATTACTCCCTTTTGGTGAAAGTGCAACATTAATTTTAAAACTTTATTGTAAATTTCAGTACCCTGAAAAAAACAGTTTCCAAGCAATCATTCCAAAACCAACGAGGCGGAGTAAAGGTATAGGAGAGTATCGATAGGAGTCATAGCATAGTTTCGTTAAGGGGAATAACACCCTGAACCCCGAACAAATTTTGAGTGGTGATGCAATGCTTTTCAACCCCGCTGAGAATCGTCACTATCACATCGCATACTAGGCAAGAACGGTGTCGCGTCTGATACTGTGTAATGCGATCTGACACACACCTTGAAAACGGGTAGTGTGGTCTGATCTACCGGTGAATTCAGGATCATTCGGTCCCGAATCTGGTAGTTGGGTAGGTCTGTGATTGATAGGGTCCTTTGTTCCTTCTCTGCACAAGCAAATTATTAGCTCCAGACGTCTGAAAGGGCCAATAGGTCAAATGTTTTTGGCACAGACCAATCCAACAGGAGGAACATCAGAAAATGACATACATGGATCTGGACCTACTTGAACCTTCCTTTGTTTTATTTTAATGATCCTGCTGAGAAACTGTCAGTGGCAATTTATCAATTATGTAACATATAAAAAATATTGTGACCATAGGATTTTATATATCTTCAATAAAAACTCCTAAGTGATTGATGTACTGAAACGTAACAAAATAAAATGAACCCTTTTATTATTGACAAGGCCTCTCCCAATACTGTCAACTTAAGTTATCATTGCACAATAAAATAACATTCATCACCTCATGGTGTGCTCCAACATAAATTATTAAAACATGCCAGCAGAACGAGTTAATGTCTTCCTCTTACGTATATGCTATAAAGAAAATTACCTGGGTAAAATCATGGTCTTAGTTAAACATTTAATTACGTATACATTAAAAACCTTCTGAACAGCTGTTGGCAAGATTTTGTATGATGTTCACACAACTAGCGTGAAGACAAGGCGCTATTCATGAGAACAGGTTGAAGTCAGATTTAATACTTACAGCTCTTCCTCGTCGCGTGCTTTCCTGCCTTTCTTGGGTTTTCCCATCTTTCCTATCTATCATAACTTAATTTCACCACTAAACAATGTGTACAAACAAACGAAAATGATACAAATTTCTAAGGCAATGTGCTCTCACGACATGCGTACTTCCAATACCGGAAGTGTGTTTCACATAACGCAAGTAGAAGACTTGAACTTCATTCTAAGAAAAGTGGCTTTCCATTCACACTAGATTATAAGAATGACATGCCTATTGTAACATTACAACTTGATTTAATTATATAATGTGTTATTGTAAAAGTCATTTTTGATGTGGTACACGACAAAAAACAGATGACAATTTGTTGACTTTGCACGTGTGCCAACCATATTTTGTCGTCATATCGCGGGAAATAGTAGCTGCTGAGTTGCTGTTGTTTAGATCCAATTATTTAAATCAAATAATTCACCAATTAATTTATTTAAAATATTTTAATTGTTGACTGCTAAAGCTTAATATCAATGGCTTAATAAAGAACACGATGAGCATTTGGTAAAGTGTAAATCTGAATTAATCCATGCACCCCTCGCAGAGATGCCAACCTCTGGAATTCTAAAATCTGGCGATTCTAAAATTTTGCTCAGTAGGGGTGGGGGCACTGGTCGCTGCCGTTTTGCTCAGTGGAGGGGATGGGGGGAGCTATCACTCTCACCCCCCCCCCCCAACAATTAAAAGAGAATTACAAATTTTTCAAAAGATCACCCAACTATCCTGAAGACATCTATTTTTTAAAAAATTAAAATTACTACATATTAAAATAGTATTTTGATTTGGGTATTTGAGATAGGACGTTAGCTGACAGTGGTGAAAAAATTTTAAGTTGCTTTTATCTGGGAGATTTGGGCACCTGTACAGGAGAACGGGAGATTTGTTCTGTATCCGGGAGACTCCCGGATTATCCAGGAGAGTTGCCATGTATGCCGTCGTATGTTTATTACGTAAATATAAGCTGTTAAAATATATTAAGCACTATTTTGTGTAAAATTTGATGAGTTGTGAAATAAGGTTTCATAACTGATATAAAATGTCATGTTTCCATTTCTTTGAATCTGTACATATACGTGTTAGTTTGCAATAGGTGTAAAAACAAATCACTTCAAGAATATATATAATTACGGTAATATTAAATTGGACCATAACTCATACAATCATCTGATTCTAATTATGGAAGAATTCACTAAATATATAAAGGAAATATTCTTACTCAAAAATATCCATGTGAGATGATCTAGGGATCTAGATACCACAAACATATCTACATGAACATATGTATATACACTGTATTTCATGATTCATATAAAATTATTTTACATTTACTAGTACTATGCAGTACAAGCATTGTACATTTAAATGTATTTTCATCTTGTGATATGACAGAACAAGATTAATTGCAAGTACAAGATTTTCACGTGTTTATTTGTTTCTGTCATTGTTTGGATGACGATTGTATACATGTTAAAACAAATACACTTAAGCCTTATACAATGTTACAATAGTCAGAATTGTTTGCAGTTTTTGCTGTAACGCATTTTAAGTTTTTACCTTATCTAAAACCAATTTTGCACTTGTGATTAAAATAACAATTATTCTTGGCTGAGGGAAAAGTAAACATTCACACAATTGGGATTGAATATTATTACTGCACAAAATCAATCAAATCTAGAAAAAAATTTCCTTAAATGGGCAACTATTGGAACTGCATGCATCCAGACAGTGTTTGCAAGCTACAGTACATATATAATCTTATGTTAGCTCACTTTGAGCAGTCTTGTTTTATTTTGGTACTCTTCATAAAAATTCAGCAAATCTTGACTTATCCTAGGTGTGACAGCTGTTAGAGCTTGCATGAAATGACTTCGCGTAACACACAAAGCACTAATGTCTTCTTGCATGGCGCACAGGGCAGCCTCATGACAAACTGCTGCCACCTGTGAAGCAAAAGAAAAAATTAGGGGACAAATATTTTAAAATTGTTTAAGGTGATCATTACTGCTAAAATGTATATTAAGGGTACAGAAATGCTTCTTTCAATTCTCAATCCAAAATGATACTGAACTAAAAACATTTTTAGCTTATCTTGCATGCAATGAAAAATAATACTAGTAACATCATGCACTGTATTTATTAACTGTCTTATTCATCACAAAATCAGTTAAAAAGGCTTATGACATTTTTATTCAATAAAAAACATTTTAAATAAACAAGTAGCTGAATGTTAATATTGGCCTGATGATAATAATTTACTTCATGTCACACTTTTCAAATCAGAAATTTTATTTTCATTTCTTTTTAATTTATTATTTTTTTGTTGGGAGGGGGTGGGGGTGGAACTTATAATATATATACTGGTAACATTGTTTATAAATAAAACTATTTTTGCATGTATGTACCTCTGCTCCTGAATAACCCTGCGTTGATGACACCAGCTCTTCAATGTCGACATCAGCTCCCACGGGGGTTTTTCGAAACTGTATCAGGAAGATGTCCCTGCGGGTGTCATGGTCTGGTAGAGGAACATACAGAATTCTATCCAGACGTCCTGGTCTTAACAGAGCCTGAATTGTTAAATTACTTGTACTTTAGTGAATTGAAAAAGATATCAGTGCTAAGGTCTTCCAAGTACATAATGTTTCCATACCATTTCCAATATTAGAAAAAAACATGTGTGTGTACTAGAGGCTATTCATGCCAAGCAGTGCAATGTAAATGAGTCAAAATTATTAAGAAAAAAATCAATATCCCCAAGCCTTTACTGCACTAGTTGATCCAGGGTTTTACTAAAGTGAAATAATTTCTTTGCTTGCTTTGGTTGACTCTTAAAAGAAACCAAAGGGGACGAGGTGGTAGGTGCCCTTTAAAACTTAACTGAAAACACACTTTAAACATATTTACAAAGTATGAATATTTTTCAGCCTAGTAGTGTTGCTAAATAATACTTTTTTTGTTGTCAATGTTATTTAATTGTAATATTAACATTGTTCTCAATAATTTTAGGTTTTCTGTTAAGCACACTGAGATATTTAAGGGAATGCACCATAAAAGAATTTATATTTATTTTTATCAATAAAATAATCCACTCTTTAGTCTTCAAAGTACCATTCTCCATTACTATTCAAAACCTGTCCATCATACACTGTAAAATGATATCATTATAATAACTAATAATAAATAATTGGTTTCTCATCCACTAAGCATACTTTATCTATCATATCAGGTCTGTTAGTAGCAGCCACAATAGTGACATCCTGGAGTTTATCCACTCCATCCATTTCTGTCAGCAGTTGGGCTAAGACCCGATCAGCTACATTGCTTCCTCCACTTGATCTGAAAATAATTTTTTAACAAAATTGTAGGGAAGGTGTCATATAGAATTATAATTTTCATCAGATAAATGTATTGAATTCAAAAGTGCCATGTTGATACACTGTAATCCATGTGTCAAAATTAAAATGCAAATAAAGCCTTCACTGCATACCTGAACATTTGGAAGGAATGCTTTTCTGAAGTTGTTTCCCAGCCTCATTTTATGTGACATTATGCTTATCATATATGTCTAAATAGAGACATATACAATGTTAGTAGGCCTTGATGCGGTTGGATATAAAACAAAAATTGGGTTGGAGATCTCTCTGGCTCTATTTCATTGCTTAACTCTTCTCCTGCACCAACTTTAAAACATACAAAGCTACTGTAATCGGTCTTACTTTCCCCTCTCAACAGCCAGAGCATCAATCTCATCAAAGAACACAATAGAGGGTGCTGCTGCCCTGGCCTTTCTGAACACCTCTCTGACAGCTCTCTCTGACTCTCCCACCCACTTACTAAACAGCTCCGGGCCCTGGAAATATAGAAAAAAAACTCTCTCTAATGCGTTTTGCCTCTCCTCCAGTTGAAACACATGGTTAAAAAAATAAAATAGAAAAGGGTATGAGAAAAATATAAACTAATTAGAACATGGAACATGCTGCTAAAACATTTTTTATAATTGCAAGTACACCACAGGTCTTTTAACGAGGCTAATAATAACAACATACACTAAAACGAACATTTCCTTTAAAAATACAGGATATGATTTAAATTACCTTGATGGCTATGAAATTGAGACCACTTTCTGTTGCCAGAGCTTTAGCAATCATGGTCTTAGAGCAGCCTGGTGGCCCATACATCAGGATTCCCCTTGGGGGTCTGATCCCAAGTCTAACAAAAGCCTCTGGATGTTTAAGTGGCCATTCAACTGCCTGTTTCAGCTTCTCCTTCAACACATTTTGCCCTCCTATGTCTGACCAATACACCTAATAGGTAAGATGAATACTATAAACTTCTTTTAGTGTAAATAAGCATTCTGACATACAATTTAGTTTCACTATCAATTATATTAGTTATACAATGCAGTTTGAATGTGAATTTTATACATATTGGAACCAAATTGCAAAATACCACCCATTAGTTCTACAATATAATATGAAGAGGTTAAACAGCAACAGAAAATGCCTTTTTTTCCTACCTTTGGCACATCAATTGCAACTTCCCTCATTGCACTTGGCTTCACAGAATTTAAGCCAAAGACCATGTCATCCATGGTTACAAGTACAGGCACGGAACTGTCACCTCCCTGCTTAGCTATATGGCTCTTTAAGGCATGCAGCCCACCTTGAATATAAGAAGTATGGTATGGTACATTGTATTAAGGAATGCTTTTAATGATAATTTTGTATTCCCCATTTCAAATGATCGTCTGATAACGATTACTGGTACTTCATCATTGGAATAAATCTAATTTCTCGACCAACCATTTCTTTATATTGGGACAATTAAGCTTCATGACATTAGATTGTCCTCATCAGTTAAATGTTTACTGTTACATTGTTATTAGGCTGCCTGGTAAGTACCAGGTACCCTGGTAAGTACCAGTTAGGTTGACCCATCTCCAATGGAAACAGGCCCTTTATAGCTTAGCACAAAAGATGATACTACGTAGTACAGCTGGATGTCAGCATTGGAAGAGTCCTGAGCAAACCAAGTGCCTTTTACAAATGTAACATATTATTTATATTCATCTTTAACATATTGATATGACATCTAACTGCAAATTCTGAGGGTATATGTGCACAACACTTTTGGCTGAAAAAAAGATTTATTTTTACAAAGAAATAAAAACACCTATATTTAAAAGAATTCAACAAACCTTCTTTACAGGCATTAGCTAAATCAGCCCCTACAAAACCATGAGCACTGTCAGCCAGTGTTTTTATATTGTCTGCACTTAGTGAATGGTGCACCTTTGAAAGTAATTTCTGAAGTATCTGTAAAATAAGTGTAAAAAATGATAAAGCTGATAAAAAGTTTACAAAAACTAAAATTTGCTATATGCAAATCTTCTGTTAGATGTCATAATTTAATATGATATATTAAAAAATTAATAACATGTTATGATGTACCACTTATGATTCACATTTTTCTTGTTTTACAATGCTGGTGTCCCTTTTGACTATACTGATTTTACTTTTCTCATAAATAGTAAAAATATACTTGTAACAGTAACACTACATCTGCATAAAACATATTAAACAAAAATCAGTCTAAGGGAACAATCATGCTTCTGTAGACATACATCCTCCCTATCTCTAGCTGTAGGGATCCCAATCTCAATCTCTCTATCCAGTCTCCCTGGTCTCCTCAGAGCTGGGTCAATACTGTCAGGTTTGTTAGTGGCTGCTAGCACCAATACCAGTCTGGAACCCTGCTGTAATAAGATACAGTGACTCATGCATTAAGGAAGCATACTAGTCAAAAATAAAGGAAAAAAGTGCATACTAGTAAATGTCATTTTAATATGCTGAAAGCTGGTTTGTCACTGGTTAAATTAACAAATTCAAAAGTCTTATAATGATCAGAGTTGGAATTGTTTCAAATGATGAATAAAATGAAACAAAGTTGATATAATAAGATACATGGTTTTAACTGATTTGTCCACTTACCTGTTCTATACCATCCAGTAGTGTTAGTAAGGAAGCCACAACTCTTCTCTCCAAGCCACTGTTACTACTTTCCCTCTTTGGACATAGGGCATCCAGTTCATCTATCAACACCAGACTTGGCGCTCTTCAGATATTAATAATATTTGAAATTCAAAAAAAGAGAAAAATATAAGTGTACAGATTTGATTGAGAGGGAAGTATGGCAATTATACCAGCAACTTTTCTTTGTTATTTGTAAAATGTAAAAATTTGCATTTTGTCCCATTTTAAATCTAAAATAATAGAATTATATAAATTTTACTATATGAAAAGTTATCTGAAAGTATATAAATTTATCTAACATACGCTTTATTACATGCATATCTTGCTCAAAATCTAATTAATTTACATATTTCCACATAGACAAACAGGCTTTTCTATTGTTGACAATGTGCAAGTGCAGTATGTAATCAATGAAATAATGACCCCTAAAATTTGCTTACTTGTCTATGGCCTCTTGAAAAATCCTTCTAATACGTGCTTCTGTCTCTCCATAAAATCTATAGAATAAAAATGTGTAAGAAACATAATAAAGATAAAATTTGAACTGAAAATGTCTTCATTTTAATCAAAATATGAGTGACCAACTTCAAAACATACACTGAGAAATCATACTTTTTAAATCAACTGTCATTGGGAATGTTTAACACAGACATTCTTAGAGGAAAAATAATCAGCTGTAATTTTTTTTCAGTAGACTTAAAGCTAATTTACAAGACGTAAAGTACACATTTATCAATTTACATATCCAGTTAATAGTCTACATCTTACTTGCTCCAAATTTCTGGAGCACTCAGCATGATGACATGTGCACTGGTTTCACTAGCTACAGCTCTCAGCAGCAGAGTCTTTCCTGTACCACTGGGACCATATAACAACACACCCTTAGGAAGTGGTAAACCTGATAGACAAAGATATTTAGATTTTTAGACAGTTTGGACTTTTTCTTAATTTTCAATGATTCCTCTACACTTAAATAAACATTATTTCAATGTAATATATTTGAGCATTAGGAAAACAACATGTCACATATCTCAGTCTACAATAAAAAATGTAATGGTGACCCTCGTTATTGGCTCTGTTCCCATAGATTTTAGATCGATCTATCCCCGCAGGGAGTCTCACTAGATTACTTTCAGATAATCCGACTTAAATGTCCGTCCCACCTACTACAAGCTGTAAAGGGGTAATTAACTTTCATGTCCACCCGGCTGACAGCTATTTAGCGTGAACCCCCAGGGAGTTAGGTCGATCTAAAGTAGGTCGATCTAATCTATGGAAATGGGGTGATTGATAAAACTTTCAGAAGCTCAAAAGCTATTTAGCATGAACTGTTCACAGACTGAACAGTAGTTTACCAAATGCCTTGAAAAGTTCAGGCTCCTTCAGTGGCAATTCTACCATTTCCTTTATAGAGTCCAGCTGCTTGACCAGTCCACCTATACTGCTGTATCCAATCCTGTCTTTTTGTCTGGCCTCCTTGTCCTCACAATATCCATCGAAAATTACTGTAATGTTTGTTGACTTGTTTATGAAATAAAATGTATTACTCTGACCATTACAAGGTTGTTGGCGCTGGGGAGTTTGAAACATACTGCTAGAACTTTTGTCAAGATCTGAAACTTTTTTAACAGGAGAAGATGTCTGAAGGCTTGGCGAACTGCTATCTTCCACAGACCTTTCACTCTGAAGAGATTCTGAGTTCAGGTCTGAATTCTTTGATACATCATTATCCAACAAAGATGACCGATTTAAAGAACTATCATTCGGCTTGACATTTTCATTGTTTTCAGAGTGTTCACTAAAACTTAAATGAGACATATCAACAACCAGGTTAACCTTATCGTAATCACTGTTAGCACCAAATACACTGGGTAGGGTCTTAGGTAAATCCAGCCTTGGGCCTGTCACGTGTGATACTTGCAATCTGCACTGTTGTCCATAATACTTCACAACTAGCTCATTCCCAGTGCATAAGTATTTTTTGTCTGAAAATGAAATAAAACATATAAGTGAAGAATTATTATTAATACTGATTTTAAAACAGCAAGACAATGTCTACTACTTCATAATTTATGGAAGTAAAAAAAAAAAAAGAGTTCCCACTTGAACTTCAAGTATTAATATTAACTGCAAAACTACAAGCAAGTTTTTGTTAAACATTTTTTAACAACAGAAACATTTAAATTATATTTAAAAAGTCATATGAATGCCTGATCTACAAAGTATAGGAACAATATTAACAGCTATTAAGCTGATTAAAGGGAAACAATTTACAACAACTGTACATAGTAAGATGCATACTTAGATATTGCTTTAAGTAATCTTTGAAATCCTGACTTGACATAAAATCCTTGAACTCCCTGAAGATAAATATAACTCCTTGTTATTTGCAGTGACTATGAAAAGTATTTTAATACTTAAAACAGTAAAACTGACATTGCACTTGCTAACTTAATTAATTTTACAATATCAATATACTAACATTATTTATGTACTTAGCAACAATATAGTGACATCTTGGTAAATGGTAAGACATAGTGGACTATCTTGACCTAAGATGTCATATATCTAACTACCACACATTTTTGATTAAAGGATCACCCCAAAGTAAGTTTCCCTCTATAAAACTGTAACCATCATAAAACTTACTTTCATGTCCAATATAAACAGAATATTTAATGCATATTAGCACCTTAACTAACTCTGCTACAGTTTATTTGTAAGAAGAGCAGTGACAAATGATTTTATGAAGCATATAATGTATTGTGCAGGAGAAAACAATTTGGAATGACCCTTTAGTCTTTTATTACCCTGCCACCATAACAGCTTCTGTTGCTGCCAAATGAGGATCCACAAAAGCATCCACAGTAACAGTGTTATCAATGCCTACACCCAATGCATCCCTCTGATGTTCTGTTAGCCCTACACCTGATAATGCAATGGCAGTGCTGGGCCAAGCAGTCATCATCCACATTGTGTTCAAGATCACTGGTTTCCCTATGGACATATTACAAAGTTTCATTGTGCTTGGGTGAAGTAGTACCAAGTCTCCCTTAAGAGATGTTGGAAGTTTGAGTTCTTTATCTGAAAGAAAAATGTAGTGATAAACATTTTTTGCAAAAGAATGGAGCTTGCATGACTCACTTAATTTATTTTGTCACAATCTGTGCATACATGGACTTCACGAATGTGCCATTTTTAACTGCAATTGGCTAGCCTTCGATATAAAGCTTAGGAGCCAAAAAGTTACTTTAGATCGATGTGGCATATCATATATATATATATACTGAATACCTTTTTCAATTGCGCTGTGACACACCATGGCATACAATGTTGCACCACGTATGAACCCATGCCCTAACGATTTCAAGTCCAACTGCTCCGTTTTGGTACAGTTTACGGAATGTTTCTGCTGATCTTTATCACTCACAAGAATCCCACAGTTTTTACATTCACCCCAAGTTGGATTGCTCTTCTTAGAACCCTTAGATGGCGTTTTTGGGGGCATTTTGTATTTCTCTCCTAAACCAACACGTGCGTACGTCTGCTCTTGTCCGCCATGTCAAAACATTATGGTCACATGACACCACGAAACGAGAGTTGTGATATATAATCGTTTCTTGGTGAAATTATTTGAATATATATAAGACTAATCGATATATTTGAATGTTCAGAGAGCTTATGTGGTAGAATCTCACATTAAATTCCCTCTTATTAGTGGAATATGCAAAACCTCCACAGTCACACGTGATTATCCAAACGAGATTTCGGAAGCCTACCATTTTGTGCACGGCATTTTGTTGTCGTGTGGTTGCAATATATAAATCGTCAAAATTGTTACTTGTGACAAATAATGCAAAGTAAAGGACGGTTCTGCGAATCAGCGAAGGGTCTGAATTAGTCTAAGTCGTTGTTGAAAGCTTAATACAACAAAGATTTGTGTTAATATTCAAAGAAAACCAAGTAGCCGGGGTCCGAGCTTGCTCCAAGAAACATGCTCATCGAAAATGTTGACGCTTTGAAAGCATGGCTCACAAAAACACTGACACCCATGTAAGTATGATTCTTTGCATTTTCTGTTTTCTTGCATGTTTTTAATTGCAAGATATTTATAGTTTGACCCTGCCATGTCAAGGTCAGACAGGTGAAAATATGTTTTAATAATTGACCAGTTTGGAAGTTGAAAATGAAACTTGAAAGCCCCAGCAGTCTTTTCAGTCAATGGACATGAGGGTCACTAGGTCGTTTGCAGTACCTACATATGAGTAGTCATTAACTGGTAGTGTATAATTCTGCACACAATTGTACAGAAAATATTGGCAATATTGCCATTAGTTTGATGATGTGTTGGCCCATTTTCCACCTTGTGGTGTAGTGATTTAGGAAAACGCCATACTGGACAAGGGCTCGAACATGGAACTCATCACCATGCTAGTGCTCTACCCACTGAGCTACTGAGCCCAGGTTAACCCAGCTAACAGGGGAATCAAAATACTGAAAAAAAAATTATATAGTGGGCAGTTCTGTTTATGCAGTAAAGCATGCAATCATGTATACATATGATGGATTTGATCTTCCATCTGACTTTACTAGAAGGCTAAAGGTTCTCTACATTTACATACAGGTCATGGTAAGAAAAGAGGTTACCTTCGTTACACAAAGTTTTGCATGAATACTAACATGACCTGTGTTTTTCTGTTTTATTATTTTTTTCTGAGTTTAAATCACTCAAAGAAGTAAGAGTTTCTGAAGAGAATAATGTTCTATGAGTTGAGGTGCTCTTTGTATCCATAAGAGGTTTAAAACTGGAATGGCATTTTGTTGAAGCATACAGGGATTGTTTTGTAATGTGAAATATGTGCTGAGCAATTTACACTTTATTCTTTTAGTCGACTCAAGTGCAGCAAATTAGCACGCCTATATTCAGAGTCACCTAGTGAACAAAAGGAAGAACCCTTGTTAATTGATAATTTCATTTTGCAAAAAATATCCATCCAGAATTTATCCAATTTTTTATTGAAGTACTTCATATATGCCCTTCTGAATAGATGAATTAATGAAGATTGTCAGCAAGTCAAGAAAAACCCAAAGCTCTGGAGACATAAGTTCGATCCCTGGTTAATATTTCATATGTGAAGTACCCAACAAGCACCAATAATGATGAAATGAGTAAAGATATTGATATTTGGGTCCTGTTTCAGAATGGCTGTAGGTCACTTCAGCTGACCTACAGGCATTGCTAAATCAACTTTTCATGCTTTTTGCAATAAAGGGCAAAAGATGGGGTAATTCCCACTTCAACATAAATGTGAAGATTTAATTAAATAAAAAAAGTGAAAGTGATTGACTTTTTTTCAAAAAAGAAAAAAAAAGAAAGAAAGAAAAAATATAAACCAGTATGAAAATTATTAAAAAACTTATTTTCTAGATTTACTTATTAGCATGTAGGTCCAAGAAGTAGTACATTGGTAGTGACAAACTTTAAGCTAAGCAATAAGTAAATTTACTAAGATTGTCACCATTGTGCAAATGACTGGGCTGATAATTTAACAAGAGGTCTCATTATTTTGAGTGTCAATTAAATTCAACCACTGCAACAAGTCTCTTCCTTGTTTTTGTGTTACAGTGTATCTGCATATGTGATATAGCTACAGTTTCCTTGGTGCATTTTAATGAAGAATGCTTCCATTGTCTACCACAGTGATGTGTTGTGACTTAGAATAATCATTAACTGTAAACCCTCAATAATTGCTGCTTTTGTGCACCAAATTATAGTTCATGATCAAATTACTGGAAGAAATGTAGTATACATTTATAAGGCACTCTTTTTAACAAAAATATTGTACAAATACCCTGTAAATAACAAGGACATTGCTGTTTCTAGTTGTGATGCAGATCCAGAAGCTCTTGCAAAATACATCGTTGCCTTGGTGAAGAAGGACAAGACTTTGGAAGAACTCAGGGAACTGTGCAATGACCAGTTAGAGGTGTTTTTACAAAAAGGTAATTTTGGCCTTGGAAGTTGTAGCTTTGTCTGGTTGCTTGTAACTGGTTAAAATTTGTATCTTTAAAAATCCAGTGATTGCGAAAGCCGTCGGACCACGGCCATATGCCGGCAAAAGTTCTGTGGGCTGGAAAACCCTTTTAACTCATCGGCCCACATGTCCGACGGACTAAAGTCAGTTTCTTTAACAGACACCTCGCCTCATATTTGAATTTATCGTAAAGCTCTAATTACGCACTATTCGCAAGTAAAACTTTAACTTGCGCCATACTGGCGCGTTTTGTGATAAAGGTCTACGTACATTATGATGTCGCTTGAAGTGTGCGTAGCGATGGTGTGAGGGCTGACATGTGACCCGTTTCACAAAAAAATGTATCAAAANCACTGAAAATCTATTTAAAATTTTTAAAGTAAAATATGCTGAAGGGTCACCTTGTGTTTAGTGTTTAGCCAAGGTAAAAGTAAATATTCATACAAAATTTACCTGTCTTATATTTCCATGGAATGGGTGAACAAAAATGGAGTTGTCCCCTGGCAGTTGCTCTTAACGCAACTGCTAGTCTTTAGGTGGCATAACCAGTAGCATGTCCTACATTACTTTCTTTATTATTTAATTTGATGCAAGCACTAGTTTTTTAAACTCGGACATCACGAAAGCACTAGTAAGAAAACAAAGTTTACATTGATTATGCAGAAACCAAATCATTTGTGGAGTCCTTATTTGTGAGTTTGGATAACAAGTCCTACCAGCATGTGGACAGTGGAGTAGCAAAGGGGCATCAGGCACAGCAGTCACAGCCACCAACTTCACAGCATTCAGCTCCAGGAAATACAGAGAAAAGAAGAAAGTCTGATGAGGTATTGTATATGTTGTATTTGGAGGCAGTGTTTAAAATAGAACCAGTCTGGAGGCATAGAAATGCCTGGAATATCAGTGCATAAGCTGGTATACAACTTTTTATTTGGCTTGTGATCTTGTGAATTAGAATCTTTCCTTTTCATCTGGGATTGGCAAACATGCAAGGAATTTTTTAAAATATTAATTCTGTACATGTTAGTACATGACTGGAGGTATTTGCCTCAGTTAGAACATCCCTAGACATTTAACTGGCCATTATGGAGTTGTTCTATCCCTAGAAATAACATGCTATCACCATGCAACATCTAGCTATAGGCATTAAGGTAGACATTTAATCAAAGAATGATATTGCTATTTATTTATTTATTTATTTATTTATTTATTTATTTATTTATTTATTCCATTTCATTTCCTTTTTTTGCTTTCTGGAAATGATTTTTTCATATAGTGAGCTATTAGCAAAAGTAAACAAGTGTTTTGCATTTTCTTTAGGAAAGCAAATTATCTTTATTAGTTTGCTATAATTTGTTAGTCAGTGTCCTTCAAACTGTAAATTCAGGTCTTGGAATGGTGTCTTTAAGCAATCTGTTTTCATTAAATGTTTGCCTTGAACAAGTAGATGCCTGTATCGTGAAAATAAAAAGGCATTCTTATTTCTGGTTTGGCACTAATTTATGCCCTATCCACTGCACAGAATGCTAGAGTACCAACCCCCATTAGCACACAGTGGCTGCCCTGCTTATGGCTGTCAGTGTAGGAGAAGGGGGTAACAATATAACTCTAACTATTTTTTTTTCTCAACAAACTAATTTATTTGAAATTTGAGATGAAAATCATCCAGTGCAAGTTTTCTCAGTGTTTTAGTTCCTTATTTGAAGGCTGTAAGATTTTTTTTTCAAAAAAGTTCCAATTGCTAATGTCACAGTTTTGCAACTGGAATGATGAATGGCAAATACATCATCAATTTGCCCTGTTCTAGCTCCCAGACAAAGAAGACCGTGACCACAGAAGGACAAGGAGCAGGAGTCCCAGGAGAGGAAATGACAGGTAATGAAGAATTATATGCTTATTTGCTGGTTAAATTGTATGGTATTCAGAAAAGGTTTTAGGTTAATGTTAAAAAGCTGCTGATGTGATATAAACTTTTAAGAAAAAAATTGCAAATACATGAAATCAGTGATCTTTTTTTTTTATTATTATTATTATTATTACAGGGACAGAGATGACAGACGAAGAAGATATGATGACTTCGCCAGAAGAGATTTTGACAGACATTCCAGAGGTGAAAACCGTGGTAGGTACAGAGACAAAAGGCCACGGCATAGTAGGTCAAGGTCAGATGAAAGTTCAGGGTCAGAGGAAAGGTCAAGGTCACCTGAAAAGGGTAAGTGTTGTCTTTACCATGAATGCTGGTCCATAGACGTCCATAACTGCATGATGGTGGAGGTCAAGAAGATGTGACAGTAGGTGGAGGCCATTGAAACTGGATCTAGATGTTGTGCTTTTTGTCTTAACAATGCTCATTTGTCAAATAAAGAATTCATATAGAGGTGACTCACTTACCCGGCCTTAAAAAAACTGAAGATATGAGATAAACCAGTGTATTTTGTTTTGATTGATAATATATAAAAAATTAGCATAAGATGCTTTTCAGAAGAATAGTTTTAATGGTTATTTGTCTTAATTTTTATAAACTCTTCAATATTTGGCCCATATGATTATCCCTGGCAAAGCACAAATTAAATGTGAAATGTCTACAGTAAACTTGAAACTTAATGCAGTGCTATAACACAACTGTATTTTAAGCTCTTTGTGAAGATGTGTGTAGAAACACATGTATTTGTGGCATTTCTCCTATACAAGGCATCAAGCCAAATGTACGCTGTTGTTTCCTAAGGCCCCAGATACAGCCCAGATAGCAGAGGATCCACCCCTACCCAGGACAATCACAGAGACCAAGATTATCCACCCCCAGGAATAGATGTCAATGCTAACCATGCCTTTGACAGCTGGAGAGGGCGTGAGAGGGATTCATATAGCGGTAGACCCCCAAGAGGGAGAGGAGGGCCATCGAGAGGGAGGGGTGGACGCCATATGGATAGAGGTGGACCCCCAAGGAGGCCACGCTGTAGAGATTATGATGGTGAGAATTGCTAGAAAGTATACATTTAACATATTTTCATGAATCTTTGACTTATACCTAGTATTTGTTCACACTGTATTTGTTCAAAAGTGTGAAATCCCTATGAACATGATTTATTTCGCTGTTTTTCATCTCTTAAGCTAGGTGACAATTGCTTGCATTGCCTGTATTTGTCCATGTAAAATGTTACCTTTGAGCAAGTGTATGGCATGTCTTGTTGTTTATTGTTCTATGGACTTTTAACATGATTTTCCAGAGAAAGGGTTTTGTATGCGTGGAGACTTGTGCCCATTTGATCACGGTGCAGACCCTGTGGTTGTGGAAGATGTAGCTTTACCAGGAGTGTTAGCTTTTCCAGGTATGTTTCTTCTATATGGACAAGTCAACTTTGTCTTAGGTATGAGATTTCAAAATTATATTTGTAGTCATCTTATTTCTCAGATACTGTTTGACAGTTGTCTGTTATTTTATTTTTGAGCTCAGTGGTTGTAAAGTGTTGCTAAATATCTAACAATATTTGATTTTTTTTTCTCTCTCTCTCTCACAGGTGGTCCCCAGGCTCACCCCCCTGCTCCCCCAATGATGCCAGGCAACCAGCCCCCCAGGTTACCTCCTGGGCCACCTCCCTCCCAACAGCCACCCCCACTGCCCGCTGCAGGTCCAACCCCTGCTAACATGAGGTTGCCACACCCACAACATGACAGACCCCCTATGCCCCCAGGAGGGCCACCACTGCCTCCAAGAAATGGTAAGCCATGACAGTATGTTACTTGGGTTGGTTCTTCACATATTAACATAAAGAAATAAAAATGTTTTGCTGCATTATAATAGTATTTTTAACTATTTAACAGTATGCATTCAGATTACCAGGGTGACATCCTTGTTGTCATTTCTGTTGCATGCAATGCTAGATGAAATATTCCTTCATAGCACACAGTGGCTGCCCTGACTGTGGCAGACTCTGCAGGAGAAAGGAATGACACAGTTTAGCACATGTATTGAGTTCCTTATGGGCCCAGACTTGCATAGATTTTGTTTAAGATGAACATTCCACTTTCAATTCAGTGATGGATTTATGTAGGTTTTTCAAATATAAAAAAATTATTTAAAAATATTTTTATGTTCTTGTGTCAATACATTTCTTGAGCATGTAATGAATACTTGAAATGCTTGCATGGTAGTCTTTTGAGGAGTGTGCCACATCAACTATTTGCTGCTAATGGCTTTATGACACTGTAATGTATACTAGAAGTAGTTTTATATATACAAGAGTATTCCCATGTATTTCAGAGCCGTATGAACCTGAGCCCTACAAACCAACAGAGGGTCGGCCAGGTCAGCAGCCCTGGGGTGGAGGTCCCAGGGGACCCAAGCCCCAACAGTACCAGCCTCAGCAGAGAGTGCCAAATCCTAACCTAGTCAGCGTACCCACTGTGGGAAGTATGGAAGGTGGGTCTATGTTAACATACATGGATTTCTTGGATGTGATGGGGATTGTGGTTTCTGCTGGAGATGAATTGATGAAGAGGAGGGGGGAGATGAGTTTGCATGTTTGTAGATATATCTCATTTGCATTGTGTTTCTATGAAAGATTGCTGTGTTTGTAAAATTTCTAACTTTGAATTTGATAGGCTTGCCGCGAGTGTATGCATCACTGAGTTGTCACTTAAAACAGTTTTTTTTTTTCTCTCAGATAAAGGGCTGCCAGGCCAACAACAACATCACCCTCCCCAGCAACAGCAGCAGCAGCAGCAGCAATTACAGCAATTACAACATTCCCCCAACAGAAGAGTTGTGGCCAGCAAAAGGGGATTGGAAGTTCCACCATATCAGGAACAAATTCCCCCACAACAACCCAACCAATACAGTAATCCAGAGCAGCAGTTCCACAGGGGGCCACCAGCTAAGAGAGGACACTTTGATTTTAACAGATTAGGTAACACACTACTGCCTTTTTCATTTTTTTTTTTCAATTGAATTACAACATATCATTGTTTTCAAATTATTACCAATAAAATATAATTATTATGGCTTGCAATGCTATTTTAAAATATAGACAGTGTTCAACATTTTAACTGTCTGCAACTAAGAATGTTTACAATAATGGAGTAATTTTGTCTTTCTTTTCATATTCATTACAATGAAAGCTCTGTGAACTTATTCACAGAAAAGTAAATTTGTTTTATTTGATTAAAGTTATCAGAGACATTGTCTTTGAAAAGTAATTAATAAACGCCAACACAGACATTGTTTTTTAATGTTTCTAGGTCCTAGAAGAGGAGGTGGAAGAGGGGCTTACAATACTAGTTCTGAAAATGCAACATTGGAAGTCAGAAAAATACCCCGAGAACTCAACAATATTGCAAAAATAAATGAACACTTCAGCAAGTTTGGGACAATAGTAAACTTACAAGTAAGTAAACATTTCAAATTCGTTAATCCAATTTATGTATAAAAAGCTGCAAGATTATAAGTTAATGAGTAAGGCATGACATATCAATATTTTTCTATGTCATTTAACAAAAAAGCAGCAGCTGTTACTCAGTTAATATTGTTCTCTTGTGTATTCAACTAGACTTATTATGCAGGAAAATCTACCATGTGTCTTTTGAGGTTATTTGTTCCTTTATTTTCAAGTTATTCCACATAAAACTGTCAATGTGACATGATCTTCTCCTCACAGGTGTGTTATGGTGGAGACCCAGAGGCTGCCCTGGTATCATTTGCTTCCCATCATCAGGCTAATTCTGCCTATAGGAGCAGTGAACCCGTCTTCAACAATAGGTTTGTCAAAGTGTTCTGGCACAAGGAACAGCAACAGCAGCAATCACAGCAAGGACCTGCACAACAGGTAAGATATGTATCTTGCTTTTAAGAATAATATGGTTGTAAAAAATTCAGATTGCATCTTTTCTTTCTTAAATTGATTTCTATATGCAAAAATAGGTGAAAACCTTAACTGGTGAAGGGTTAGGGAATCTTCACAAGTGGTGAACTTTCACTGATCCCTAACTTTGTCAGTGTTGGATGCCCAACTTTCATATATATTCCTATACATTTCACCTGAAAAAAAAATGGTCCTCAGAAAAGTGTGATCTGTTGAAAGAAATAAATTTTTTTTACAAACTCTGTTGTACAAGTTAACCCTGCAAATCGTTGTGAGGAAGGTGTATTGTTGATATAATTAGAGTGATTATGATGGAAGCTCTCCTGTTTTTACAGGGAGCTGAAGCCCAGCCACCCTCAGTAAAAGATAGATTAGGCTACCATTCAGCTCATAAAGTTGACAACACAGTTGACAACTCTGAGAAGGTATGCTATGTAGCTGCTGTTATATTGGCTATTAATACACACTGGTCAGTTAATTGCCCAAGACAAAGCATTTACTGATGTGTTAAGTGAGCCCCAACAAGTATTATTGCTTTGCTTTACTGTCATTCATATAGAATAGAGTTAGACTTATATTTGGCAACATTTAGTCGGAATATTCTCATTTGTAGGGTTTTGTTCACTCCACTACTGGTGGCTCCCTCACCAAGACGGTCTTCAACCCAGCAGCAGTAAAGGGGAACAAAAGCAATTCTGCAGAAAAAGCGGCACAAATAATCAAGTCACAAGAAGCTTTAAAGAAAACGGAGGAGGCCAAAAAGGTGTGGATTATATATTTTGCTGAGACGTCAGTAGTGGTTAGCTGTCATACAGAACTGTATGGGGTCACATTTAACAGTCACTCAAAAAATTGAAAAAAAAAATTGAAAAAAAATTTCAGATATACTCCCAGGAAAATTTTAGTGTTTAGATATTTTTCTTTAACTTGAAAATTTGTAAAATCTACTGTGTACTTAGTTTCATGTCAATATTTGAGTACTTTGAAAGCAAGCTGGACACACATAACTAAATTTTGTAAAGCTTTAAGTAAGTCATATTCTTTTCCAATATTGTAGGATGTCATAAAGAAGAGACTAGAAATCCAAAAGCAGAAACAAACTTTGTTACAAAAACAGCTAGAACAACAAAAGGTAATTGTGATGAAAGTTGTTGTGTTTGTTTTGAACTGCATGTATGGATCAAAAAAAGTTAATAGCTTGTTTGGTTACTGAACACATTAAAATAGTAGACACTTTGTATAATAATATTGAGAGTTAATGTCTTCTACTGCATGTTAAAAAGATAGAATTTTGTTTATTCCACTATTTTCCCTATGCTATAGATAAATCTTATAATAATCTTGCAGTTGCTGATTCAAAAGCTTGATAAGAATAAGGGGACTAGTCCAGAGGAGAAGGCTGTAATTGTGAAAGTAAGCATCTCCCATGAATATTTGATAACGGCAGTCCTACCTGCCTGACAAAAAGTAGTGAAGAGAAGTAGAACTACATTGTTATCTATTATATCACCGAAACTGTCATTTTTTCTATAATTGTTAAAAATATAATCTGAACACAAAGTGTAATACATGTGAATAACATTATGGTGACTGCTTGAGCACATGTTATGAATATTAAAATTTGTTGGCTCAGAATATTCAGAAATTACGTAAAATATTTTACTCATTATATCTCTAATTTTTAGACAATAAAGACATTGGCAGCTAGTATAGATAAACTGAAGTTGGAGATCACTGCCTCACCTAATGTTGGAGGAACCACAGGAGGAGGAGGAGTGGAATTTCATCATAAATCAAAACAGGAGGTAGACTTTTCTTAGAATTCACATAATAGTCATGTTTACTTTCCCACCAACATCCTCACATATCAGTTTCATGTCATCTCTAGAATGTCAATTCATGTTACATTGGGAACTTGAGTAATATTTCATGTAAACATTTTCATTGGCCCAATTGTTCCAGTCCAGGTCACTTCACCAAAGGTAACATGAAAAAATCTCCTGAATCACATGATCAGCTGTATCCTGTGTTTATTGTACTTTAGGCCCAGAAGGAGCTCCTGGACACAGAATTAGAACTTATGACCAAAGAAACCAGTGGTGGGGACACCTCAGACCTCAAGAAGAAAATCATGGAACTCAAACGAGAGGTACTCCTGTCTTCTTTTTAATTAGTTATTGATGATGCTAAGATTTAATTAGTGTTATCTATTTTTATCATTTGGCATATAATAACCCAATGTATTATGTACAAGAAAAGAAAAACCATATTACTCACATATTGGATTGATTAGAAATAAACTAATAATTTTAGCTATTCTATATGTTTTTAAGTTTTCTGTTACAGATTTATGTCAGAAACCTGATTTTTCCAGGAATTGGGGAGATATTTGTTTTAAGTTAAAGAATGTGCCCATGATTTGTAGCCCAAGGTTATATAAAGTCTATATCTATATTACTTATAAGTTGATGCATTCCCCTCCAGGCAGCAGCACTTGGTATTGTAGAAGCTCGACGTGGCCGAGGAAGAGGGCGTGGTGGAGCTGCCCCCAGGGGGCGTGGGAGAGGCAGAGGAAGAGGTGGTGTTACTATGGCAGCCAGATCTGTAGACCGCCGTCCAAGACAATTGTTAGTGAGAGGGTTCAGTTTAAATGAAAAGGATGAAGTGATCTCACAATTCCAGGTTAGTGGGCTTTGGCTTTTATGCATGATTGCCTTTAAGTTTTACTAAGATATTCAGTTTTATGATAAAAGAATAAATATCTTATATATATGATGTTTTATTTGGTGAAACCATATTCACATGCATGGCAAAAAGGTATTGTATATATTATTTGAATATAATAATTACAATTTAATCTTTCAGAATTACGGAGAGATTGAGAAGATAGACTGTGATGAAAGTGAACCAAATGTTATACTCACATTCAAAACAAGACAGGAAGCAGAAACAGTAAGTCTGTACACTATACTTTTTATGTACAGACACAGATGCCGGCGCCGTGCACTTTCATTGTAAACACGATAAGTGGAAGTCAATTTTACTTTTTGGCTGTATATTTACAGAGCTGATGAATATTCATAAAATGCAGGTCAAATTCGAAAATCAGCATGATCGAGCCATTATTGTAGAAGTTATGCTGTTTTTTCACTTTTCAGCATATATGCAACACTGTAAACACATTTTAAGGAAAACCGTTAGGCCTGTTGTCATGAAACTCACAGGAGTAATCAATCTTACTAAAACGCAGGTCAAGTTCGAAAATCGGCATGATCGGGCCACTATTTTAGTAGTTATGCTGTTTTTTCATTTTTCAGCATATATGCAACACTGTAAACACAATATAAGAAAAACAGATGGGCCAATTGTCATGAAAGTCACAGGAGGGGTCAATTTTACTAAAATGCAGGTTGAGTTCGTAAATCAGCATAATCGTGCCATTATTTTAGAAGGTGTGCTGTTTTTTCACATTTCCTCAGATTCAATTCTTAGGCATGTTAACAGTCTCATTATTAAACTAATAAGATACGTAAAAGTGTTTGTTTGACATTTCCTGCATCTTTACAACATTGTTAGTTGATTATGTAAAAATGATGGTAAACTTTTTATCGTGTATTGTGTAATAAAGTGTCAAAAATGGAAATAAACTCATATCATTGCAGTTTGTCAGATTCAATCATCCACTATGTTCAGAATCTCAGAATGGAGGAAATTGGACATTTAACACTGTTCTATTGATATTTTTCCAATATCATTAATTTTCTTAGTTGATCATATAAAAATGGCAGTAAACTGTTCATTTTGTTTTATGTTAAAAAAGTGTTAAAAATGGAAATAAACCCATTTCAGAACAGTGCTGTCTTGTTAAAATTTGATGTTGAATTTGTAGTTTAACATTATGTACTTTTGCATCAGAATTGGCAGTAGCCTATTTTGTGCATAGTTATTTCCTGCTTTTTGTCTGTACATTTGACAGCTTTGCTGCCTTGTCTTTCAAATAATTAGCAGGTTGGCTTAAAACTGATGGAGACCTATCATGGGATGCAGTCCAGACCACGGCAACAGTTGATTATTTGTGTTTGTCTGGTGAATATTCCAAATGTAATTACTGTAAATATCTATTTTTTTTAATACTTTCATAGCTGTCAAAAGTACACTTTATTGGTGCTGTCTGTAATTCCAGTTGGATGAACTAGATGAAGATATTCTGCTTGGGGCTGATGATGAGGAAGATGATGATGATGAAGAAGACAAGTCATGGAGGCGGTGATTTCCCCCCTGTAATGGACTCTAGGAGTTATGATGTGATGTAGTCATGGTGTTGAGATTTGATAACTATTCCATGGTTACAGAGATTGGAGTAACTGTATTTAGGTTTTCACATTTGTTGCACATCAAAGACTTGTATTTAGCATGAAACTTTATTTGAAAATGAGCCGGTTTTCATCCTACCATAAGAAAAACAGGGCAGCTGTCTGTTCATGTAAGGAAATTCCATTTCATGGATTAGTTTAATTGGCAGTTTACACAGGTTGTGTCAACTGTGTGGGTAGTCACAGTCTTCTTTTAGTGTTTGCGACATGCAAAAGAAAGGTCTGTATTATGAAAAAAGTTTTTGGTTCAGTTGATAGTCTAGTAGTGTCCAATTTGTGGAATGTCCACAGTGGCAACTTGAAGTATTTGTATATATGTACTATACTGTATATGTGCTTCTGTCATCATGCACCAAGCCAAAAATATACATTGAAGTGGAGACTAAACATTAGATTATTCAGTTGTATGATACAGTAAAAATAATTTGAAAATTTTGATAAATTAAACACGTATTAAAGAAACATTGTAGAATGTAAATTTTAACTTTAAATAGCCTGCATATTCAGAAACTAGGTTGAAATTGTGACATAGGGATTGTTATGATGATAATCAGTCTGGTGCTATAATGATGACGTTAGAAAAGTTTTGTAGTACGAATTGTTAACTGTAAGTTGGACAGTTTACTCAATTTGCTTTTGTCATATGATTATGCTTGTAAGATTTATTGAATTGTTGTATATGCTTTGTTAACAAAGCATGGGTTTTCAGCAAACTTCAAAAAAGCTTTGTACACTGGGAAAAAAGAAAAAGAGAAAAATTCAAAACGCATGTTTAAAAAAAAGAAGCAATTATGCGTTAAAGAATTTGAAAAAGAAGAAAAGAATTATCGTACAAAGCTAAAATAATCAACAATAAAGATGACAAGTATGGGAAACAGCCCATACAACCCCCAAAATCTTGGGAAAAGCTATACCAAATGTTTTGTGTGTTGTGTTGTGAAATTGTCTGTTTAATGTTATGTATTGTTCCTTGTCACTGTGCCTTGCGATAACTGATGATGCAAAGCAAAGAGAAAAGCTTACTAATACCAATGATGCAATATCATAAGCAAGTTCACAGTTGACAATGTTTCGTGTTATTGTGGTGTCCGTCCATGTCCCAACAGGCGATATCAAGTACAGAAGGTCTACTTGAAGCAGATGGCAGTTGGACAAACATCGCAGTGGGAACCCATCAAAGACTGATCAGAAATTTTGATAGAATACAGCAGATTTTCATGTGACCTTCAATCACCAATACAGCTGTGATAAGCAGACAACAGTAAAGACCATGTCCCGCACGTGATGGCCATCAGTTATCATCAAGCTAAAAGCAGAGGACTTGCATACAGATTGTGCAGCAACCAAAAATATCAAAAGGAAAACGGTGTCATCACGATCACCAGTCCTTTGTTAAGCAACAGTCATGATTTTTATGTTGCTGGTGTAACAGTTCTTTAACTTTATTTATTAAAATTGAACTGTATTAAAGTGTTAATTGTAATATTTCTATCAGATATGTAAACATGTTACAAAATTTAACATGTCAAGTAACACCTGTTGAAACTCACCAGTGAGGCAGGGGCAGAACTTAATTTTGGGTCTTAAAGAAATTTTTGAAATCTCATTTCAGAATGTCGGGTGCCTTGCTGATACATGGGATCACGTCTGTGGTTTGGTCTTCTTGGAGGTCTCTGCCGTTCTCCAGATTTATCAGCTGCTTTGTTACAAATTGTGAATGTTTAGATGTTGGTAAGTTTACAGGAGCACACTTTTAACTGAAAATAACATAAGTAAATAACTGCGATATAACTTCTGGCATGCTTAGGGTGTATGGCAAATAAACTGTAGAATTCATTTCCATAATGAAATATTCTTCCTGGGCATTCAAATTCTTCCATTAAGATTTTAAACATTTCTGAAAACTATCACAGCTGTTTATTGTATTTTCTGGTTCCAGCTATATGTACAGAACCAAGCTTGAAGTCTTCTGCAGTGTGCATCAACAGAACACATTTCTCCAATGAGATCATTTAGGCCAAAACTGGATGCATTTTCCCATGGCACAGAGATGAGAGGCCCAATTTGAAAAAAAAAAAAAATACTGCAGCAGGTGTGGAATCTCGAGCATCATTAAGCATCATCTTACAGATCCTGGGAATCAGTTTTTGTTATTTTTCTACTTAACTGTTAAAAAGACATGCACCAAAGCAGTAAAGAACAATGGCAGGGCAAAACCAGCCTTCATATGATTTTAAAAAAGCTGTGTAGCTGGTGTTCTCATTTATCTGTTATTTTTTTGTGGAATTTACTGCTGTGAGTTACAAGAATATTTTTTTCAAAAAAATTATTAAATAAAAAATTGAAAATTTGATTTTTTTTTTAATTCTCTGGAGGAAAACAGCAGTCTCCCTCCTTCCTGTCTGTCATTATAAGTTTGAGGTATTATAAATTAACATAAAACTTCTATTCATAAACAAGTCCTTGAGATACTGGCTTTTGCGTATCGATAGTAAACAAAAAGAAAGTCTGCATTCATATAGCCAATTACATTATTAATTCTTAGAATTTTAGGTAACACATTTAATATTTAATTCCCTCTCTATATCTATTACATGAAGGAAAAAAATAACAGAATCAACATTTATTAACAATGCCATCTTGACAAGGACAACAACATTTCCTTTGTAATACTGACGGGTGTCATATTTTGCAGCTTTTCCCATCTTATAGAAAAGCATTTTCAATTTATCAGCATTGCTTGACAGTCATATCCTGTCACTTTTCATCCATCTTGGCAGCCACCTAAAATAAAAAAATATTACTTTAATAAATAAATGCCTCAAAATAATTTCTAGTGCCCATCCCAAAAAAATATTAAATAACTATGTTACTCCATTAAAAAACAGTTTTACATTAATGGTGACAATGTACATTGTCAAGTATTTGAGAAAACATACTGTCCCTGTGCTCCTATCATCCAGGACCTAACAAAGGGGACCAGGCAGCCCCCCAGCAGTATCTGTGTGGGGTGGTATATCAGCAGGGGGATAGAGATCACGGACAGGCGACTGTGGCCACTGAAGAGAATTTTCAGCATGGGGATACCTGGAGAAGAAAGTTGACAAAGTAGAGAGATGGAAAGCATCCGTCTGATCTGTCCTATTAATCAAACAATATTGTGACAAACAATTTATTGAAAATACTAAGTACATACTATATGCTTTCAGGATCAACTTTCTTGCATTTTCCTTCCAGACAAAAAGAAGATGATTTTTACAATGTATTTTCACATACATCAGTTATTTTAGAATAAGAAGATAATTGCAATATGTAAATCTTTTACCTAGTGTTAATGACTTGTGTGTTGAACAAAACATAATGGAGACTACATCAGCTGGTTGAAACCTAAGTGCTTTTATAGTGGATATGTAGAAAGCCAGCCACAGTAGAAACACTTGCAAAATAATCACTGAAAAGAGAGTTTGAAAACAATCATATATTTTTACCCACATACAGCTTTTGTTTGGAAATCTTTACAAAACAGATAATTTAAGTTTATTCAAAACTCATTTCTCGGTTATATACAGTATAAACTATTTTTAAGTTACTTTATAACAATGAAACTGCACCATAAAATGAAAAAATAATGCTCCAATCTTAAAGATTAATTTTTATTTAACATAAGATCTTACCTATTAATATGATAACAAATAAGCTCATTTCGTCAATTTCTGTCTCCCTGCTAGAGAAAGTATCACAGAAGGTTGTATATATGATCAAAAGTAGGGTAAAACTGAAATGAAAAATGTAAAATCCTTGTTTTGTAAATTGCACAACTAGAATTTCAGAAAATGAATAAAAGAAAACTAAAGCAAAATACACAATTAGAAAATATGGACAGAGCCACATGATTATGGGATTGAAACTTCTTGAGGTCTTAGTTTATGACCAAAGACAAAAACACAAGTGCAGCAATACAACCCAGAAACCCCAATCCCTCAAAATTTATTTTATTAATTGCTCTATATACATCAAGGCAGATACCACCTTGACAATAAATTTACACACTTACTGAAGCTACTTTAATAATGGTGATTTACACTGAACATTATATAATCAAAATATACACAAACCTGCTGATTGTCCCAAAAGGAATATTAACTCGGCTGAGTTTATGCTTGGCTTTTGCCCTGGCAATTTGTCCCAATATGAGAGGTATGACAACTGTCATGGAAAGCTGAGTAAACACAGAACCCAAGGGTACAACACTGGACTCGCCAAGCTGAAAAAGAATGGAACAGTTCTTACTTCATCTTCAGGGAATGCATCGTCCTTATCAGCATATGTTACATAAATAAAGAATTATGGAACATTATTACTTGGAAGTACTAGTAGCACACAAGCTGTTCTATAACTAACGCACGTAAGCCAGACAAATGTACAGTAAGGCTATTTCTTTGAAAATATTACAAATACAGAAAGGCTATTTCTTTTTAAATATTACAAAATAAATCCTAAATACAAAATAAATACACTTAATGCTATAATTAGCAGGTTTCGTCTCAATGAAAAAAGTAATTATCCTCTAGATATGCAATGTCCACAATGCAAAATTAATAGAAAGTTGTCACTTACGACAATGAAAGTGATGACAATATTACTGTATCTGTACACAAAAACATACATCAGCGTGGACACAAATAAGGTATAAATCATTTTTAAATGAATGCTCAAGATATAATAGCACTTACATAGTGAAGTAGCAATAATGGAGTGACTATTATGCCAAGGAAACTGCCAAATGCAGAATTAAACACTGCTGCAGCCTGAAATGAAAAGAACAACAAGAACATAGATTAACAAGTATCAAACTTTTCAAGCTGTTGAAGTATAATGGAAAGTCTTCACCCAAAAATCAATTGGCCAGGACATATGTAATTCTGAAAATGAATAGTTCTGAACAAAATGAAATGGTTAAGAAAAGATTTTGAAAATCTGTTTTGTAAAAAAATAAGTGAGCATGCAACCTTGTCCTTCCCATTACATGATGTCTTAAAATTTACTTTATAGATAGGTTGCATTCAGAACCTTACTAAATGAAACCAGAAAAAGTCTAATTCACATCACCCGAGTATTGGATTTTTAAGTCTAAGTAAGCCATAAGCATTCCTACGTGATAAGGTTGGTGGCTGACATCAATTGGACTATTTCTGTTTTCAGGTAAGAGTGGTCCTCAGAGCATCTTTAATAATTACCTCATTTCCACCTACTGTTTTTGTAAGTATGACAGCCGAGGAGACTGGTGGGGGCATGCACCCAACTACCATTAGTCTGAAAAAGCACAGCAGAAACTCATTAACCTATTTTAACATTATCCTGTTGGCAGGACACAGATTCATGATCAGATTCAATTTTTCAATGCAGTAGTATTTAAAGTACTTATTTCTGACTTGACATGCTATAAGAAAGGCATTTACCTTCAATTTCTGGTAGCCTGGAACAAGGTCTTTTTTATATAAATTGTGTAATGAATTCCTTCTCAGTTGTTGGCAAAGGAACATGTATGCAGTACTCAATATAACTTTGCCAACTATACTTGCATGTCAAAAACTGTACTTAGATTATGAAATATCACTACCATGGCAGTGTGGACTCACCCCTTTAAAAGCCATTCCTCTAAATGGCTATTTTCCAGGAGAGTGACCAACAGGTGGACAAACACTGGAACAAAACCAAGGGTGAAGGATTGGACAAATACATGTAGTTTTACTTGGAAGAGGGCCCTCTTCAGATCCTGTGGATGAAAAAGAAGACAACAAAATAAATCTAGTATTTAACCCTTCTCTTATTTTCTATGAAAATCATTTTTTTACATTTTGATGAAAAAAAATCAGTTGAAAAAAAATGGGAGCCATTCCTTATAAACAGATCATTTGAACCATTTTATTTCCAAGATTTGAAGGCAACAACAGAATGAAAATCTTACCTCTGTTCTTAAAGACAGTCCACTGTTAAAAAATATGGTTGACACAGCAATATATTTGACTGTGATTTCAGGTTTGATGGGTCCTGGGAAGGCAACATTAAAAAAGCTTTAATCATAAAACATTATATAGCTATCTGACAAGCTGTAAATAAAAAATTATGTTAGACCAGATATACTTGAACATGGTTAATAGGCACGTCTGACCATAATTTTTATGAAATTATTTTTTTCACATTTTTTTTTAAGAAAAAAAGCATTTGGTCTTGGTTTGGTGAGTTAGATTTAAATACACAATTGACCCCAGAAGAAACCTAAATGCTGTTGTTTTTATATATATTCACACTGTGGATTTGTCATTCCCTACAACTAATAAGATTGAAAAAAAAAAAAAAAAACACTTATCCTGACATTTTGCTGCTATGCTCCTAATACATATTATTAAAGTATTTGTCTGCTGACCCAGTTTACAGAGAATTGTCACTCTTTAACCAACTGTTTTAATTTTGTCTGTCCTTACTCAAGTCAAAATGAAAATTTGTACATCAGAATAAAATTTTATTAAATTTCACATACTCCAGTATAAGCACATAGACTCATCACGTCTATTTCAACTGTTAAATATTAACAATGTTGATATTTTCAATTCATGTTCAATTAAATGTACTAAAGCAATAATCCTGATGCTTATTGTATGTAAATTTACAAAATCAGGATTTAATTCTGTTCATTTTACTAGATTTTTCATAAGCCAATAAATTTAATATTAACTGAATTATTCAATACTGGACCATTTTAACCTTTTATAATCTCAGTAATGTTTGATTTATCTTTTACTGGAGTTTATATCTCTATATGGTTTTTATTTTTATAATATAATCTATAAAGTTTCAATTAAAGAATAATTAGTTCTTGACTAATCATTAGATGCTTTAAAATGCATTTATTTTGTCCAAGGATTTTCATCTTTAACACTGAAGTTTTCCCAATAGGCTATATCTGGATCAGACTGAGGCTGTGACCCTTCAACCAAATCCTCAAAGGTGAGCATTCTAAAATTGTGTGGTTTCCTTGTCTTTAAAACATTTATATCTGCATTCACTGCAGTTGACACACAATGGACTTCATCCAACATTGTTTCTTCAAATATCCAATTGTGCTCGAGTTTTCCATCAACACATACTTCAGTATCTGTAACTACTGTGTCCTTCTCTAACAAATCCGTGTTCAATCTGAAACCAAGTCTATGAACATCGAATCCAATACCAATGCCTAACGTCTTGACATAACTTTCTTTTAGACACCAGTGACGATAAAATACTGCTAACTGATCCCATTCATTAGGAGGTGAATGAATTGCATCCAATTCTTCCACAGTAAACTGTGGTTGCATAGTGGATAGGAACTTTTCCACAGATTTCCCTCTAGGTCTCTCAATCTTCATCACATCAATCCCTACATCAACACCAGTGTCAGCGGCCAGCACAGCCCAGTCCCCATGGTGAGATACATTGAAACTCAACTTCTGCTGTACCTCATTCATCAGATATGGTTTTCCCTTTTCTGTACGCCCAAGTTTTACATCTCCATAGGGAATGTCTAGCAACTCTGAGATCGCTTTTCTCAGCAGCAACCTCCCAGCAATGGCAGACCTGGCATCCTTTTTGTAGTAAAATTTCCCAATCCTTAATTTCTCCTCTGTTTGTATGCTCTGTGAGGCTAGTATCCATTCAGATTTTGTAGGGGTCCAGGTCACACAATTGAAAGCCCATCTTATGCTCGACATGGTAAATTTTGTTCTCATGACAGTAAGCTGAAAATATTCATCCTGGTTCCCTGTTCCCTCATATGGATTTGGCACCTTTTGGGAGAAAAGAAAATACACGATAAATCTGCCTGTGCTAAAAGACAGAATTTTTATAAATTTTATCATTAGAAGCAGGTAGAAGAGATTGGTACTAACATGTAGCCTTTGCCTTTGGATATAAAATTGAGTGCTTACACTACAGAATTGCAGTCACTGCTAAATAATTTTTGGTTATTTTTACTACCAAGGTGCCACAATCATCTGTGTATATTCTTTTCCCCATATGAAAATCAGTTTTATTTAGAGTAGCTTGCACGTGCTCCCATCATTTCTGTTCCGGATCTAGCATTTGCTTACACACTTTTTCTAATACCTACCTCCTTGTACGCCAAATTTTGGTGCCAATCGTGCCAAAATGATAACAATCACAATCCCCAACAAAAACCAATTCTTCTGGAGAAAATGGAAAGCTGTCATTCGTGCTGCAGAAACAGCTGTCTCTCACTTCAGCGGTCTCAACGGGCCAGAATAAAACGGAAGTGCCCTGGAACTACTATTTTCATATGCGGAAGAAGTTCCGTGAAATAGTTCTCTTTGTTATCTCCTTTTTAAATGATAATTCTCGGTCAGATTTCTTTATATATTTTCCATTATGCACTAGTATATGCAATTATCCATGCTTTTGAATTTGTTCAAATATCAGCTCAACCAGTCTTGAGAGTATTAATATATATTTAAGCGAATAGGTAAGATGAAGAATGGCGGAGAGAAATGAAATCGGTCGTTCTGCCACTATCGCATTCACATTACCGCTTTCATGCTTCATTTGCCTGGGGAAGGTAAATTTTCATTTTCCAATATTTAAGCTTCTTTGTTATCTCAGATAATCTTTTTATATTTTATTTTAATGGATTGTAAAATGATATTCACACTTAAACTTTGGGAATCGCAAGTGAAATTGAGGAATGCTGTGTCTGACACTGGTTATATGGTTATATCAATCTAACTCTTTCAAATAATATCTAATTTAATATCTTAAGGTTAAGGAGCCCACTGTGTGCCCCAACAACCATGCATTCTGCAGTACTTGTATGGAAGTATGGCTGGAGAGAAACAATCAGTGCCCGTCCTGTAGAGTCCCCATCACATCAGCTAATCCCTGCAGGAAGGTTATTGGTGAGAAAATAGAATTTGTGATTATTTTACACGGATTTTTGGCTGTGAAAAAAAAACCTTATTGGTATATTGCTGAAAACTGATTTATGTCTACTGATTGTAGATTCTGTTTGTATGTAAAGCAATGCATTGCTTTTATATGTAATATAAAGGTTCTGTTTACTTCATTTAGTGCCTTGTCATTCAGTGTAACTCATTTATTCACAACACAATTTTCTCGGCACTTTTTGATTGTCTCTTCTACTCCCAAATTCTCCAATTTTTACTTCAAGTAATGGTAAATGCAATTGTTTGCTTTCTTTCTCGGGATAAACAAACTAAGACGAAAAAGATTTGTGCTGGGCAGAAGATGTATGGGGTGGGCCTTATACAGGCCTGTGTGTTAAAAAATGTGACGAGTACAACTTTCTTTGTTGGTATGCACCTGTTAGATATAATTGCAATATTTTAATTTTATGCATTGTTATATTGCAGGAGGTTTAAACCAGGGTGAGAAGCCAGAAGAGAGTTTCAGTAACCCAGAGCTGAGAAAGGCAAGACTGGATATGCTGTTCAGAGACTATGAGGTTAGCTTTTTACAACAGCTTCGATAATATGGAATCTATGCCAAACACAAGGTTTTTTCCATGGAATTGGAAACTCCAAGATTCTTAATTTGATTCTTTTGGGCCCCAGAACCCTAACCAATTAAATGTTTAGTCCCACGATAAATGTGATAGATATTTTAATCCCAAGCTGGAGTCTGTATTGCAGCCAACCAAGAAGTTCAGTGCATATGAATTTTAAGTTTTAAACCACTATGGAAAAGCTGTGGGAACCCTTTATATAAAATTCAACAGCTCTGCTATCTAGATCATAGAATGCATCTTAAGAAGTGGATGACAACTATTTGCCAACAAAGATAATTGAGGATTTAAGAATTTGTATTGATTGTTGTAAGGTTCATATTTATGAATTTTGAAATATTTCACCTGTTCATTTGTTTAGTTCATGTTTTGAGAGTTACTCATTTTGAGTATTTATTACTGCACTGTATTAATTCACCTTTTTTGTAAGTAAAGTTTTGAGTCCACTAGAATTGTGTTTACACTGTTACAGGATTAAAGTAGCTATAGCAAACTTTTGCAGCTCAGATTGAATATATTTCATAATAATATTTCAATATATTTTTTAAAATAATGTGTCCTCAGTTTCAGCATTTTCAAAAAAGTTATTTCTCATTGTAGGCAGAAATTGAACATCTTCAGACCCAGGTAAAAGATTACAAGACAGAAAACACCACACTTCGAGATAAATTGACACACTCTGATGGCACCTGCCTAACATGTGGTGGTCTTGAGAAGGGCGATGTGGTTACAACTGTCATGGATAAGAAAGTAGACAAATTGATGTTGCTAACTGGAAAGTTACAGGAGGCCACTGGGTTGTATGAAAAGGTGAACCAAGACATGAAGAAACAGAAGAAGGTGAGAAGAATGAAGATGTATTGTACATTTGATGAATGTGAGGGAAAATCTTTCCAGTTTGAACACCCTTTTATAAATGTAGACACATATTTTACAGGGAAAATGAGTAACTTCCTCTGTTATTTCACTGGCATGTTCCATGTGAGGCTACTTTTATATTTCATTTTGTGTGGCCTTCTTGTCACTTTAGGCAAATGAGAAACTGAGAGATGAAAACTTAAAGCTTGTAAGAGAAAATCAAAACCTGCGTCAGTGTCTTGTGACCAGATCCCCACATAAGTAAGTCATATTTTAGCTACAGCTCTAATTGAATGATGTAAAGTTGACAAAAAAATGATGTCCAATATTTTATTAGAATTAACTTAAAATAATAAGAAAGAAAGGTCTTGAAGGTTTGAAAAAGGTAAATAGCCATAAGTAAAAAAAAAACATTTTAAATATTGATTGTCAGTATTAAAGTTCAAGTTAAAATGCTTAAATTTTAAGAATCATTTATTTTATTTTTAATTAATCAATTTAAATTATAATTTTAAATTTTATTTATTTATCTTTGCTTATTCAGGTATGGCCGCTACACAGTTGCTGCCCTGGAGTCCAAAGTGGAGGCCTATGAAAAAGAAATAAAGCAGCTACAAAAGGCTTTAAACAGGAGTGATGTATACACTGAAAGCTTAGAGAAAGAAATAGAACTTTTAAAGAAAGGTGGAGCAAACATTTCAAAAAATCAAATAAATATCCCCAAAAGTTCACTTAATTCCAACTTATCTGACCTTGGGGATAACTGTGTTGCAGTAGACTATGCAACATTGCCAGTCAGAGCAAGTGCGGTTCCAATAAAAGACGACACAGTTGGGGCACATTATTTTGACAGAGAAAGAAAAGCCGGACTTGCTGATCAAACCAGGCCTAGCTCTGTGAGTAATAACAAAGGAGAATCCAGCTCTTTGTCATATCTTTGGAAAAGTATTGAGTCTGAAGAGGAAAATGCTGAGCACTCGCCCAGCAGTTCATTTCAGTTTGAAGCTCCGAGTCCTCTGACCCCCTCCTCTCCTCTGTCACGGCTTTGTATTGATAAGGCTGCCACACCGACTGGAACCCATTCCAGCCAGGAGTCTGGAAGGAGAACTGTGATTGAGAGGAATTTCACAGAGAATCAGCCAGATGGAAACAGTGCTAAAAAGAAACTAAAATTTGAGACCGAGAAAGAGTTTGATACATCAAAAAGACCACAAGTAATGCCTAGTACATCGAAAGGTGCTGATGTGACATCTATCTCTGTAAAAACAAATTTAGGTAATTTCCTACCATATTCAAAGGCAGGAAGTGGATGCAAAACAGCATATCACATTGATCAGGAGTCAAAAGTAACTGTATCTAGACCAGAAACGGGAACAAAACAGGAATCATGCTTGGTAGGTGCAAAGAACAGGTTATCTGTAGGCCACAGTGACAATAAAGAAAAGAACTCTATAAGTACAAAGAACTTGACGAGTGGCCAAGTAAAGCAGTTCAGAAATGCAGAACCATTTGACTTTAGAGTTCCAACAAAAGCAAATGTACCAAAAAGTAGTAATTTGAACCAACCAATTGAGAGGAGACAACTTGAAAACCATTTTGATGAAACTCTTGATACTACAGTTGCCATTCAAAATGAAGTTGCTGATCTTGACATAACGCTGACCCCAGATTTAACTGACTGTCTGAAACTACTGAAGAAAGCTGAGAGAAATATTCAGAATGTAAATCCTATAAAAGTTGATACCAATGCTACAAATAGCAAACCTGCTAGTACTGCTCACAATGAAGCATACTACAAAACTAGCCAACCCATCTCCAAATCCAGTTTTTCATCTTCCCAGACCTATAAACAAAAGTTGTACAATGAAAGAAATAGACCGAAGTCTGAGACTGCATGTACAAAGGTCAGTGATGTGTCGGACATGGAAGTGACTCCTTCTTCATCCACAGATAGGCTGGAGATACGAGACGGAGGAGACCCAGTGTACAGACCAGGCTCTAAGATGGAGGGTTCAGCTATAAGGAGCAGCAGACCACTTAGCAGACAGAGGAGTGATGTACCAGTAGGTGAAAATTCTTCAAATACTGTGGAGAAGGAAATGGAGACGGGAACTAGTAGTGAGTTTCTGTGCCAAATTCTGGAGTATGGAAAACCAAATACATACAGAGAACCTCACAGTCATGTCAGAAAGAGCACTGGGAAGGCAGTTAAAAATGTTGATGGAGCTGAGGATGTAGATAAAATATTATTTAACAGCAGACTGTTACAAGAGGAAAGGAAGAGGTCACTTACTGGAATAGACCCAGTAAAGTCCAGTCCATCCAAGTCTAAAAAACCAAATGCCTGAGTGGAACAGGCTTTACATAACATAACATAACATAACATAGGCATCGAATGTCTGCAACAAGTTACAAATCTAGGTCATGCAGACAAAACTTTGGTGTATTAGAGCAGAACCTTTGAAGGCTGAACTGCTTCACATGCTTTGAAAAAAACTTTGCTGACCTTGATTACATAGAATGCAAAATATTCATAAACTGGGACATGTAGTTAATTTTTAACATCTGACATTGTTCCTCTACAAATTTTTTGATAGGCCTCCATTTTAAAGTACTCGTCATCTACTTCACCTCAAAATACACTTATTGTGAAGATTATGAAATAAAGCAGTTTCTTCAGTCTGATTCAGTACAAGTAGGTTGGTCAAGCAACCAGTGAAATGTAAATCTTGTATTTTTGCTTCCATAAAAAAAACATAAATGGGTAGCAATTACTTTGTAATGTACCTTTGAAGCACTGGTAACACTTGCACAAGGAGTATGGTTTGGACAAAGTCCATTAAATGGTATTTTACTGTATTGCCATATAAAATATTTTTTTTTTTTTTTGTAATGAGTGCCTGGATAAGGGAAAATTGAGTCTATCGAAACAGTTGTAATAAATATGGTTTATTTCACTTCAAAGGAAATTTTTATCTGCACAGAACATTCATTTTACATGGTACACATTGAAAAATGGGATTTCCTTTGAAGGCCAAGAAAAATGTTAGGTCTGTTGATTTAAGCACTAACATCAAACATGGATATATAAAGAAATATAATATGATGTAAGAGAAAAAAACCTGAAAAAATATAAATATATACAATACAGCTTCGGCAGTGAAGGCTGGTTGTTCAATCATAAATGCATAGATATAAGTTGATATCAGTTCATGATACTTACAACCTGTGTACACAATAACTATTATTTACACTTCTATTCTACAGTGCATTTGAGGCTACAAACACTTCCTTAATACAAGCATTCTAACACTATGTGCTCAACACGACATTCCACATCATTAGTATTATATTATTGTTTCCAAATTATCAAAATGTAATCAAAGTGATGATCAGCAAAGCAAATTAATCGAACTTTTCAAACAAATTTCAGTTTGTTTTTTAAAGCTGACACAATTGAACTGTATGTGTAGATATCAGCTAAAAATTTTGAAATGTTATAACAAAGAATAATCTCTTTAATTACCAGTCTGATAAAGCTATTAAAATTAGTGTCATAGCGAATCGAATATTGGCAAAATGTGGCTGCACAATGGAGACAGTCTCATTACACTCATATCTATGACACTTCACTCTGGGGTCACAACAAACAAAATTTGCTGTCTTAATGATGTCAACAAATTGCTGTCATCTAACCGCTGCACATGACACATGCTTCCTTGTTCTGGAGAGAACACACCATGGCTGCCTCATTTTCCTCCCGAGTCTCCGTCTTTCCTTTGAGCTTTGTCTTGTCCACTGTGAACTGGATTGCACTGGCGGCTGCCTTCGTCCTCAAGTAATACATGCCCGTCTTCAAACCCTGGAAAACAATCGGACAGTTTTGTACAAATCAGTTTTCATCCGATTAAAGTCTCACTCAGCTGTGTAATGTGAATCTGTAAGAATTGATGAAATTTTTTTCTAATACAAACCAGTTTCTTATACTAAGGAACATGTTATCTATCAGTGTTTCATTCATATAAAAAATACATTAAAAAATCCAAATACTTGGCCTCCTACCTTCTTCCATGCAAAGAAATGCATACTGGTCAACTTCCCATAGTTAGGATCAGCAATGTGGACATTTAGAGACTGACTCTGGTCAATATATGCACCCCTGTCAGCTGCCATCTGGATAATATTCTTCTGGGAGATCTCCCACACTGTCTTATACAACTGTTTGATATCATCTGGAATGCCTTCTATGTTCTGAAAAACAAGATATCTTTTAAGTACATGAAAGATGACCTGTTCCCAAAGTCAGTCGATGTCAATGAGATATTTTGTCCACATAATAATAACAAATTAATAGCTGCTTAATTCAAGCCAAAAAAGAGGGGCTTGTTCTTCCAAACATTTTTCTAAACAAAAATGTTTTTAAAAACAATTTTCAAATATTTACCATTGGGTTTTTCAACATTTCAATAGAACTCAACATTGCGGGAAATAGCTCAGAGGGGCTGAGCTTACCTGAATAGAACCGCCATGTGCTATCAGCTGGTTCTTCACATCGTCATTCCAAAGGCCTTTCTCTGTCAAATCCTTTAACATGTGCTGGTTAACAACCTGAAAATGGAAGAAAATCTTATTGATCTGGTTCAAAATCATGTGTCTAAAATCATCTGGCTATTTGCCCCAAAAGTGATAGATCCTTTAATGTTCAGATAATAAAAAATCCTCATGTCTGCACATCCTTAGCAATTTTAGATGGACTAACCTGGAATTCTCCAGAGAGCACCCTTCTTGTGTAGAGGTTGCTGGTGTATGGCTCTATGGACTCATTGTTACCAAGGATTTGTGCTGTAGAAGCTGTGGGCATGGGGGCCAGCAACAGGCTGTTCCTTACTCCATATCTACAACAGAATTACAGATAGTTTGAACAGGGACTGGAGAAGATACCTAATAAGTTTTCCCCTCCTATGAACCCCCCTTCCCCCCATTTAAGAACATTTAATTCAAAATTCAGCATCTTTCCAAACAATTTTAGAATACACAAAAAGGCAAAATATTTTCAAAAGGACAACAATCTCCATCCCTGACTACACGTGAACAAAATTATTATTCTCTGCACTGTTAATGCTGAAATAATACGTAAAACTTTAACAAACTTGACCGAGTTTGATTATCACCAACAGGGAAAATAACAAGTTTTCTATTCATTAATGACTGACATAAAGGAATAATAAAACAATGCCAGAAAATCATAAATATATAATAATCTCAGTAATTAAAATTGGAGAGATAACCAGTGAAATCAAATATTCTATTGTTAAAAACTTAGTTATTTGAATGCTTACTTCTTGATATTTTCCCTAAGAGTCTGCCAGTCCAACCTGTCTGTATCTGCTACCTCCCACATGTCATGCTGAAGGATCTAAACAGAAAACAGGGCAACGTTAAATAACCTGATCATCCTGACATAAGCATAAACAATATATGAAACATATGAATAACTGTAAACAGTACAAAAATTACATTACCCAAAATTGCATACATGTATGTGCTACAGAAGGCAAAACAAGTAAGCAAATGTGCAAAAAAGACAAAAATCACTAAGGTGACAAATTCATCCTTTTGTAATATCAATGCAAAGCAACTTTTAAACTGATGAATAAAAAACAAATAATCAGTTCACACTAATAAGGAGCCTAATTAATGTGTACTGCTTACCCCTTTACTAACTGGGGAACCTTGGTAAGTTTCATAGGCTCCATACTCCTTCGCCAGTTCACAACTTGCTGTCAAGGCAGCAAAGTAGATGGTCTCAAAGATATCTTTGTTCAATTGCATTGCTTCTGGACTGTCAAACGGATAACGCATAAGAATGAAAGCATCATGGAGACCCTGTACGCCAATTCCAATGGGGCGGTGACGGAAGTTGGATTTTTGAGCCTGCATTGGAAAAAGAGCAGCGTTAATATATATGAAAGTTATGTCTGATAATATATTACATGAAAAGTAAAACGATGTTCCACCCACACAAATGCCTCACTATGCTGAAGGCATGTGTAATTTGTTCTTTGTTCGGTTTTTTCACTTGCAAACCTAAATTCATTTGCCAAAGCTAGGTTTACTCTTAGACTACTAAAAAGTGATTTCAAATGTCAGTTTTATCTTACTAAGATTATGGTGAAGCTAGGATCATAAATGTCAAATAACTATAGTTATTATATCAGAAAAATTTCCAAAAAGCCATGAAAGAGCAAAAAACTTTTCTTTATCCAGGCATTACTGAATAGGTGTGACATATTTCTATGCTTCAATATATCTTACCTCTGGCACTGGGTAAAAGTTGATGTCTATAATTTTGTTGAGATTCTTAGTGACAACTTTGGTGACCTTTTCCAGTTGCTGGAAGTCGTATGTTCCATCCCCCTTCACAAATCTGTTAAGGGCTATTGAGGCAAGATTACACACTGCAACCTGAAACACAAATTACTACTAGCAGCAACAGTTATAATGTATTTTTCTTTCCCTACTTGCCTTTCTGTATGTTTACCTAGAACACTAAAATGGCTTAAAATGGAAATGATTACTAGCAATCATTTTCACTCAAATAATACTAAGTACACCCTAGAATGGAAAGAAGATTATAGTATTTTATACTGCATAAAATTATATCTTCAAACTCAGTGGACAACCTGACAGTGAAAGTCAATAAACTCACCTCATCAGGGCTTGTGTACTCTACAATCTCTGTGCACAAGTTACTACACTTGATGGTTCCTAGGTTCTGCTGATTGCTCTTCCTGTTACACGAGTCCTTGTACAGCATGTAAGGCGTGCCTGTTTCTGTCTGGGACTCTATTATGGCATACCACAGCTGCTGGGCCTGGATTGTCTTGCGACCACGGCCCTCTTTTTCATAGCTGAAATAACAACACAATTTTCAGTAGCAAATTTGTGAGGTGACTGACAGTAATTTCATTTTTTAATACATTACAATGTGTGAAATACTATAAATTCATAACAAAGACTTAAAATATTACATACCAGTACATTTTTTAGTGCTTTAGAGAATTCACCAGTCTTCACAAGGCGCCATATCTCAAATGACCAAAGATCTCATACTTTTTCACCCCAAAGGTGCAACTGGGAAAATCTTACCTTTCATAAAGTTTCTCAAACTCCTCTCCCCAGCAGTCTGCCAGACCAGGACACTCATTGGGACACATCAGCGTCCACTGTCCATTCTGTTCCACACGTTTCATGAACAGATCTGGGATCCAGAGGGCATAGAACAAATCTCTGGCACGCTGCTCTTCCTTTCCAGTGTTCTTCTTGCAGTCCAGGAAGTCAAAGATGTCATTATGCCAGGGTTCCAGGTAGATGGCAAAGGCTCCAGGACGCTAAAATGAACGCGTTTGATTGTGAGTTATGATACATTTTCCTGTGGCAGTTGACTGGGCTCACACAAACTGATGGCAGATTTTAACTGAATCAAAAATTTAAACCAGGCCAAAGAAGAAAACTGAAAGAAAAAAATTATACGTATATTTATATGTTTAACCTGTGCCTAAAATTCAATGTGTCACAGCTGTTAGGATCAAAGAAATATAAGCCTACATTTAGACAGGGACTAAAGAAGTCAACTAGATTTTTCCTTTAAAAAAAAGCTATGGCATTTCTTCCTCCAGTAAACATGACCAAGCAACACCTCTTACCTTGTTCCCTCCCTGGTCTACATAGCGGGCAGTGTTGTTGTACACCCTCAACATAGGAAGAAGGCCATTGGACTGACCATTGGTCTAATAAATGATAGAAATTTTCTTACATAATTTTGAATTGGAGTTTAAATAATAAATTGAAAAAATAATTTGAATAAATATCAAAAAGAGCTTTCCTTAATAAGGATAGATATAGGATAAAAATTTAAGCAGCAACTAAAAAATAGTACTTGACAATATGAACTGTTGTAATTAACTAAAAGACTTTCACCAATTCAGCAATAAAATCTTTCAACTATCATTTTGTTTTATAATCAAATACTGGATAAGCAATCAAAAGAAAAAAATCTACTAGAAAATATGAACTGTTGTAATTAACTAAAAGACTCTCATCACTTCAACAATAAAATCTCTCAATTATCATTTTGTTTTTTAATCAAATACTGGATAAGCAATCAAAACAAAAAACCAAAAAAATTACCAGAAATATATATTTTTTTACCAACAGCTCAGCTTACCCCTGCAATGTAGCTGCCTGTGGACCTGATGCAGTGTACAGCCAATCCTATCCCTCCAGCAGACTTGGAGATGAGGGCACACTGCTTCAGTGTGTCATATATACCCTCAATACTGTCAGAGTGCATACACAGCAGAAAACAGCTGCAAACAGATGTCCAATGTTATAATAAATAAGTAGTTAGAAGTAACAATATTGTCGCTATAAACAAAAAAAGAATGCAAAATATATAATATTTATCAAGCTTACTTTACTGTTTTACACAAAAAAAGAAAAAAAAACCCTAAAAGGAGAAAAATCCGTAAAAGAAATTTGAGAAGCAAAGTGAGAACAGCTTACCTTGACAGTTGTGGCCGATTTGTTCCAGCATTGAACAGCGTGGGTGATGCATGAGTGAACCATTTTTCTGACAGCAAGTCATAGGTCTGGAAAAAGAAAGACATAGTAAGGATGAAACACAACAGTATGATCAGCTTCACTGAAGCGCACATTCTAGCGCATAAACTTCTTGCCACAGTTTTGCTCAAATAAAGAAAAATAATTTTCACTAATTCATCATGTATGTCTTCAATATTGAGTAATCTAATGAATTCCATCTTTTTGGTCAAAATTAAGCCACACAGTGAGACAAGCATACCTACCATGACTGTGAATATCAATTTATGATTGACTGTCTGCACAGGCATAGTGAGATCATAAATTTGCAAGGGAAATGGCAGTAAATAAGAGGAGTTATATAAAGTATTATGTATTCCGTTACCTCAATGGCTGCATCAATGTCATCCCAGTGGATGCCAACAGCCACCCTCATCAGCATATGCTGGGGACGTTCAGCAACTGAAAATAATCAAAGACTAATACTAAACAAACTTTATTTTCATGAGATTAATGCATTCCCCTTTATCTTTTTTATACATGTAGCATTATCAATAATCACAGATGATTATCTATTATTATACATCAAGGAAGAATATCTAGTAAACAAATATAGATTTATTATTTATAAAATGGCAGGCCACCACTGGTCTAAATTTGTGGCACGCTTACCTTTTCCATTTATCTTCAGTAAGTAAGATCTTTCCATCGTCTAAAAAAATAAAATTCGACTGATAAGAAAAATACCATAATATTACATCTTAAATGACTAACTTATTAAGTTTCTCAAAAGAAATAAAAGGTTTGTAGAACTTCTTTTACAGTCCACAAAGGGAAAAGGGAAAAGCAGAGTTCATTACAGAGTGAAAGAAATATCAGGTATTATTTCCATATCAAAATGTCATAAGCACTGACCTTGAAGCCAAAGTAGTTGTAGTTATAATCCCTGTCATATACAATGGCAGAGTTCAAACGCTGGAAGACAAAATAAAAAACATCTAACTAGTCTAACAAAGCTACCCCAAAAAATATGCCAATAACCCCTTCTTTCTTGTTGGTTAACTCTTTCAATTAAGACAAAAACCTTTTAAAACAGACACAACTGACCATACCCTGAATTTTCAAACACAAAATCTTTGGACAGGTATTGCACCCATACTTTCATCCATCAAAATATGTGCAGTATTAAAATGGTGAATGCTTACATCTGCATTCTCCTGGACAATGTCTCTGAGTTTCTTGGACACCATAGGGGAATGAGTCTTGTTCCTAGGATTAACCCAATTGTATAAATCTTCTGTCACCTCTGAAACAGGAGAAAAATAGTTTTAATATTTGAGGTTAACCAAGTTGTATGTTTTAAGCATCAATGCTATCTATGCCAATATTAGATAATAGGATTTTTTTTAAAAATAAAACTTTGACAAATATGACCTCCACAAAATGAGTCAGGTTCAGTAGTACAATATTAACCAGAAGATACTAGGAAAATCAGCATAAAAAATTATTTAAAAAAAAAGGTGAAATAACTGCTCATGCTCAACACTTATCAGTTGCTTACATTTTGGACATACCAAAAATTTCAACTTACAGAGCCATGAGCAATAACCAGGAAAGTATTGGTCGACAATGCTCTCATCTTAACTTCTGAGACAGTTATAAGGATATTAAAATCTCAAACACAAGATAAAGGTAAAGCTGCAGTTTGGGCAATCCCACAATACCTTAAACCTTTGTATTTTTAGTCTTTTCTAGTTCAAAACTTTAGGGGAGGCAAAAATTATTATTTTCTACATACTCGTCATAGGACAAGAAGAGCTGAAAAAAGTTAAATAGGGAAAATATCTTGGGGAAGGGGTAAAATAGTGATATAATACATACATGGATTCTTCTACTTACCACTGAATACTTTTTTCGTCTCCTTGTGTAGGTTAGAGACAGCAATCCTGGCAGCAAGAATGGCATAGTCTGGGTGCTTGACCGTCATGGTGGCTGCAGTCTCAGCAGCCAGATTGTCCAGTTCTACTGTGGTCACTCCAGGGTACAGTCCACTGATCACCTTCAGAGTGATAGCAGTCTGAAGACAAAACATACAGTGACTTCTTCATTATTTGAATGATGAAAATCCAGACTGCATCTGTATTAAATTCATACCAAAGTTAAGTTTCTGTCAAATAACCCTATAACTACAAACATATAATACCTGTGCTTAACAAACTGTCAAACAAGATTAAAATATTATAGACACTGTTGTCAAGAACAGCTTTAGCCTTGTTGCAATATAATCTGCATGATTATTTTCAAACCTTACTTGTAAGTTTCTATTCAAGAAAATTAATCTTATAAGAAAGAAATGGTATAATACATATAACAGATTTTCTGAATTATCATTTATCATTTTATGAAAAAATTTTGTTCAAAGCAATATAAGTAAATTGCGTTTTCAAATTTGAATATTGACACATTTTTCAAAGAATATACAATATAAGTTGCATTTTCAAATTTGAATATTGACACATTTTTCAAAGAATCTACAATATAAGTAAGTTGCATTTTCAATTTTAAATACTGACACATTTTTCAAAAAATCTATGTCTAAGTCAAGATATGTCCTCCAACACAAAGATGCCCAATGTTCTGATTATGAACATGACATATTTTCTGCCTTCAATTCCGATCAAACTTATTCAACAAAATTAACATATAAACAAACATATAAACAGCAATACAAAGTTACATCAAACATTTATATCGATTCCTGAGCCAGAAGTTCGGTTTCGAAATCAAAGTGCTTTGTTTACGTTCTCTGGTTTGGCGCCAAATCGGCATTTCTTTTTCAAAACTGTTTATTACCTAAATGCCAATTTATGAGTAAACACGTTTGAATATTTCGACATTTCTTACCGGGTCAACAAAATCTGGGTTCAACCCATAGCACAACTTTGAGATCCTAGACGTGATTTTGTCGAAGTGAACTTTTTCTTCGCGACCTCCTGCAAAAGGAAGAAAGCAAAAGACGTGAAAATTTTCTCAAGTGTTGTTATCAACGGTATAAATTTCATAACAAATGCTTCTAACAATATAGAAATATGGTTTTGTTATTGATCTTACCTCTTTTGCTCACGTACATCTTGATCTTTGAAGTGAAACCAAAGAAAAACTATGAAGTAAATTGAGAAAGCCAACTGATCAGCTTAAACTCAGCGCCAAAGTATGGTCACCTGACACAAAATTTGCCGGGAAATGAAAGGTCACAGGTCAAATCAAGAAGTACGCCGACATCAATTTTAGCTATTTTATAATACAAATACCATATATTCCATCCATTCAATATTTAAAATAAGTTTAAAATGCCAGTAAATGCTATTATTGTACTGATGAAGTCTGAGATGCTGGTTGGTAATGACCATGTGTTAAGCTTGTCTTTTGCACCTGCTTCTTTGCTGACCTCTATCGACACAGAGTCTACGACAGGTGATTTGCATAACAAGAATGCGCGACAGGTAACAGTCGGGCTTTCAAAATGGCGATTTTAAGGAAGTGTATGTGTTGGACTGTTCAAGACGGCGCGTGGGTCTCGGCAGTATGGACATTAGTGAGTATTTTCTCGTCCTGCATATTTTTCAAAGCCTTGCGTTGATATTTTGGCGGTTAATTTGACCGTGACTGCTATGTTTGATGAGAAAAAGCCCACCTGTTGACCGAGCATTCTCTGCATGTTTTAAAGGTTACAAACATTAAATTAGTCATCAAGCATTGCCAGTGGTGTCATTCAGGGACATTTTCTAAATTTTAGAAGTAATTAAACTAATAATGCAGATATTAAGCTAGGTTAACGTTAATTCATATTATTTTGTGTAAACTTCGTCAACTTTAATGCAGAAGATGAATTAATTTATTTACTTTTCTTTGAATGCTAAATGCTAACTCTACATAGAAATGTTACCCCATTAACACTCTTTTGGCTGCGCCACCCTGACTGCATGAATTTCATCTGTTCTAATTTTATTTAGTATAAATTGTGGGTTTTTATGTAGAACTTTCTAAATTGAAAATATGGATAGAACAAAAATAAATAAATAAATAAACCCCCCTTGCAATTAAATAACTTTTCTGTGTTAAAAAATGCTTGATTATATTAGGCCTACATGTTTAGTGGTCTTACAATCATTTAGTTCTGTATGATTTCATTAAATTAATGGTCAATATTTATCTTTTAATGAGATTTGTCTCCGCTTGTCTCATCTGATTATTCATATAATTTCAACTTTTTAAAAAATAGGCCTGTCATATTTTATCAAATATGCACTTTTTCTTTCTGAATGATAGCATTGGCTTTTATCCTCAACTTTTTAAGAAGAGAAACAGTTAACCATAACACTTATTGTACTACATGTATAATGCTTTATTTCAAAATAGATATATGTGGTATTCATAATCTTCTTGCTTAATATTAACACACACACACATAAAGCGTTATCTGTAGGATTCTCCTACCCTATCCACATCACTTTTATTTTCTTTAATCTCCATAGTATTGTTTAAGAACAACTTAGGATTTAGATATATAACACATTTGCAATTTAAACAATTACCGAAGTTGCAAATGTATTGAATGTCAGTATTTAAATTAATATTGTTTTTCTCAGGTCACTTCAATCATCTCATTTATCATGTTCTTTGTGGACCTGGCAGACTTTGCAGGGAAAAGCTGGGGACTCCCACAATGGCCCTTTGCCTTTGATGTGGACTGGAGGATGCATGTGTGGAAAGGTAAAAATAAAAAAATTAAAATAATAGATAATATAGCAAATGAAATTTACAGATGCATTTAAGTCAAACTTTTGTCACAAAAGCTGAACAAATGCCACCATAAGGTTTCAAATACCAGAGAACATTGTTTTATGTAACCCCAAAAATAATATTTGAAAGGATGTTTTCTGCTTATTTTCTGTGCTGTATATAACTGGGGCAGATAAATAGGTCAGATAAGTAAGTCAAAATTTGAAAAAGGCGCAGTTTTAAAGCTCCTTATTGCTGATAAAAAGATTAACTCAGGTTATCCCTTGGCATGCAAGCTTTATTTGAGTCGTATAAGAAACAAGTAGAGGTCGTTTATGTTTGTTCTTGGGAAACCACTTTTTAAATATTTGTGTAAAATTTGTTTCAAAAATTAATAACTGATAAGTAATGCACAAGCTCAATTTTGAAAAAAGTTCATAATGCTGTGGGAACATCGAGTCATAATTTTCGTTAATTATTCTTTTTTCAGGATTTCTTGCTTGTGACATTGTGATGTTAGTTGCCAATATACTGCTAATAATGGCCGCAGCTTTAGTAATGCATGGATTGAAAAAAATGGTGAGTAAAAATTGGATTTCACGTCTAGGTTAAAGACTGACTTCAATGGTATTTAAATGTTTATCAATCTGAAAACACTAGTATTTAACTGAAATGGTAGAGTAATATTTCACTGTAATGGTAGAAAATACATTTAAAAGGTAATAAGTTATTAAATTTTGATTTAATTTAACTATTTTTTTTACATTATTTTTAAGTCTTGCTCTTACTTTTTCAGACAATAGATCGTGCCATCCTTGCATGTAAGTGGTTCTGTGTAATCATGGCCCTGTACGAGCCAGTAGAGCTAGGTATTGTGATATACATGTTCTCCTGGTATGGAGCTAATATTTGGGTAAGTGAATCAAAAAGGAACTAGAAAAGCACTCAGAGAACACACACATCCACCAACACAAATAAGTAAATTATTAATAGATCATCACCAACATCTTATGACTTTTAAGTTAGTGTGTTCCGGACCATCTTGAAAATTTCTGCCTATCTTGAAAATTTCGTCAAAATCAAGTCATAACTTTGAGTTAGGCTGGTGATGAACAAACAAATAAACCAAGGTGAAAACATAACCTCCTTGGCGTAGGTAAAAATACATGCTTGTGTCTGACATAACTTCTCTGATCCCTGTGTTATATTGTGATTTATAAATGAATATTTGTTTATTTGCCTTTTTAAAGAGAAATGAGCATAAAACATTGTATGTAGTCATAGAATTGTCATAAGCAGTGCTTATATTTATATAGAGTTCATACCTTAGACTTTTTTGGAAAANACTTTTTCTTTCTGAATGATAGCATTGGCTTTTATCCTCAACTTTTTAAGAAGAGAAACAGTTAACCATAACACTTATTGTACTACATGTATAATGCTTTATTTCAAAATAGATATATGTGGTATTCATAATCTTCTTGCTTAATATTAACACACACACACATAAAGCGTTATCTGTAGGATTCTCCTACCCTATCCACATCACTTTTATTTTCTTTAATCTCCATAGTATTGTTTAAGAACAACTTAGGATTTAGATATATAACACATTTGCAATTTAAACAATTACCGAAGTTGCAAATGTATTGAATGTCAGTATTTAAATTAATATTGTTTTTCTCAGGTCACTTCAATCATCTCATTTATCATGTTCTTTGTGGACCTGGCAGACTTTGCAGGGAAAAGCTGGGGACTCCCACAATGGCCCTTTGCCTTTGATGTGGACTGGAGGATGCATGTGTGGAAAGGTAAAAATAAAAAAATTAAAATAATAGATAATATAGCAAATGAAATTTACAGATGCATTTAAGTCAAACTTTTGTCACAAAAGCTGAACAAATGCCACCATAAGGTTTCAAATACCAGAGAACATTGTTTTATGTAACCCCAAAAATAATATTTGAAAGGATGTTTTCTGCTTATTTTCTGTGCTGTATATAACTGGGGCAGATAAATAGGTCAGATAAGTAAGTCAAAATTTGAAAAAGGCGCAGTTTTAAAGCTCCTTATTGCTGATAAAAAGATTAACTCAGGTTATCCCTTGGCATGCAAGCTTTATTTGAGTCGTATAAGAAACAAGTAGAGGTCGTTTATGTTTGTTCTTGGGAAACCACTTTTTAAATATTTGTGTAAAATTTGTTTCAAAAATTAATAACTGATAAGTAATGCACAAGCTCAATTTTGAAAAAAGTTCATAATGCTGTGGGAACATCGAGTCATAATTTTCGTTAATTATTCTTTTTTCAGGATTTCTTGCTTGTGACATTGTGATGTTAGTTGCCAATATACTGCTAATAATGGCCGCAGCTTTAGTAATGCATGGGTTGAAAAAAATGGTGAGTAAAAATTGGATTTCACGTCTAGGTTAAAGACTGACTTCAATGGTATTTAAATGTTTATCAATCTGAAAACACTAGTATTTAACTGAAATGGTAGAGTAATATTTCACTGTAATGGTAGAAAATACATTTAAAAGGTAATAAGTTATTAAATTTTGATTTAATTTAACTATTTTTTTTACATTATTTTTAAGTCTTGCTCTTACTTTTTCAGACAATAGATCGTGCCATCCTTGCATGTAAGTGGTTCTGTGTAATCATGGCCCTGTACGAGCCAGTAGAGCTAGGTATTGTGATATACATGTTCTCCTGGTATGGAGCTAATATTTGGGTAAGTGAATCAAAAAGGAACTAGAAAAGCACTCAGAGAACACACACATCCACCAACACAAATAAGTAAATTATTAATAGATCATCACCAACATCTTATGACTTTTAAGTTAGTGTGTTCCGGACCATCTTGAAAATTTCTGCCTATCTTGAAAATTTCGTCAAAATCAAGTCATAACTTTGAGTTAGGCTGGTGATGAACAAACAAATAAACCAAGGTGAAAACATAACCTCCTTGGCGTAGGTAAAAATACATGCTTGTGTCTGACATAACTTCTCTGATCCCTGTGTTATATTGTGATTTATAAATGAATATTTGTTTATTTGCCTTTTTAAAGAGAAATGAGCATAAAACATTGTATGTAGTCATAGAATTGTCATAAGCAGTGCTTATATTTATATAGAGTTCATACCTTAGACTTTTTTGGAAAACCTATGAAATGGAAATTATTTTTCGTGGACAACTTATATCTGACAAACTGTTTTTTATTGTGTGATTCATGTTGCAGAAGTGTTGTACAATGTTCAGCTAATGATTTCTTTTCTTGACACTCCAGAGGTTTGTGTGGCAGGTCTGGTGGTTCATGTTCTGGCTCATCAGGTTCTTTGTAAATGTAAGTATTGAGATAAAAACTCTACTTTTTTGTTTGCTAGCACCGGGGTCTTCCAAGCAAATTTTGTTAAAACCTTTAATCTGTTAGAAGTTTGGCCATAATTACCAAATATTTTTCATTCTTAATTTATAATTAATCATCTACAGGATTAAAGAAAAGATATATGTTGACATGGGCTTATAGATACAGCAGCATCTGCATTCAGTGAAGTTTGATGAGCTCCACTCAGTTTACATTTTTTTTTAAAATTTTTTTTTTCAATTTCATCTTCTCATATGTTTATTGTGGCAGTTTTAGTTTTTTCTTTCAGTATTTTAGGCTTCTGTCTCCCCCTCCTCTCATTTGATAAAGATTTGTTTATCTGAATATATTTTAGTGCTTAATGAAATTAAATATCCTAAACTTAATTTAAATATCTAAGAATCTTGATATAAGTTTAAATGTTATGAAAAAATTTCCACAGAAAGCTCAGTTCAAAATAGAAGAAAATTTCAGTGCTAGCACTTTCCTGATATTTTCTTGGCTTTAAATTCTTTGTATTTTTTAAAACTGATTTAAGGATATAGAATCAAATTAAATTAATTTTTTAATTACATTCTTTGCATGATTTTTTTACTATTGTATGTTGATAACCATTTTAGATATTAATGTTCATAAAAATTTTGTTTGTCATCATTTTAAGGAGTTGTTTGTGATCTTCTGAGCTACCTTGCCTCAAAATTCTTCTAGATTTCTGATTCAGATATTTGTGGAGTCATTCTGAGAATTTAAGTTCTGAGCCATGGAATTCTATTCAGAGAGGGTGGAATTACCCATCTTTTACCCTCTGGTTGTATACAGTTTGTCCATATATTATGTACAAATATTTTGTACACCTGAAAATAAATTGACACAAAAAGACAGTGTTTCTGCATGCTACTTACTCGTTAGCAGTGTGGCTTTAGTAGATAGTAATTCTGGTCACTAATTTCTCTATCAATGTATACTTGGCCGGAAAAAAATATTGTAAACCTGTTTTCAAGTTTTTTGATATTTTAATGTGCAACTTTATGTTGCAACAAAAACAAGTGGGTGTTTTAATAATTGTCTTTTCTTTTCTCTGCCATTGGCTGCACTAAAATTAATTACTACAGGTTTAATGTTTGTCATTAGTGGCATGAAAAGCTCATTTGAAGATTTCTATGGACATTTCATGGAAAAGTTGGCCCATGTATGCATTGATGGGATATTAAAGAAAGGAGTGTCTAATTTAATACTGTGTGCTGGTTATATATAGCTTTTTTAATTCTTATCATTTACTTCCATTTTCTCAATAGTTGGAGTTTTTGCACACTTATTTCTATTTCCCCAGCTATTTTTTCTGGCTTCTGTTAAAGCTTTATACCCCTGTCACTCTAATTCAATCCTTCAGAGTTGGGATTTTTCATGGCCAAGGCCACATTTCACGTACTCGGTTGGTGTAAATGGAGAGAAAAAAAAACAGACTGAGGGGTGTTATTTTGCTTTCTCACATGCAGTTGCCCTAGGAATAGAATTCTGTGGTATTCAGCACTTATTTAAAAAAGATATCCAAACACTTGATGAGCAATTAAAAATCCAATAAATAAGCTTTATGGATTATTTGTACTTTTGGTTTTCATTTTAAAATGCGTATCATTTTTAATAAGACAAAAGTTTTGGTTGTGATGATGAAACAAAACACCTTTTAGCAATAGTGCAAGTAAAATAAAAAAAAAGATGCTCAGAAAAACTGACAAAAGGCAGATCGTTTTTACCACTTATGTCAGCCTTAAAATTTCTTGGCAGGGCAATTGGTGAAGTAGACATTAACTCAGTAGAAGTCAGCCACTAATCTTGCAATAACCCACTTGTGCTGAATAGTGTTTTTTCCACTGCTAAATATGAAACCTTGGTAAAGGAATCAATAGTATTGTTTCACTCCCACCCTTAAAAAGGCAAACATATTACAAAGTCCCTTGCATGAAACACGCACCACTTTGCTGATTGAAGAATTTTTGTTTCTGACAAACTTGAACTTTGTCATGTAGAATGCAAAATATTTTAAGTAAGGGTAAACTTGCAATTGATTTTCCAAGCCAAGGTTTAAACATTTTACACCTAAAATGTAACAAATGGGCCAATAGTGCTTTCTGCTTCCTAGGTTTCTCATCTTTTTAGCTTTAGCTAATTATAAGTTTTTTATGTCCTTCTAATTTCTTCTGTGTATTTCACTGTCATTACGCTGTCTTTTTGTGTTGTTATATTTTACAGATTTTTGCTGCATTATGTATCTACTCTCGTGCCCAAGAACTAATGTACGACATAGCTTTTATGTACGGGGAGGAACCAGAACATAGGGGCCCGGAAATGGCGCCACTCACACTGGAAATGAAAGTCAATAGAATGACATCCTCAAAATGTTAACACTTTGAATAGTATGAATGCTTCCAGCTGTTGCATCTGTGATGCAGAAGCTCACAAACATTGCTATTTTCTTGGACTTGAGTACTGTGCAAGGTCTAAAACTTAAACAAATTTTCTCCAGCTGGGGAATGTTTGGGACTTTTCACAATGATGCCTACTGCTGACTTCTAATCCGCAAAACAGCAGTCTACTTATAAACAAATTGTAAAGGGTCTAGTATACAAGGTCACTGCCTGAGTGGAATTTTACTTTTATATTTTTATGTTGAGTTCTGTCGTTAGAATGCTAATTTTTTTATTTACCAAGCAAGAAAGTAGCTGTTGCTTTAAAATTGAATGAAACATTCCTAGTACGGTAATGGCTTGAGCATTTCAACCAGGAAAAATAAGTTTTTCAGGTACATAATTTTGGAATCACTAAAAATACATTTCTATGTAGCATTTTGGTGCTTTAACTATATAGAATACAACTATAATGTTGTGTATTTTTTAATTGTGCTGCTACCACTAAATAGGAATGTTCTAATTTTAAGAATTTATTCCTTAAAAATACAGCATCTGTAAAATTCACAATTTTCCCAGTTGAAATGATCAAGCCATTACCATTGTAATCAGACCCACACATTTTACTCCAAGACTCCAGTGAGACCCATATTATGACCTTAAATCATTGCCATGTTTTTTTACTATTTTTCACCTCACAGATTGTAGCTGCCCTATGTATTTACTCTCGAGCCCAGGAGTTGACTTATGACCTGAAATACGGATCACAGGACCTGAATGGATACTTTCCGAGTACATTTGAAATGGGGGTCAAGAACCCTGGCTATAGCTATGCATAGAGAAACTGGTAGTATGTACTTTAGCAACATGTTAAGGTTATGAGATAAATCAACGTCCCAATTAAAACATGTAAGCAACATGGACTACCCTCTGTTAGTGACATTGCTTTCTTTAATTATTTTTTCCCTTTGAAATCTCAGACTTATCAAATTTTTGTCAGAATAAGTCAGTAAAAAATACTGGGCTGTTTGGTACATGGAGGGAAGGTTTCCTTGCACTCTGCACTCATTGTATTGTTATCAGTGACAGTAAGGGAAGTTTCTGTTGCACTGCTACCAGTATTTGTTTGTTGCAACTTGACCAAAGTTTTATTTAAGGCAAAAATTGAATTTCCATGAAATCTTGACAACATCATCTAATTTACTCCCTCTTTATCCAAGTACTCTGCTGCTGTGTTCCATTTCTTGTTTTGACATAACAAATCATACTCATTTGAATAGACCAAACTATAAAGGATTAGAAACTGAAAGCTAAAACTTGAGGCATAATGGCAGTGGAATAGTTACATGTTTTTAGTATAATTTCAATTTTGAGGTCCAAGAAGAAAATTATACTCTCTTGATATGTTAAAAAAGCACTTTTCAAGTGAAAATTATGAATAACATTTTCAGAACGGACACAGTTGAGACACAAAATAGATGGTTCAGAATCTCACTGATAAATTGACATTCCTTTTGTTGTGATTAGTTACTGGAAAAAAAGGTTGTGAGTTAGGTCTATGTTTCTCTTTGGGTGAATTAGTTCTTGCATACACTGAATAGTTACATCGCTACGTACATGTTTATATGTGTCATCAGAATATGGATTCATTGTGCCACTAACAAATTTCTAACAGGTATGAAGGTGGAATGGTTAAATAGGTAAATATTCCATCTGTATACTAGTTTATACTAGATTGTTATTGCTACAGTGAATTTGTACTCTGTTCTATGCATAGGTTTAAGCCTGTTTCAGGGAGAGGGTTATCAAGTTGAGAGATATCACCTCTTGTCATTATCATGCATAGGACTTGGAAAAGAAAAATGTGTATAGATTGAATTAAGTAGTTAATTAATAAGAAACTTTTGTTTCATAACTTTGTTTAGAGTAGGGTGAAAAGCCACAATAATTTTAGCGTGTTATTGTTATAAAGCCTTTGCCATTAGTTCACAGACATTTCTGCATTTTGATACAATTAAATTGTACATTTCTGTGTAAATCTGCTATCTGTAGATAATGTAGGATACTTTTTTTACTGCCTCTTATATAGCGGACAATGGAATGATGGCCATTTTGTATATATTCTTTATATGCTGTACATCTTAGAAGAGGATATTTGCTTTTTAACAAAACGTTGGTTGTGACTCAAAATATTTTACTCAGAGAAAACAGCACCTACAAAGGTTGCGGACGGTGCTTTTATGTTGTAGAATATGTCAGGTGATCTTAAAGGACCGCAAACTTGTTTTTGTATGCCTTATCGGCAACAAACTATTCCAAGACTCGAATGCAGATGAAATGAAATTTTATGTACATTTAAATACTTTCAAATTTGAAAAATAATAAAACTTGTTTTTAGATTAACATTACTGGTACTTGAATTGATCTGTCAGTATTTGGAAAATGTCTGTGTTTCGCAACTTTTCCTTGTCCTCTTGGTCAATATTACGCAAGCTTGCAGACTTCCTTACCCTACAGTCTATCCATCACAGTTTTTCAAAAGTAAAAGGTCTAGTTTCAACCCCCTGTTGATCTTATATCAGTAAGCATAACGACAGTATTGAGCTATTGTCTTTCTTGCTGCTAATCGATATCAGAATTATGAAAAAAATCGAGCAAGGTGAACATTACTCGACCATTAAATCCATTAAAAAAATAACTGGCACAGTTTGAAAGGAAAACGTCGATGGAAGGGCAAAATGTATATTTCGGCACGAAAGAATTTCCAAAATAAAAATTACTCGAGTGGAAGAACGAGCGCTTGTTGTGATATCTTTTAAGGTGGAATCTGTTTCAACTTTAGTTTGTTGTTAAGGTCATACCAGTTTTAGCGCACACCGTTGCTGACTTCAGTGTTGTTTGAAATACTAGTATTTCAATGCACCAATTTTTTGTGTTTATTAATGTGACAGATTTCCGGATTATTTCACATATATTATTCGAATTATTAATTATGGCTGCCACAGTTCGAATTATAACTAAAAATCTAGTGTAAAACAAATCACATGTAAAAATATATATATTAAGCAACAGCTATCTATTCATAATAGAAAGTACCAATCGATAAACAATTTCCTCCTACTAGAATGCGAACAACAAAAAGAAAGGTGTATCTTTTATAGGTTTGCAAATCCATTCATTGGTCTGCCACGTCCCCTCTGTCTCCATTTACATAAATCTATGAAATCATATTTGCCGTACGAGCAGACAGAAATGTCTTTAGAACCAGTCATCGCGGAGCCTGGCACGCCTCCTCCCACCCCCTTGTCTGTCGCACTCGATACACTGGCTGAGCGTGGCGTGGTCGCCGGGACAACACCAGCAGGAGTATAAGTTATCTTGTCACCCAGCACACGGGAACACGTCTGACAGTTGTTGAAGTGAAATTCCCTAAAAAGACGCATGGTTGACTTGAATTAGGGACATTTTAATAATTGTGGAGAATACATGACTTTAACAATACTCTTAGTTAACGCTACATCGTATCTTCTCCGCCAACCCAGTCCCAAAGAAAAAAAGAGAAAAAGATAGAAGAAAACGTAATGCTCTTTAATATCCAACTGCAAGTGACACTGATTCTATTTCGTTCTCAATTACCTCAGTTGGAAAAACCGTTCCCCCGAACACGGTGTAGTGTAGCCCAATACAAGTTCAGGGACCCTGTTTCCGGGGCACGAACTGCCTTGTATCGCCTCCAGACGACCCAGGTTCGGCCTGTATCTGGAGCGGGAGCCTGCGTAATGAAAACAAGGTTTGAGGATAAAACACACCTTCATGCCTGAAGATATTACTTCCCTTTTCGGCGTTTCCTTACTTGCAGTAAGAAGTAGGNATGGAATGATGGCCATTTTGTATATATTCTTTATATGCTGTACATCTTAGAAGAGTATATATGCTTTTTAACAAAACGTTGGTTGTGACTCAAAATATTTTACTCAGAGAAAACAGCACCTACAAAGGTTGCGGACGGTGCTTTTATGTTGTAGAATATGTCAGGTGATCTTAAAGGACCGCAAACTTGTTTTTGTATGCCTTATCGGCAACAAACTATTCCAAGACTCGAATGCAGATGAAATGAAATTTTATGTACATTTAAATACTTTCAAATTTGAAAAATAATAAAACTTGTTTTTAGATTAACACTACTGGTACTTGAATTGATCTGTCAGTATTTGGAAAATGTATGTGTTTCTCAACTTTTCCTTGTCCTCTTGGTCAATATTACGCAAGCTTGCAGACTTCCTTACCCAACAGTCTATCCATCACAGTTTTTCAAAAGTAAAAGGTCTAGTTTCAACCCCCTATTGATCTTATATCAGTAAGTATAACGACAGTATTGAGCTATTGTCTTTATTGCTGCTAATTGATATCAGAATTATGAAAAAAATCTAGCAAGGTGAACATTACTCGACCATTAAAAAAATAACTGGCACAGTTTGAAAGGAAAACATCGATGGAAGGGCAAAATGTATATTTTGGCACGAAAGAATTTCCAAAATAAAAATTACTCGAGTGGAAGAACGAGCGCTTGTTGTGATATCTTTTAAGGTGGAATCTGTTTCAACTTTAGTTTGTTGTTCAGGTCATACCAGTTTTAGCGCACACCGTTGCTGACTTCAGTGTTGTTTGAAATACTAGTATTTCAATGCACCAATTTTTTATGTGTATATTAATGTGACAGATTTCCGGATTATTTCATTATGTATTATTCGAATTATTAATTATGGCTGCCACAGTTCGAATTATAACTAAAAAGCTAGTGATTTCAAAACAAATCACATATGTAAAAATATATATATATATTAAGCAACAGCTATCTATTCATACTAGAAAGTACCAATCGATAAACAACTTCCTCCTACTAGAATGCGAACAACAAAAAGAAAGGTGTATCTTTTATAGGTTTGCAAATCCATTCATTGGTCTGCCACGTCCCCTCTGTCTCCATTTACATAAATCTATGAAATCATATTTGCCGTAGGAGCAGACAGAAATGTCTTTAGAACCAGTCATCGCGGAGCCTGGCACGCCTCCTCCCACCCCCTTGTCTGTCGCACTCGATACACTGGCTGAGCGTAGCGTGGTCGCCGGGACAACACCAGCACGAGTATAACGTTATCTTGTCACCCAGCACACGGGAACACGTCTGACAGTTGTTGAAGTGAAATTCCCTAAAAAGACGCATGGTTGACTTGAATTAGGGACATTTTAATAATTGTGGAGAATACATGACTTTAACAATACTCTTAGTTAACGCTACATCGTATCTTCTCCGCCAACCCAGTCCCAAAGAAAAAAAGAGAAAAAGATAGAAGAAAACGTAATGCTCTTTAATATCCAACTGCAAGTGACACTGATTCTATTTCGTTCTCAATTACCTCAGTTGGAAAAACCGTTCCCCCGAACACGGTGTAGTGTAGCCCAATACAAGTTCAGGGACCCTGTTTCCGGGGCACGAACTGCCTTGTATCGCCTCCAGACGACCTAGGTTCGGCCTGTATCTGGAGCGGGAGCCTGCGTAATGAAAACAAGGTTTGAGATAAAACACACCTTCATGCCTGAAGATATTACTTCCCTTTTCGGCGTTTCCTTACTTGCAGTAAGAAGTAGGAACAAGCTAGTCAAAAGGACAGGCGTCCGTACGTAGGAAGACTGACAATACATGACAATATAATACCAGTTTTAGGCCTTGACACCTAGCTCCAATCTTCTACTGAAATACATGGCCAAAATTATTGAAAGAAATGTTTAAGTCATAAGAATAACTCATGGTAGTTTGAGATTGTTAAGTAACATTTTTTTTTCTTTGTGGTGTGTACAAAATATTCAAAACGTATTGTTACTACGGACATTCACAGAGTTTCTGTCCCATGTGACTTCCAAGTAACACACTGAAAGTGCCAATGTTTAAAAAAAATAACCTGCATAACTCCAAGAAAAATATCGCAATCTTTTTTAGTAAAATTAAAGTAACACTTATACTTAAGACGTGAAATATATAAAGGACCTAGTTTGAAATCGCTAAACATAGAACGCGCTCTGAAACCATCTGTATAATGTCACGTACACTTTTACGTGGGTATTAACTATCATATAGGCCCCTTTTAACCATTTTACGAGTGCTACATAGCTCGATCTTCACACAATTTCCTCTGTTCTGTCACCGAGTCCACATTCGCATTACGAAATGCTCTCTACTACCTTAACATTTTGCTCAACAATGATGAAGTACAATACGAAAAGACAATTAAAACTAACACTCGCCTAATTGTATTGTTAAGTTGTTTTTTTTTTCGTGCGTCTTGTCGAATAAGAAACAAAGGACCCCAGATCGTTTTCGTAGGTAGTCAAAAATGCGTAAAAGAAAACACTATCATACGTAAAGCAGTCAACTTTGAGTATGAAGAAGGCGTAGTGCGTTCTTGCATCAGCGCTTTGTTTCTACAGGAAAATTAGGTCAATTTCAAGATTTGGCTAACACCTACGGTTTTTAATTCCTACAATTTTATTAAATTCGATACTTATAAAGAACTGAAAATGCAAGTGGAAAAGTTTTATCTCTTACCTGGAGCGGCTGAAAACCCATGTAAGTCACAGGCCCATGGAAGACATGACAACAAAAACCAATACTTCACAAAAATGCCCATCGTCATTGCGGAGAGATGTTAGGCGATGTTCTGGCAAATCTCACGTTTAACCTACTTGATTAACACTCTTAAAGCGGATGCAGACTTCAGTTTTTTCGTAAATTGCGCTGCTTTATTCGCATTTCCTGGCTTTAATATGTAGATAATTAATATACACTGATGAACGATAATTGTTTACGAGTGTTTTCCAAGAAAACTGTAAATAGTAGGAAAATGAAAAACTCACATACACATTATATAACATTGTGTAATTAATTCAACATATGATTTTGGACCTAGTACCCCTAGTACAAGCATAAGTTTTCAGTCCAATTTTCGTACCTCGAAACATATTTTCGAACTTCCTTAGTCTCTCCTTACGAACATTTCAATATAAGAAGCATAGTGAGCATACGAAGTGAGCACTGTTCTCCACACAGAGTTTTACGTTAAAACCCACGTCTTTCATAACTTCAACCCAATTCTCTACTCCCCACGCAGGTCTACCTTCTACCAGGGAGGCAGAAATTAAAGGCAAATTTCAAAAAGCCACCCTGTGACTTTTGGCCGATGGAAACAATTAAATCTGGACGCGCAGAGAATCAAATGTCTGTCTCTTTATCTAAAGACATATCTGTGAATATCGTGAAAATCGATCTGTCGCCATGGTAGAGGGTAACGCAGGTAGTCCATACAGGCGAGGATGCAGTAGAACATACTCACTAAATAACCAGTGTTGACACTACTTGGGCTTATCTGATTTCTCGATCCAACTTTTGTACCCCAGGACTTGATTAATACTCATAAATCGGATACCCACTAATTGACCATACACATAATGTTGGGCAATTAATTCAACCTATGATTTGGAACCGAAACCTTTCCATGATTTTTCGCTGCAATTTTTGTAGCCTACCTTGGGACACATTTTAGTACTTTTGAAGTCTTTCCTAAAAATTTTTTTAAATCGGAGTCAAGGCAAATGATTCTATCCCAGAATTGGATAAATTTAGCATAGTCAGAAGTAAAGATTGTCGGTGTACAAACTAGACATACAATAATGAAATGAACTTTTGGCACTGAAAATCAAATGTAAAACAAGCTGACTCTCTCGGTGAAATATTCATTCACTAAGAGCATAAGCAAGAAATTACGCTCGTCGGTGTACAAATACAGCACACAATAGTGAAATCACATTGACATTGAAAGTTATATGTAAAAATGTCTTTCTCAGTGAAATATGCATTCACTTAGAGCATACGAAGTGAGCACTGTTCTCCATACAGAGTTTTACGTTAAAACCCACGTCTTTCATCACTTCAACCCAATTCTCAACTCCCCACGCAGGTCCATACCCGGGTCCGCCGTAGTTCATACAGGCGGGGATACAGTAGAACATACCAACTAAATAACCAGTGTTGGCACTAGGGGACTTGAGATTATCTGCAACTCTGCGGCGTAATGGAAAATCTTGAATTGAAGCAGTGCCAGCAGGTTTCAAGACGCGCTTTATTTCTTGCAAAACTTTTTTCGGATCGGGCACGTCATGGATGACATCTGTCAGGAAAACGTAATTAAACTTTTCTGTCCAGTCAGAGGGGAGCTTGTGCGCGTCATGGACTTCAAACTGCACATTTTTTATCCCGTTTTCTCTGGCTTCCTTGTTGGCGGAATCAATGGCACGAGCTGCAATGTCAAGGCCAAGGAATTGACTCCTGGGGTATTTCTTAGCCATCGTCTGGAGTAGAAACCCCGTGCCGCAACCAATTTCACACATCAATATACCCCCTTCTGAAAATAAAATTTGTTTCAACACATTTTTAAATGTTAAAACACATTTTTAAACATTGTTAAAACACATTTGTGTCAAAACATTTAGTTTAAAATTTGCTCATTACAATGGTTTGTCTTAAATAAACTTCCTGAGATCAATGTAGTGTTTAATCTCTTAGAATATTAAATTATGATCGTAGGCAAGTGGTCATTGAACAGCCTAAGACGTATGGAATTCAAGTTCATTCAAATTTAAAAAATAATAAAATAAATTCCTCAGATCATCAATCATTCATTTACACATTTATTACTGCACGTATCATGAGTTTTCAAAGGTCTACCTAATTGTTTCGCTACATCAGGCACTTCCATCAGAGTATTTTCTATCAGCTTTTCAGCATATCCATATCTGCCATATAGGTCGAGGAACTCGTTAAATCCGCCATATGATTCGTGTGGTATGCCTATTGATGAAATATAATAACAGCATGAGCAATGATAAAAGAAAAGAGTAAACTTCGTCCTGCAAATCAATACATTTTTCATACATCGATTTCTTTTTTATTTTCTCTCACTCTGTGACCTATTTGAAATTTGCATAGCTACTGTTAACACAGTGCATTTTAAATGTTGAAAATGTATGTAGAGTATGCAGCTGGAAGGTCATTTCGAGGTTAATCTATTTGACATCTCCCTCCCCCTCCTTCCCTCTCTCTTTTAAGCGGGTTAGTTTCATTGTAATTAATAATAATAATAATAATAATAATAATAATAATAAGCAAAGCAGTTTTAATCATGCTAATCGCCCAACCCGCTTATTCCAATTCTCCATTCATCGACCGTGTAGATCACTTCCGGACGATAAAATATTTATCAGCAAGTTCACCGACCTTCCCTCCCTCGTTATAGCAATTTGCCACACACACACTGGGAACAAAGTTATTCTGATATGAAACACAACTCCTTGATCAAGCTAACCGTTTGGTCCCTCCTTCTGGAAGCAACTCTCCAGTTGGCACTGAACACCAGTGAGGATAGGCAGCCCGTACATCCACATCGCGTTCGAATCTCCAGTGTCAGTAGAGAGGTGAGGCAATCGGTCGTTTGGAATGGAAAACTTCTCTTCTCCGGAGTCATCTTCTTCGAAGTTTATAATATCGCTGCACGCCATGAAACCTAGCCACTGTTGAATATATCTCAAATAAAAATAAATAAACAAATAAATAAATAAATAAGCTACGTAGTGGTAGGTTATAAGACGTATGGGAGGTGCGGGGGGTCTCTTTTAGATATTATTAAACAGCCAAGAAGATGTAACATAACTTTTGAAAACCCTGGAAAGGTCCTCTTGCAGCCCTCCTTACGACACTCAACTTGTTACGACAGAAACAACAACAAACCCAAAACTTCATTTGTACCTATGACTGAAAAATACTTCTAATAAAACAGTTGATTGAAAAACTAAACATGCTTATAGTTAAACGGGAAGGTGAGGCACGTGTAACACTATAATAACTCGGATTATGGATGGACCCCTATTAGGTGCTTCGACAAATGTGCCTTGTCATACCTCTCTTTACATTTCGTCTTCGTCGCCAATTCTGTCGCTGTGACCGGCCGGTCCATCTGCGCCATGGCGTCGAATAGGCGCAGTCGTATCCCTACAGAAATACCCAGACCCACAAATGTCTCCTTCTTAATCTGATTCATGCGCTCAGAAAAGGCTGACATTGTTTGTGGTAATATATATAAAAGAAGTTACGGATAACGCTCGTCAACTTGTGTACAGGTTGTTAAAACGGACAAACTTGACCTATTTTATTTACCTGTATCATATATGCGGTATGTGTATGTAGGGTGCCCTATGTGACCTTGATTCTTGAACCAGAGTTGTGTTCACCAAACTCCCGACATTACGCCGACACTAAGCCTCTAATAATTGCGCATGAGCAAAACATGTCAAATAGTTCTATTTCAACTGTTTGGGAAATATATGCCTAAATTCAGTTATATGCATCTAAAGCATTTTACTGTGTTTTTATTTATGTAAGATTTGAGGACAAAACTTGTGAAGAACGGAAAAGTTATTATACATATTTATTCATGCATGCTGGTTTTGAAAGAATATAATATCAATGTTCACAAAAAAGAAAAAAAGGAAAGAAAAATATGATAATTTTGTTGCCACTTGTATGCATTTGTGAAAATGAAATGAACATAATAAATTTCTCAGGTGCACTGCCAAAATTAGTAACACAGGTTAGGTAGTAGGTATCATTTTANTGAATGCTGCAAATTAAACCTGCAAAGGTCGTTGCAAACGATCCCCCGATTGAGGCTGCAGCACCGGCCAGTAAAGTTATCCCCATTATCTGACAGCTTCCCATAAAGCGGTAGTCTGTGATGACGCCAATAACAATTCGACCAATCAGATCGCTACCTCCTGCGATGGACACCAACATCGCTGACGCCATGACATCCACCCCGATGCTTTTAGCAGCGGCTGGCATGAATATAAATTGATTAGTATAACTAAACTGACCGAAAACGTTGGTAAAAAATAACAGCACAAATGTGAAATCTAACAATAAACTGAAATCAAATATAGGTACTTTCTTTTTCTTTTCCGAAGAATTTGATTGTGTCAGTGGCTTGCAAGGCTCAAGTGTCAAGTATGGCGGTCTATTCTCATAATTTCCCGTGTTATGTATGACGTCATCAACAGGGTGAGATGCACGCATTTCACAAACACGAAGGGATGTTTCATCTTGCTGTTCAGTGCTCGCCATGGGTTGTAACACCATGCCCCTCTCGTATGTGCCACAGTTTAATTCATCGGACATTTCATCGCTTAACTTTTTAACGCATTGAGTGGTCTTTTCAACAGAATGGCTACTGGTATCACTTGACGTATATTTTATGTCCACGTGTTTCATTGGTCTGTACAAAGCTCCTGCTACAGTGATGTGTAGAGACAGTCCACCAAGGATAAGGAATGCTCCCCGGAATGAATATTCGTCTATTAAAAATCTGCAAAGCAATAATAAGAGGCAAATATTGTTGCTGTTCTATTATAATATGAGTATTACCACCTGTCGTGGCTATGATTCCCTTATTCTGAATATGAAAGGATCCTCAATTTGTTGAATTTGGATGTAATAATGAGTGAACCGGTCTGCAATGATATGCTTAACATATATATATTCACTAGTCAGAGAAATGATAGGAACCTTTACCTGACCAAAGGTGGGATTACAAACTGACCCACACTGGACCCAGCCACAGCGATTCCATTGGCCAGTGCGCGGCGTTTTTCAAACCACTGTCCAACCACTCCAATGCTTGGTCCGTAAGACAGTGCAAACCCAACACCTGCAAAAACATACAGCAAACACAAAGCAATCCTAAATATTATCTAAAAAGTTTGCTTCTTCCTGTATTCTTTTTTGGAATGCTTGGTCCGTAAGAGAGTGCAAACCCAACACCTACAAAATATATGGCAAACACAAAACAATCCCAAGTATTATTTTTTAATTTTGCATCTTCTTGAATTTTTTTTTTTTTTTTTTTTTTGGCAATTATGTGAAGCAACTCTCATAATCTGGGGTACGTAATTTAAAGCCCCCCCCCAAAAAAAAAAAATCGGATCGCGGTTGATTGAAACGCGGTTGGAGCAGGCATAATTGACGTGAAATAAACATTGAAGCACGAGTTGAAATACAAACAATGTGAGAACAAAAGTAAAACAGAAACATCTTCATGAAAAAAACATCACCCGGTTAATTGACATAAACAAACTTGTCCAGAGGTTTTCCTTACCTGATACGAGGGCAAATGCCCCAAAAAGGTATTCCACAGTTTGTGCGAAGAACCCAAGAATATAGCCGAGGGAGTATAACACTCCGCCTGCCATAACTACTGGACGACCACCAAAACGTGCCGCTAATCCGTTTGCCAAAGGACCTCAAGAATATAGAAATATTTAGACAAAAAGGTGACTCTAAGATATTTCCAAGCGTGTTAACAATTTCTTAAAGAATAAAAGTTAATATCACTATTCTGAAAAAAATATGCCTAATTATTTACATTCTTGCTATAATGATGGAAAATTCCAATAGAATATTATATCTGCGATTTCAATCATTTCTAACTAAGATCAAATATATTATTCAACCAGCTCATTGGTTTTTTATTTTAATTTCATGTTCATCCTTCAAGTAACACTATATTTTCGTTGGGTTTCACCTTGTTAACAATAATAAATATAGGGAAAAGGCAAATGTCACGTTCAAGGAAACATATACTGTACTGTACATGAATACCAATGCAAAAGTTTTCTCTTGGTAAAATGTGTTTTTCCAGATGTTTAAGATAAAGATGTAGATGTAGAAGGCAAATAGTTGGTGTTCTTGGCTTGTGAAAAGATATCACTTACTGATAACACAGACCAGTCCCGCCATTATAGCCGGTATCCAGGCAACTATGCTGGTGTTGGCATCGAATACAGCCAGGATTTCAACAATTAAAACGCCTATAGATTTGAAGGTGCCCATTACACATACATGCATCATGAAGCAGCCTGAAAGATCGTGTAATCATTAGTGAAATGTTATCCCAGCTGGATCACTCTGAGATTCAGATTACAGAACAAATGAAGAAATGGTGAAAGTGGATGTTGAACAGTATTTACATATTGGCAACGGGCCTATAAAGCTCGTTGAGGAATACTGTTTGTTAAGAATGTCCCAAGAACATTCCCAAAGAACATGGAAAATACGCTTGCCACTGTATATTTGTAGGCTGGATGCAGAGAAATGTTTTGTTTCATTATGGCATGAAGGTCATGCCACACTCACATAGGTCAAATCTGAAAAGAAGCTCTCTAAAAGCCACTGTCAGATGGAATGGAACATTCAGTGAAACCTGCAGCACTTCACATGGGACTAGATGGGAGTATCCTGTCCCCTGTGTTTTTATGGATGGCTAGTTACATACCCTTTCACATGCTATTCTGGGAGTCATATTTTGAGACTTTACAACCTGGCCAATGCAAACGATGTCACACTTTTTGCAACAACTGCGCCAGGGTTTAAGTTTTAGTCGATGTTTGTTACGATTGTGCCAGGGCATGGAAAATAACATTTGGTCTGAAAAATTTTAAGTGATAATACATTAATAGATGGAAAGCCGTACGTGTTATAAAGCGCTGTCGTATGTTATTCGGGCCTCGATATTTGACCAATAAGCTTTAAGTTCTCCAATTAGTGTCGCCGGTCATGACCTATGGACTTAATTTGCACGTCTCAGAAACACATGTAAGAACTGAACAAGCTGCAAAAGAAACTTGTCACCAAGTTTATGGGTGTTTTCGCCAGGTCCTGGTCAGATTTTTTAAAAAGCTTTAGATATTCCCATAACTCTCTGTATTGTCCCTAAATTGGTGAAATCGCTGTTCTGTGGGGCTATGAACATTGACTCACTTTGTCGTAAGGTTTCAAAAAATATCAACGGGCTCATGATTAAAATCACTCTGTGGTGAAAGGGATCCTGCTAAAAAGGCTCATCTCCTCTGTTATTAATCCAATTTTGTGTCTGAGCATGGACATAATTCGTCATTATGTCCATGGTCTGAGCAACACGATATACATGTCCGCTAGCCAAGGCTTATGGGACTACTTTTAAAATTATTCAAATTAATTTTCTTTTACGTTTGTAATTTCATGTATTTCATTTTATTCTATCTCTTTTTATCTTATCAAATTTGTTTTTCTTTTAAGAATTTTATAAATTTATTAAAGGTGGTAATATTTTAAAGTAAACAATGTGATCCGATATGCACACACTGGACAATAGAAGTGTCACCCCTATTGAACCAATACTTTGGGGGAGATAAATGACTGTGGAATGATATGCTCCTGGTATCATTTTA